AAAGTTGGCAGACTTCCAACCCTAGTGGTTTGTCTCGTTTACCTGGTGATATCTGCCAACCTGGCGTGATCATTGATCTGAATGGTACAGGGAAACGGCGCACAAAATCTACACAGCGCGTGCGCTCTCACGCTGCAACCACTGCCTACCTCAGCCAAAGACCCCCAGGGGATGTCCGAGTTTGCATATCCCGATTGTACTTCCCATGCACCTGGTCAAAATAGGTTTTGTTCTACTCTAGGACTGCCTAGGCATTCTCTTGGTATCGCAACAGCTGGCCCTGTGATGTCCTCGTGCATTCCGCCGCAGAAATAGCTGGGACGCTTGCCATGTCATCCATCTCCGGAAGCTCCTGGCGGAATGTCGTAGCAAAATTCAGCAAAAGGACTCGCGACATAAGCCGAGCGCTGAGTCACCGACAACAGCAGGACTTGACCCCACGAAAATACGAGCCGAATATGGGGTCTGGAGTCTGCACAACGATGAATTCCATCTCTGCTTGGTTTCCTTTTCGACGCATCTATTAGCAGACCTGGAAGATTAACCCTGAAGGGAACCCCTGTCACGTGTCACATGGGCAGGGTGCCATTCACACACCTGAAGCAACAAGCCCCCAAGAAGGAAGCCTTCAGTGTACCTGATACCTTCCCCTTCTCTACACACTATGACCGTGAAGATTCTGCATTGTTTGCGAGCAACAGGGCTGCACAGCGACATATGCTGCAAATCTTCAACGCTTCTGCATTGGCTGCGGTCACAAGTTCAGCATGCAAACGTGCCAATCCGCAGCTTCCTAAGTCACAAAGCTCAAAAGAATTGAAAACCTCACGGGGAATCCCAAGTAAATGGCATTCATTCATCATACAGGGATCCTTACATTATACACATGAACATTGCCTTGTACATGGTGGGTTCCCGTTGATTTGGTGGAAAAAGCCATGTTTCAATTGGGCAAAATGTATCTTTTAAGGAGCCCTGTCACAGTTGAGCTTGTTTAATGCCCGTGAGCTCGCCACAAAAGGAAGAACACGAACCGTTGCTCAGAACCCAGTGCTCCATAATTATCTTACCCAGCGCTTGCAAATGCCACCATAGTACTTCGGGATGATTAATAGACAGACACAATAAATATCATACATTAACAAAGAAGACTAGAAGTCTTCATTTTGAGAATTATCCATCATTATATCGTTCATTCTCCCAGAATAGACATTAAAATCGAACTTCTATTAACACACCGACAGTTGGTCTTCTACCATCAGATTGCGTTGTTATCCACCCTTTCAAACCAACAATGAAACGCATATTATTATTCAATCGAGCGTGAAGTGACCTAGCTACCGATGATTGGGGGAGTGGCCTTGGTTGCTTGTTTACATAACTTCACAAAGTTAAAGTGTTTGTGTGGTTTCAATGGAAACTCCACTGTTTCCCAACGAGCTCAATTGTCCAAAGATCCGACCAAACAGCCATAAAGTGACAAGGGTGCCCTTTGCCCATGGTCACAAGCCTTAGACGATGCAAAGGGTAGCGATTGGAGGGCATTGGTAAGGGGCGTCTCACTTCCGAGCGAGCATTGGTCAGAAACCGTCCGGACATGCTGTTTACCACAAGCATGACCTTCCCGAAAAGTGGAAAGTCTAGAAACTGGGCAAGGACCAGGGCAAACCAAGCCAGAAACAAGGAATCCCCAAGCAAGGGACCATGATAGGTGTGTTTTTTGTCAGGCAAAGGTGACCGGCGGAATTTTATCTGGAAGGACCGAACCAAAAGCGCGCTTCGAACTTCCAACCGCTTCGCCGGAAAAACAAAGGAAGCTCGCGCCTCTCGAGGTCTGGGGGAGCCTGCGTGGATTGTCTTAGAGCTTAGGATTCCTGTCACTGTACGCACTTCTCGAGTGGATTGCCCAAACAGAGTCCAAACCTCTTGTTTAACATTTGCCACACAATTTACCCAGGAACTGAGGAAGTTTCGAGGACTCGCTAAGTTATCACTTGGTCACAAGGTAGTCATAGTCATAGTATCACTTGGCCACTCACAGAAGCTTACCTTGACCCAACAATCCAACCCATGGACATGGACCGAGAAAGCTGAGTGCCAAAAGGCGGCGTGCAACTGGCTTTGAACTGGCATGGGATTAACAAACATGGAAATGCCGATCCTTGGACTGGCTGAGTGGTAAACTTGATCAGATTGGCTTCGAACTGAGCAACAACTGGCGAGTCCCACTCGGCAGATCTTAAGGGCGCTTACTTCCTTAAACCACAAGCAAGCTGAGAGGCTCAGCCTAAATTGCATCCTGACCACACCGTACAAGCCGCGTTGAGTCTTCGTCTAAATGAACCACGTAGTACTCTTGCCCATACTTCTGATATCCTCATTCCAAATGGACGTCTGAATGTGGGAAGGTCATTCACCAATCCAAAATAAACGTTCAGACCCAATGAAAGGGGTCGTCATGGGTGAGGTCGCAAACCACCTCTGCGCGGTCTTTCTGTTTGACGGCAATTGATGGTGCGATGGGACTCTGGGAATTGCAACCCGCTTCGCATACTGAATACTGAGTTCTAAACTCGCACATCCCCTTCACACTCGACGATCGAGGGCTGCATGCATTGCCATGCTCTTGCCATATACGGGTGTTTCCCAAACTTACCCCCGAAATTGCACCAGCGGAAGCGGGAGGACTTTTTTCCAAATCTAGATGCCCCAAGCACTCTAGCACGCAAATGTTCCGGCGCCAGAAAACTTGAATGTTCCGGATCTCGCAAAAACAAATGCGAGTTGTATCCCCATTTTCTGGCGCCCCTAAGCGCACGATTCCGGCGTATTGCTCGTAGGTTTGGCTTCCCGTAGGGGGACCCCCAAAGCTTGGTGCGTGGATCTGCTACAAATCTCACTTCCGAGCGAGTGGATGGGCCAACAAGAAGCACCTAATTTTGTCATACACCACTCAAAAGGTCCAAGCCCAAAGTGACTAAAGTCCAGAAACTCTGGAACTGAGAAGTTGTTCACGTTTAGTGCGATATGTCATTCCAACTCTATGCTCTCAAGGTCTACCAAACAAAGCTCTGAAGGTATGGCTGGGAACCGAAGCCACCTCGAAAAACCAGCTCTAACATGATGAGAGTTAGGCCCAGCAATAGAATATATATATATATATATATATATATATATATATATTGTTTGCTTCACTTTGAGTCACTGGCAACATGTAAAATGTATCCTAGGTCTACTCCAAAAAACACCTCGGCCTTCAAACCAACTTGGTTGACGTTGGAAGGGGAGCAACAAATCTCAAATGCTAGCAGTTAAGTGGATTTGGATTTCAACCACTCAACCGCAATAAGATCAAACATGGGAAAAATGTGTCCCAACAACAACCATGCCAAGCTCTAGAACCCAGACCCGTCCCAGCACTGAGGCTCCGCCTTGCCGGGCCAACTTCCCAGCCGGAGCACTTTGCCTGCGCGAGTTCATCAGAAACGGGCGGAAGTACAGATCGGCTCAGGAAGAGGAACATATGTCTTGTGAAAAACAAGGTTAGGAGTCGCCTGCTACAAGTCGAAGACTTCCAGTGGGTTTCGTTGTCTTGGGAATTTAACAAGGTTAGGAGCAAGCCTATCTGGGCTGTCGCCTGCTAAAAGTCGAAGACTAGTGGGTTTAGTGGAACTAGCACGAAACCAATCTAAGAAGCTCGAAAAAAACCTAAGGAACCGGATGGCTCGGAGACAGCAAGCTGTGTTTCCTCCCCTAACATGGAAGCTCCCAAGAGGCCATAGGTCTTAAAAGGTCCAGGGAGTGTCGATGGGATCGCCTAAGCTTAGGAAAGGGTCCTTTTGGCGGGGCACCAAAACGAACCACCTGGACCCTCAAACTACGGAACTCACGCCATACATTTGGGGCAATAACCTTTTTTTCAGTTGGAATTGTGAGGGTCCAGGTACCCTCATATCAACAGGCTCTAACCCCTCTTGAAGTTGGGAGACCTACAAGTTGTGTCGGAGTTCCTTACGGGAAAACGTGCAGATGCCAAAAACAAGGATCTTCGCACCAGTTGGCCGCTGCAAGTGAAACAAACCACCAATCCCCTGGCGTAATTAGATTCTGCCCAGCCTAAGGTTTGCCTTCAGGGTCAAGGCTGGCTTGGTCTGTGCATTCAGCTCTGGCAACACGGGAAAAATAAAGAAAAAGTTCGAAGCGAGCCAGCCGCTGTCCGCCATTTGTTGGAACTTCATTTGGTTCTAAGGAACCCAAGGTCCCACAGCCACGGCTCGGCTCAAGGCTAAATTTGCAGAAGAGGGGCATCTTGCCACTTGCGGGTTCTCGGTGGAATCATGTGAAGGGATTCGGGAATGCATTAATGTTGACCTCTTCATCCGGACCTACTGGTCAAAGAAAGCGCTTGAAAATAGGAATCATGTTCTTACTTAGAGGGGAGGCCCCCCTGATTGGAATGCTCCTCTGGCTTAATCTGAAGTCAACATTTGCCTAAAAGGAAACCGCACATGGTGCTTGGTCCGAGGTCATTCCAAGTCATTTCCTAGGAACCGGCAACCAAAAGAACCAAGACAACCTGCCCAAAAGCCATCCATTTTGTGGGATCGGATTTTTCTTTGTGGGACCAAGAGACATAGAGGTCCAGGTGATTTGCTATGAGGGTCTGGATTCCGGAAATAACGACTCCCTTACCACAGGAGCCGGTGAAAAGGCGATGTTCTTCTGGCAAAAGAACGAAAAGTTGATGAAAACTCGAAAACCCAGTGTCAAACAAGTCAAACAGTCGGCTTGGGCAAGTGAGTAAAGCGTGAGGTATCAAGAAAAGGACGCCGGCCTGAGCATCATGAATGCATTCAGACAAGAAAACATCCACCACCGTGGTGGCTCATACTGAAAGAGCTCGAACTTGCTGGTTCTTGGTAAATTATTTTTATGGGGTGTGGGCATGAATTTGGTGGGGACATTCCCTCATTCCTGCGAGGCCAACAAGCCAACTCTCTCATGTTGACGCCTTTCCGCGCTACTGCAAGATCTACCGATCGGGTTTGCCTCTGGACTTCCGCAGGACGAAACCCACCACAAGTTCCCTTTTCGAAAGAAAAACACAAACTTCCATGGCTCCATGTGGGGGACAGGGTAATATTTTCCAATCCTGGACGTGAACAAGAGACCTTGTCAAGAGGATGTCGTTTTTGGTGTTCAATGCGCTCCGATTGTCTGCTTCGATGATTGTTGGAGAGAGGCGAGCCCAACAGTTAGCGATCAAAATATGGGAGCTGAAAAGTGGCGGTCTTCCATTTGCTTCCCTCTATCTGAAACCGTTCTTAAAAAGGGTAGCCTAAACAAAAACACGCCGATAGCTGCGTTAACATGGTGTTCGTTTTCTCCGAGCGCGGCCTCGGGAGCCCCCTTCGGAAGTCCAAGGCAATCCCCAGCGGTCTGTTGCCCTCTTCGAGGGATTCGCGAGGCTGAGGCCAGGGCGGTTGTCTCAACTTACCCTGAAAAAGACCGGTGCCCCTCGGCGAATTTCGGCGCCCTTTGCAAATCCCAGATGGTTTTCCCTTTACGTGGAATCACAGGCCTTCAGTTTCCAAAACCCTCTTTTACTAGGTCCTCCAGTAGAGAGGATTGAATGAGGGTACCCTTTTTTTCTGTAGTCTACTTTAGTAGGGGAGCCCTCCCCCTAAAAAGGGTGAGAAAGGGCACTACTGGGGGACCTAGTTTAGGCAACCAAGTCATGGTCAAAACCATGGGGGAAGCACAGACTGGGAGGCCATGGGCGCCCTGGCCGAGAATTCACGTCACGGAAGGTAGGGGAAAGGTGCCATGGCACCGACGAAAGCTGCAGAAGGCGCACGCCCATCGTTTGATGGAGGCTGCCCGTGAATTCGGCTCGGGCCAAAAAGGGAAGCCCGTGCTCTTGAGAAGCGCGCGTTCGCGAATTATCTTGCACATGACAAGCAGGTTGCGTGCACCATCTTGCAAGGCAGCTAGATTGTCACAGCTGCGCTGGGCTCTTGCATCATTCACTTCATGCTTTGTCCTGCCGACGCACTGGCCAATTTTGAACTGATCGGTTGAGGCCCACAAAAAATCACCCTACCATACCAAAAACACAGACAGGGGATGTCAACAGCCGCTCCGCACAAGGGTTGAGTCCCCTATATAATGTCAAGCAAATCTCATGAAAACGGCAAGCAAAGAAACACAAATCAAAATGCCTGCCTGGACAAGAATAAACCCACATCTCTGACTCCAAGTAAAGCGGGTCTGGCTGAAATACCTTCACCTAATCAGAGGTCCCTGGATTTCCCCGAGCAAGTTGATCAGTTTGACCGGTGGCTTGCAATGAAAGTACCACTTTAGGTCCAAGAAAGGTAAACATGATTCTGTCTCACACCAGGGAACCCGCAAATTGGTCCATGTCCTTCGTTTTGTTCACTTGTTCACACCATACTGGCCTCATTATTTTACCATGATCAAAGTCACCCCAAACGTGGTGGGTTAAAGGGAAACAACCCCATTTTCTGGCTTTGATAACCCCCAGAAACCGTCAAAATAATGACCCTAGACCCTATTGCCTCAAATTTGGGTCCTTGATCACAGCGCTGCCGGTGCGCGGCAGCGCTTTCCGGTTCTTCCAGCGATGTCCTCGCAGCTGCCATCAGCCCTCCGATGGGTGGGTTGGAGGTGTGGAGGTTGGGTGGTTTCCCATTACCCAAATCGACCAGAGGTTCAGCTCCCCTCAAACAGGGTGGTTTGGATGCTTTGAGGTGCGGTTGGGTTGTTTCGCCTTTATCCACAAGAGCCAGGGGTTGAAATCCAAATCCCAACCAGTTCAAACCACCAAGGGTTGCCGGATTTTTGTTTGCGCTCAAAGCGCTTCGATAGCAAAACCAAGAAAACCTTGTGGCAACCCTTGGTAGTCCCAACGCCTGAGCAAGACACGACAAGTCAAACACCTGAAAAACGGTTTGGTCGGATCCCAAGTGGAGGGCCTCTGCATCATAGTGAGCTCCTTCGATTTTTATCTCGAGTCGGCGAACTCAGCTGAAGTCTCCTTGCTTGAATTATGTGGGGGCCTGATGAACAGGGATCGACTTTTTGATTCCACCCCTTTTGCTCCTCTGATGAGTTCCCCATTGACACTGGTCAACACCGAACAGGGCTTCTTGTTTCGGATGGGCCGCCAGTTGCAACTGGTATCCCTCGGTTTGCTGTTTCTTCCTTGCCCGGTGGACACTCACGCAAAAGTGAAGAATCCTTGCTATAAGGTCATCGTTTGAAAGGCGCAATTTATCCAGAGATTCTCTAGAGAGCCACCAAACACCCGGCAAACACGACCAGCGCTTGAAAACGAAGGACCAACTAGAGGCATGCACGTGGAGTTTTTCATTCACGCCTTTGTGAGGCTGACCTGTCCGTCGCACGTGATCGTCAACCGCACGTGATCGCGTTCGGAACCTTCTGGGAACCATTCTGATAGCCCAGCGCTTTGTGCCCTCTAGCTAGCCCTGGTCAGTGGATTTCCAGGGGAAAAAAGAATCGGCAGCCGTCTTGGGTTGGTCGAGTTCAAAGGGAACAGAAAGACAAGAAAGAATTGGGTATCCCGAAAGGGAACAAAGAAAAGTTCTAGGGAACAGAATCCCCCAAAAAAAGGAAAAGAAAGAATTGGCAACACCGACTCGACCGGGCAACTGGGTATCCCCATCAGCCAGCCGAACTCCCTGAAGCCGTGGGCAGAGACCCCCGGAACGCCAACCCCACCCCTCAACGCGTCGGCGGTTCGGGTCCTCTGGATGTCGATTCGTCACCCCGTTCCTGCGAACACGGGGTGCTTGCTCCGCACCCCAGACAAGATCTGAGCTGCGAGAAGCAGTGGGTGTTCATTTGAAACAGGAAATGCTTTGAGCGGTGTTGCAAATTGCACCTCCACACTTTTTTTGCAGTGGGGACTGCCCCAACCTTCACAAACCATGGCTTTGACCAGCGGCTCGCCTCTCCAAGCTATGCCTTTGGAGTTCCAATGCGTCGCTTGAACAGGCTCTGTTTTGTCACCCGTCCTCATCGGAGCTTGCCTGGGCGATACAACGACCCCATCGGACGGCGATGGACACGAGCAAAGGCGCCCATCTCTTCTTGGTATCGGGTAGCGCTACCCCACAAGCGTCTGACTGACTGCACACCCCTCTGGAATGCTCATGAAACAATCTTCCCTCCGCGTACAAAGAAACAAATGAGCTTCGACCCCAGGCGAAAATGCCGGGAAGCTGCACTTGTAAAGCAGGATGGGGCTCAACATGTGTTTAAGCAACCAAGGACTCGGAGTTCAAGTTGAAACCAACAGGAGCGCACGATGCTCCAAACATGTTGACAGGGGCTGAATTGCCCAATTCTGTTGCGTGTCAGAATCCGCAGGTACCAAACTCTCGAAAACCGACCCCCCTGTTTTCTTGTTTTTGATTAATTGAGCTCAAACCGAAAATAAGTTTGGTCCCCTAAAGAAGACACCCTCCAAAAAAAGTGAAGGAAAGCCAGGAAAAAAAGGCAAGGTCTGGCAATGTCAAGGAGTCAACAAGTACGTGAAGGCTTATGACAGTGAATAACCCCAGAAGTGGCCAACGAAGACCCCACAGGGCCCTCAATCCTTCTGACCCCAAAGCCACAATCAGACCCTTAAAGTAGCCTCGTTTGATGGAAGTAGAGAAGCCTGATGATGGTCTTGGAAACCCGATCTTGCACAATCAACTCCATGGAGGGTTCATCTTTTCCACCTTGAGGATGCCGGAGCTGGACACCATAAAGAAGGACCTACATCATGGCTCGTTTTCCAAAGCTCGGCATAAGAAAGGATCAGGCTCACGAAAGCTTGGTCCACTAAATTTACGCAGAGCATATGTTTGTTTTGTATGTTCCCACACTCAGTCTGTTCTGGGTTCCCCCGATATTGGGTTGCTAACCTAAAAGATAAAACAAATTTGGAGGAGACCCCAGCTGTGCTGCCGGAGCGCAATCGACACTCTCCGCACAGAATTCCTCCTCGGGCTCTCAAAGGGCGATGCTGGCGATACCGAGTCCTCGCGCACGTTGCGACGTGGGTTGGGCGGGTTGGGTTGGCGTGTTCAGGGCTTGGGCATTGACACTCTGCCGATTTTGCAGGCAAAAACTCTGAAAGCCCAATGCTCTAAACACAAGGGCTCGATTTTGCGACCTCCTTCATTGGAGTATGCCTCCCTTCAGGGTATGGGGCTGCAACGCAACCTGCAAGTGTGGGTTTGAGGGAGTCGCCGTGAGTGCAAGGATTGGGGTCCCAAACTCCAGACGCACACCCAAGCTCATTCGAGCCCCCATCAATACCTGGTCAGTCTACCCAAAAAGAAGCAACATGAGCTCTGTGTTCTTATTGTCTCGCTTTTTCTTTCTTTTTTTTCTTCGGATGACATTGCTTGGTGCATGCAAAGGGCAAACACTTGGTTGCTGTTGACCTCTGCGAAAAGTGCACAGCTTCTTGATCCCCTCTGGAAAAAAAAACCTCTTCTGTTCTAACCAACAAGTTATACAGTGAGATCCGTTGCCAAATAGGTCCAACGCAAAGTCCCCACTGTTGTGTCAACCAAAAGGTTATGAAGTCAGAGCCGCTACCAAACCGCCATCCGGAAATCGATCCGCTAAACGCGGTTTCCCCCTTCGGCACATGGGGTAAGCTGGCGAATCCATCGACGGCTCCTAAGAAGTGGCACCATCTTCAGTCCACACAACGTGTGACATCGTTCACAGCACCAGAGATGAATGGGTGTCTCAGTTGTTCAGTGACCCTCGGATGTTATTCCGCCCCAAAATGGGATCGGCATAGGGTATGACCCATGGCCATATAATATAGGTGTGGCTCAAAATTAAAGAGCTAGGGTTACGCAGGTGATTGTCTATGGTTCCATTTACCAAGGTGCCATGTTGGTACATGTTTTTGAGCCACAGCCAGCTGGATTTCCAAGAACCCTCCACACCTTTTCAGGATACCCCAACGTTCCCATGATTCCTTTCACTTGAGGCCGGGGTATGCTTAAAAGCCATGTTGGAGGGCTCTTGAAGAACATCAACAGGGTGCCTGTTTCAGGTCAAGCGGGAACCAACAGGAAAACCACAAATGGTCCGTCTCCCTATTTTGACACGTGCCCATATTCCCAGCACCACACAAATCAATAGAAACAAGGCCGGCCCGTGTTAGTTAGAGTAACATTCTGGGAATTTTACGGTACCGCAACCGAGCATATGAGCAACACTATGCCCCACTGCAAAGGACACGGGAGGAATACCTTAGGAATACTGACTTGGCCATTGATGAGCCAAGCAAAAGTGTACACTTTTGGGGTCACCACAACAATAAAGTGACAGAGAGGGAGAGAGAGAGAGAGAGAGAGAAAGAGAGAGAGAGAGAGAGAGCCATCCAGAACAACAATGTAAAGTGTGTCCACTGGCTGGGTGAAATTAGCCCCCTCATTTGTGTGAAAGTTTGTGAATCCCCCATTCCAAATTCTTGTAACCGAATCTCACACGTGCCACGGTCAAAACTCCGTGTTGGGATTCCCCAAAAGGAAAACTGCTTTCCAACACGCTCCTGTCAGCTTCCATGATTGTTGAAGGGGGGATAAGCCTTGTTTAAACAAATTTCCACGTGTGGTTGAGTCAGTGTTTGTTTCTTTCACAACCCAGATCAGCGGCTCTCACTTTTTTAGGTTCTCACTTCATGAGTTCCGGTTCGGACTTGAGTCTCTTTGGGTTTGGACCACTCAGGAAGTGTTTATGCACCCTTCACGCCAGCAAAAAGTCGACTTACTGTTTACCCCTGACTAGTAATCCCCTCAAGGTCAAAAAGGTCCAGGGAAAAACAGCAAACGAACAGCAAACGGAGGGTCCCCCTCGCAGCGCAATTCGATTGTCTCCTGTGTTGAATCTCTTTTTCCTGTTTTTTTGTGCCCAGTTGGCTCTGCAAGTCAATTGCTTGAAGTTGGGGATGGTCAGGTACCGTCTAGGGATTTGCGAGAATCACAAGGTTCCTTGCCAGTTTCGGGGACCCTGCTTCGAGTTTCGGGATCCCGAATTTGAGTTGAACATGTCTTGAGTGAAAAAGTCGGGCGTTTCGATTCGGAGCGGAAACTCGGAAATCTGGCCTTGCGGATAGGAGATCTGGCCATGAGACGCTCAAACTCATTGTCCCCAGACATCCTGCGGTTTCGCCGCCGAAGCTACCTTTTTTGGGGTGCCATTCCTAAAAAGAACACACGCTCAAACAACCAGGCCGAGTTGAGTTCTTTCCGCTTGGGTGGTGGTGTGCTTCTTTTTCCCGAAAAAGGGTGGCCCCCAAATAAATAGCCTTGGGCATTTGTTTGGTGAATCAAACGGGAGCCTTCAACAAAAATAGCTCGTCCAACTCAGCCCCTACGCTTGGGTTCATGTTTGTGTTTTCCAAGAAAAGGGGTGTAACCCAATTAACTAGTGTGATGTCCCTGTTTAAGTGGTTGATGCTGTGCGGGGCTACGAGCAACTCCTCAACTGACCCCTACAACAACAAGAAGGGAGTACACCTTAGGGATAATTCTCATGCAAAGGAAACCAAACGCAGAAACTGCTTTCCAGGCCCCACACGCTGGCAAGTGTCAAGCACTCGATGAATCAAAGACCACTTGCAAAGGGACCTGCAAAGAAGAAACTGGCCCCATTGATTTGCCATCAACACAGTCAAAACCCCAGAGAAACGTTCTTGATTTGTGTTGGGCTATTGGCTATCCTTGTTGAAAGAAGGCACCCTCGGAAGCTGGCCTTTTGCGAACAACACGATGTTTCAACGGGCCAAAATCATCAAAAGGGGGTGGGGTGCTAAACCACATGATCGTGAGAATAAGACGTACTCCGATTATCCAGCCCCCTCATTGTAAGAAGACTCCTCTAAAAGCACATTGTTTGGGTCGGTCTGCAGGATTGGGTTCGAAAACAAAATAGTGAAACAGCCCCCGTCTGTTCGTGGGGTAATTGCGCCCTGGACAAAAATCAAACATGCCAGCAATTAGGGTGTCTAACTGGGGAAAAAGCAGTCGTTGGAGGGTGCTGGTGTGCAATGTCAAATGACCAGCTCAAGTGGAGTTCCTTGATCCCTGCATCCTACTTGCGAGGGACCGCCCTTGAACTGACTGCCGTGGCCTATGTTGTGCTTGTGGGGGCAACAGCCATTGTACAGCAACTGACTGACGAGAAAGGCCTAAAGCACGGATGCCAACATCTTCGACAGGCCCTGTCGCTTCAAAAACAACCATTTGCAATCGGTGCTCCAGGCTATAAAAACGGTTCCTTTTTCGTTTTGAGTCGCCAAAGAAAACTGCCCTTTGTGCTTGCCACTGAGACGGTTGTCCCAAGCGAAAAACAACGAGAAAGGGCAGGGGATAAATCGGGAGTCTTGCTCTCGTTTTTTGAACCGGCTCCTGGCCTGTCGGGGTGTCATGAACCTAAATCAAGTCACTTCAGATCAGTATCCCCCCAACACCCGGTGTTTCTTCTTTTGCGGGTAACTACCCTTTTTTAGGTGGGTTTAAAGGGAGGGAAACCAACACCAAAACCACATAACCCTAAAACGAGACGCGCCCAACTGCTTTTTCAATGTCCAAAATCCCCAAGTACCCAAGGAAGCCGTGGCTGGGAAGTGTCCCCCGCTCCTCCGAGCATTGTTCGAGGCGCTGGAAGCAAAACCTCAGCGGTTTCGCCAGAGAAAGCAAAATGAACATGACTTTGGCTTTCCCCTTGGGTAGGGGGTGTATATGGCTGTCTTGTCTTTGGGGAATCCCCCCAAACAAAATGTTGCTCCGGTGTTCCTTTTGGATTTCCGTTTAAACCACACAAACGGAGGAGGGTACTCCCTCAGGACTTCCCTCATCCAAAGGTTGTTAGACCTTTTGTAGCTTCAATGGACAAGCTATGTATGTCTAAGTGGCGGAAACACCACAGCCATGTGGCGTAGGTGTCCTGCGGGGACAAATGCATGTTAAGGGTAACTCAAATGGCAGCGGAGGGAGACACAAAAATTGGGGTTTATCAAAATCATCATCCCTAAAATGGTAGAGGACCCTTAAATTCCTACTAAAAGGGGGGTCTTGACCCGGGAGACCGTCCCCCCCCCCCCCCGCAAAAACAAGAACAACACAACAACAACAACAACAACAACAACAACAACAACAACAACAACAACAACAACAACAACAACAACAACAACAACAACAACAACAACAACAACAACAACAACAACAACAACAACAACAACAACAACAACAACAACAACAACAACAACAACAACAACAACAACAACAACAACAACAACAACAACAACAACAACAACAACAACAACAACAACAACAACAACAACAACAACAACAACAACAACAACAACAACAACAACAACAACAACAACAACAACAACAACAACAACAACAACAACAACAACAACAACAACAACAACAACAACAACAACAACAACAACAACAACAACAACAAACAACAACAACAACAACAACAACAACAACAACAACAACAACAACAACAACAACAACAACAACAACAACAACAACAACAACAACAACAACAACAACAACAACAACAACAACAACAACAACAACAACAACAACAACAACAACAACAACAACAACAACAACAACAACAACAACAACAACAACAACAACAACAACAACAACAACAACAACAACAACAACAACAACAACAACAACAACAACAACAACAACAACAACAACAACAACAACAACAACAACAACAACAACAACAACAACAACAACAACAACAACAACAACAACAACAACAACAACAACAACAACAACAACAACAACAACAACAACAAACAACAACAACAACAACAACAACAACAACAACAACAACAACAACAACAACAACAACAACAACAACAACAACAACAACAACAACAACAACAACAACACACAACAACAACAACAACAACAACAACAACAACAACAACAACAACAACAACAACAACAACAACAACAACAACAACAACAACAACAACAACAACAACAACAACAACAACAACAACAACAACAACAACAACAACAACAACAACAACAACAACAACAACAACAACAACAACAACAACAACAACAACAACAACAACAACAACAACAACAACAACAACAACAACAACAACAACAACAACAACAACAACAACAACAACAACAACAACAACAACAACAACAACAACAACAACAACAACAACAACAACAACAACAACAACAACAACAACAACAACAACAACAACAACAACAACAACAACAACAACAACAACAACAACAACAACAACAACAACAACAACAACAACAACAACAACAACAACAACAACAACAACAACAACAACAACAACAACAACAACAACAACAACAACAACAACAACAACAACAACAACAACAACAACAACAACAACAACAACATAGGATAAAAAGTAAAAATCACCGTCTGGGCCAAGAATCCCATGGTAAGTACAAATACACGTGGCGAGTGAATTTATGAGCTTTGACCAAGCCGAAGCCGGTGACCAAACCAACCAAAACAAGGCTCACAAGACCCCAGGACACCGCCGCATGCACCGGAGGTGCCCTTGGTTCACAGAAAGGCAAGGTGAAGCATCCGATTTAGCGGGAACCGACCCTCAGCTGGGCGGAAAGACATTCTTTAAGCAACGACCAGGATGGCTCATGGCAAACACTGCCTTTCAGGGGATAAACAGAACCAGGGGGTGAACATTGCTATGCTCTATAAGAAATGCAGAGGATATGTTGAGTCAAAGCGTCCACTGCCTTTTGCCTTCCTCTGATTTCCAAGTCCTCGCCAATCTCGCAAACAGAAAGAGCCCCCTTTGGCTTTTGTTTGGGCACCCTCCCTTTGTCTGTGGCTTTCCTGTTGCATTCAAAGCAAGCCTCAGTCTTTTGGGCCACTAAAAAGACGGGCCCAAAAGTGGATCACCAAAAGGTCAAATGAAGAAGTGGATTCGGCTTGGTTGCAAGTGAGGCTTGACGCTTTTCTCTGTTGGCTGCGGTTGGCTCCTTCTGTCTTTTTGTAGTGGACCCCCCAAAATGGTGGCGTTCTCGAAACCAACCAAGCTGAGTTTCGGAGCCAGCCCCCTCCGGGAAATGGCAACTAGACATACTTACAGCAAGGCAGGAGCGGTCGGGTTCTCCAAAAAACTGGCTGAGACGTTACTTCGATTTTTTTCTACTAAAATGTCCTTGCTTAGATCCATTTTTGTCTCGCTCTCAAAGTATAATGAAGCAGGGATCCTTACAGTATACACTTGATCATTGCCTTGTCAATGGTGGTTTGCCTTTATTTTGGTGGAAAAAGCTATGATTCAAATGGGCAAAATGTATCTTATAAGGAGCCCTGTGAAACAAATTGGTTTGTGAATTTGAGAGACTCCCGAGTTGAGCCAAGCGGCTGGCGCTTTCGGATGGACTGGCCGCGCTCTCGTTCGAGCGTGTGCGTTGGCTCTTGCGCTGGGGCACAGCCAGGCGCCCAACGCCCTGCAGAACAGGGGGCGGTTCCACGAAAAGACTGGGGGTGGTTCTCCTCACTTCTTTCTGGAAAACGGTTTCTGGGCTGCCCTCTTCTTTCTTTCTAGGCATATGAAGACTTGCGTGCCAGAAATCCGTTTCTGGGCTGTCCTCAGATCCCCCGCCAAAAGTGGCTAACTCTTAGTGGATTAAATGGAAATCCAAACACTGAACACTAGAAGGCTAAAAGGCAAAGGGGATGGCTGGGAGCCACCAAAGTTTGGATGCGCTTTTGGTGGACTTCACCTGTTCCCCTTGTAGTCCCCAGTGAGTTGTTTTAGGGGTGTCAAAGGGACCATTTTGCGGCCCCAAATTCCATCCATCGGACCCCTAGAGTAGACAGGTTCCAAACGACTAGCAAAACAAACCGTAACAAGGGCCTCCATGTTCAACCAAAATGACCTACCGCACCCCCTACCCCCTCCAAAGTCCTGATTTTTGGGCATGTCAACTGCTGACAAAAGGAGGCAAGCACCAAAATGCCATACACAAATAGATATTCACCAAGGTAAACCGTGTTCAAACAAAAGCCACATACAAATATTGCAAATAGATACTGTCAGTAGGGGTAGGAGTCTCAGAAAGGCCCACAAGCTGAAGGCTCCAGTCCCACTCTGCGAGATGGAGCCATGAAAAACCCTGTTCCTTTGATACCAAAGCAGCTGATTCCCGTCTAACCATGACTACTTTGACACTTCAGACTTGGACATCTTGGACCCCATCCCTGATCCTCATGCGCAAAGCAGTGGGACACCACAACAAGGGAACCCACTACCATCTGGCGTAAGGATTTAAGGTTGATTTGAAACACGCTAGCCTTATTAGGTGCTTCCCGAAGGCTATCACAAAAAAATGGCAAGCAACAAACACACGTCCCATGACTTCCCACATGCGTGCTGTGCAAGCTCTTCAGCCATGAGAGCAATGCTTCACGTGTGCGGACAGCTTGGTGCCATCTCACCAGTCACGATCAAAACCATGAGGTCAATTGGTTCAGTGGCTACCTGCGGGATGGACGAATTCCACTTCGCACCACCTAAGAAACGCTGGAAGGATTCGAATCCTCTGGAAGTACCAACAAACAATGGTTTCCACCATGGTTTCAAACTTGGTTGACGTTGGAAGCAATTTAAGTCTTAACAGTTCAGTGGAGTTGCAAGAAGCAAACATGGGAAAGATGTTTCATCCTGCAAAGTGCGAGCGGATTTCGCCCTCCATCCGTGGGCCCTTCGGCCCAAGCGAGGCGAAGGCGTCACTTTGGGCCCCGGCGGAGGAGGAGCTAGCGATGGGCAGTGAGCCAGTCGGGAGGGAGGCGGTGAGATTGCCTGGCGCAAAACATCGAGGACTGCAGTTCCTTGACAACCACTGAAGAAAACTGGCAAATATATGTTTTGCGCATTAATAGGTATACAACATATTTAAAATTCAAATATACTACTTGCAAAAGATGTTGTTTACCAATATAGTTCAAGGCTTTGGAGGGAATGTTTTTTGAACAAATGCAGATACAGCACAACTCTCTTTGCGTCGTGAAGTAGAGGGGGATGACTAAAGGTCTAGGGGAAGCTTCCAATTCCAGTCTTAATCCAGGGGTCCTTCCAAAAACCGTTGGACGAAAATGCGATCGATGTTTGAGAAAGGAACCATGGTTGAAAAGATTCAGCATGGTTGGAATCAAGCCCTGGAAATATGAAATAACTTGAAGGCTGACCAAAAGATGGTCAGAAGAAATCCTACTGTGAGAGCTGTGGAAGGAAGAAATCCAGACATCTTCAATCTGTTTCTGTCTCCTTCATGAATCGTTCCCTTCTTCTCTGTAGTCTCGTGCTGTGAGATGCGTCATCCGGAAACTCGCTTCCTGAATGGCCCAAGTACCCAAACTGTTTGGTTACCATTGAAATGGTCCAAACCCACAAAGTGACTAAAGTCCAGGAACTCAGGGAGTGAGGCAATGACCCACGACCCACCGGTCATGTTTTTGTTCTTCTTCTTTTTTATGGAAGGTGTTAAGAACAGTACCTGGCGCTAAGAAATGCTTAGAACCAAACCGAAAACAGCTGAATCACTCGCTCTCCGCCCAACTCAACTAAAACACACCTTCAGCTTGCTGTCAAAGCGTTCCAACAAAACGGGGGCTCGCTTTGACACTTGCCCAAGGGCCGGGTGACGTTTCCCTTTGCCTTCCCGAAAGATTCTCAAGGTTAAACTATGCTTGGCCTTGTTGCTCCCCAGAGACTCGAAAGGAACATCTTGTCGGCACCCCGCGCAGCCCAGGGAATTCCCCGCCTTCCTCTCTGGTGCCACCTGCAGGGTTGTCGCAAAAAGAGAAACAAACAGAGCGAAAGACACTAGGTCCTCCAGTAGAGAGGTTAGAAGAAGGGTACCCATTTTCTGTAGTCTATTTTAGTAGGGGAACCCTCCCTCAAAAAAGGGTAAACGGGCACTACCGGAAAAACCTAGGACAAATAGAGAGAGAGAGAGAGAGAGAGATATAGACTCACTTTCGAACCAGTGGATTGGCCAACAAAAAGCAACCATGCTTGTTGGTTGCGACTCAAATGGGCAAACCCAAAAAGCTTAGAGTCCGGTCTTCCCAAAAATTGACTGAAGTCCAGGAACTCAGGGAGTGAGGAGAGACACTGCTGGGTTCGTGGATAAGGCACAGCTCCCCATAATTTCCCCTTACATCCTCCCTGAAGGCGACTCACTTTAGACTGGAAAGGACTCAACAAAAACAAGATGCCTTCCAAGTTTGTTAAGGAATGCAAAACTGGGCGCGGAAAGCGAGTCTGGAAGATTCAGGCTGGTCCATTTTCTTGTGGTTCCTTCAAGGATCTTTACAACCCTATAAAAGCGTCGTGTTTTGCAGCCCTCGACAACCTCAGTATATTAGTATAGGTGGGCAAATACGGACTCCGACATGAGTGGTTTCCCTTATGGTTTTCCTTCAAGCAGGCTGAAAAGGGTACCCTCAACCAAAAGTCACAACAGAAACAGAAACAAGCAAACAAATGGAAGGGAACAAAAACATACCCACGCACCCATTCACAACACGCACAACACGCATAAACACGCACCACACGCACAACACACACACACACACCACACGCACAACACACGCACAACACACTGGTTTCAGGAGCATAAGCCATGCAGCACATCCGGCCTGGCTGCTCCGAGGAGCCACTGCCTGGCTGGGAACTGGAAACAAAAAAACAAAAGCACACACAGCACAAGTTCGGCTAGGGCTAGGGGAAACCGTGTAAAACCTGGAGGGAGGTGAAAATGCATGCTTACCTACAGTGGTGGGAGCATTGCCTTTTCCGATTTCGAGCTCACCGATGGGGTGAAAGTCCTACTCTTGGGGATCCAATCTGAAAGCCTTTGGGAGACATTGGCGAAATTTCAAGCACGAGCTGCGCTTTCAAGGAACATACCATCATCTTGCTGGTGCTCAACTGGGAAGGACTTATTGTAGAATGTGCAATTACATTCCATTGTGGTTGAAACTCTTCTACGTTTGACGTGCCGTTGGGCACTTGTTTGGCATAGCTTTCTGGCTTCTGCGGTCGGCAAGGCTCCCTTGAAAAGTCGTATGGGTTCTCCACTGGCCGGCATTGGATGGCCAGGTCCCGAACCGACCTCTCCAAAAACAAAATCCTGCGGCCATCTTCTGACTTCGAGGCGCATGGCAGCGGCATCCAGTGCAATTAGCTTCAACCGGGGTCTGGTGTGCGATTCTACAACTAGGTCCTCCAGTAGAGAGGATAGAATCAGGGTACCGTTCCTTTTTTCAGTCGTCTAGTTTAGTAGAGGAACCCTCCCCAAAAAAAGGGGAAAAGGGCACTACTGGGGGACCAAGACAAAACCAGAAGGTTCCACGAAGCTTCCACAAGTCGAATTTCCTCGGGCTTGCTTCCGGGACAGCCGGAGAGAACCCCTGGATAGGATGGGGTCCCGCTCGTTGCTTGGAGGGCGGTAACTACGGTGCAAGGTTCATGGCAACCCGCCGCACCCAAAACCCAACCTGATTGTTGGTTCTACCAAGATGGTGATAGAGGCTCATATAGGTGTGGGTCAAAACCCTGTACCGCTGGTGAACATCAAAAGAGGTGGTACATGGGTGTTCTTCCGCCCCGAAATGGAGGCATAGGGTATGACCCATGGCCATGTAGGTGTGGCTCAACATTAAAGAGACAGGGCAAACCGCAGGATTTCGTCTATGGCTCCATTTACCGTTTGGTGCCATTTTTGTCTCCATGTTTTCGAGCCACAGCCAGAAAGGCTTTGCTGTCACCACCTTAAGGCCAGGAAGCTTGACCACCTACCAAACTGGCCAATGGGATGTTGGGCGCTTCTCATGTCTTTTTGCAGTTGCTCCCCACCTCTTGCCACGAAGGAAATCTGCTCTGCATTTACCCGGGCTATCCTCAGGTCCCTTGCTAAAAGTTTTTAACTTTTAGCGGGTTAAGCGGAACCCCCCCCCGTAAACCCACAAAAAACGACTTAAAACGTAAGGAACCGGTCGGCTCCGGACGATTCGCTGGGAACCGCCAAGTTAAAGGGAGGCATCATGGTATGATGTCGAGTAGGCCCACCATCATTGCCACGACGCTGCTCTTGGGGAAAGTGCCTCTGGACTTGGCTAATGGGCTTGGGGCCGAGGTCTTGCAACATGGGAACCCCAGAAACTGTTGTTCCTTCTGGCTTCTCAGTACCCCAGAAAGAAACGCAACCCCCCGCCACCCCAACCCAAAGACGCCCATCGCTGAACTTCCGTCACAAGTCAACCTCAGGAACTTGAAGCTGGGGGTTATTCAATGGTGTCTTGTTTGTGAGGCCGCCCTTTTCAAATTGGGGTTGTTTTGGTTTCAATCGGACAATGCCATTTTGGGGCTCCTGGTTCTGACACCTACCCAAAACCCAGCCCTTTTCGCCGCGAGAAAAAACCGCTCCGCGCCTATGCGGGAACGGAAGGCGCTCACGGCGTCACTCAAGACCAGATAGTTAAAGGTCTGCGGGCGGGGTTTGTAGAGGCGGGCAAAGTGCTACCTTTTTCGCTCGGGTTGGCAGGGAAACACACACACACACAAACATTTGGGGGGGGTTGTTCCTTCTTTGACAAACACCTAAATGCCAAGTCTTTTGGTTGATTCGGCACATGGATTACAAATGGTCACGTAGGGAAAATAAGCCTGGGTGATCCTGGGTCCATTGAGGTGACACACCTCAAAATTACACTCTAAATGGTGGTTGCGGGGAAATCTCAAAAAGTACTTTGAGAATCCTTGGAGATTTCATCGGAAGCAAGAACACCTTCCCATTTGGCGGTTTGGAGGTTGGGATCTCATTTACCCTCAAAAGAACCAGGGTCCAAATCCCCCAGCCACTGATCCAAACCATCATTTAGTGTAAGCTGAAAGACAGGATTTTCTCGACAAAAAACTAAACAAACGGGATGGGTGTAGGGGCCACCTCAAAGATGTTGACTTCAGGCTGCGCTAGGCTTCTGACAGACAGGCACTGAGGGTTTTCTCAAAATTGCCCATGACCCCCTGTTGGTTAGTATGTGAAACAAGACACAAAGGCAACTAGCTATTTGGGGGGACCACTCTTCTGAGAACCCCCATGTGGTTGAAGTTGGTGTTAACACGTGGCAACCTGAGAACTGAAACATCCCCTGAATTTAAAGCCCAGGCCAGTTCAAGCCAACTATTTAAACCAAAGACCAGCTGCAAACAGCGACCCTGGCAGAAAGTTGCACTTCTATTCGGGGTTGACCATCTGAATGTTGTCCTCTGGTTGGCAAAGCCCCACCAAAGGTTGACAAGATCCAGAAAAAAAATGCCTGCGGCAGTTGCTCTGTTTTATTCCGAAAGACAGCACCTTTTTGTGTGGTGCTTGATTCTAAAACAGCCTCTCTTTGATGGATGGTTTAGATTGGTGGTTTGGTGGTTGCGAAGGGGTTGCCATTTACCCTCTAAAAAAGCGAGGGTTCAATATCCAAACCATCAATCCAAAACACCAATCAAGGGGTGACTGACTAAAAGGACCCCCCTCACAAACAAATAGTCATAGTAAAAACAAAAACAGGGCACCACCGCATGTCTGGAGAGTGATATTACCATCATAAGTAACCAGGGGGAATCATTCATGGTAGGCAACCGGAGGGAACCAGGGAGTCAGAAACCAGGAAAACCCACGTGAGTAAGTACTTCGCCCTCTGATATTCAGGACATTCCTCTAAAAAAACATGTTCTGTCTCAAAACAGATGTGGAAACCCCAAAATGTTAACAGTTTAGGTTTCCCTTCCAACCGCCCAAACAAAAGGCACCCGCAAAGACCAAAACCCATGCTCTTCCTTCATGTTCCTACAAGTGTCCCATGGTTTAACCCTGTGGTTTTGCCTAGACGATTCGCGACCCGAAGAACAGGCCTCAGGCTGAGACTCCACGGAGGAGGTCTGTGTCTGGCGCGGGGGAAGATCCCTTGAGTGACTTTAGAACAAGGATCTGTGAGAAGGAGCTTGGCTTTCGATCATGAGAGCTTGTTGACTTTGGACTTGGGTGTGAACTTGAGCGTTTTTTTTCTTTCTTTTTTTTCTTTTTTGTTCCGGTTTTCGCAGGCCACCGATTTTGGGGTTCTTTAAGACTCCTCAAGACCCCCCCTTTTACATGAGAAAAACACCCTAACTTCAGGTCGGTGAGCTTCTACGCCAGCCCAACATGGAAGTGCACCTGTGGCCCTGCGTGTTGCAAGGAACGCCAGTCTTCCAAAGTGCGAAACCTGCAGCCATGTTTCTGGGCTGAAGCGAAAACCCTTTTTTGGTCCGGTCACGCGTGCGGGGGCGCTCTTCTCTCTACAAGAAATCACAGTGCCTGAAAGCAGAATTGGATGCAAGCAAAGGACCATCGCTTTACCTCCCGTGAGCTCGTCACAAAATAAGCACATGTCAGCCCTCTACTCCGAATGATATCTGGCTTCAGGGTATGATCTGCGCGTGGCTGCTGCTTCCTTGTGCCCCAAAATGGGAATCCATAGCCCGCTCTCTTCAACCTACCATGGTGATTCAACCCAAGGACCAATGACCCAACAAACCCCTTAAAACTTTGCGTTTACGGGAAAGCTATGGGTCAAAGGTGTGGTTCCTCTTTCTCAACGCCGCAGGACACATCTACATATGATCTATATGGATTTGTCTCCAATCAGGTTAAAAGCTACTTCGAGGAGTCAACAAAAGGGGGTTGATCAATATTCCTGGCACCAAAACGACTATGGGTAACAAGATTTGTTTACTGGTTGTCCAATCAATGGTCCTTCCATGTATCACGGCCTTGCTTCCATTTGCTTAAGTCCCATGGCAAACCAAAAGCATACCATGTCTTGTAATGAAAGATTCCCTTTCAAACCAAGAGATGAAAGAACATATGGCTATGATTTTTTTTAGGGGTCTGTTACAGACCCCTCAAAAAAAATCACTGCCATATTCCTAAGCAAATGGAAGCCATCGAGCAACCCCAAAAAGCACCCCTAACGGGTGGGACTTCCCCGGATCCACTGCCTGCAGCTTGCGCGAGGGGCTCCGTGTCCTCAGAATTTTGAGGTGGGCGCATCCCCAAACTTCAGTCAGTCGCCGTTCCACAAATGGGCAATCACTTCCCACCCTTGGGGGTAGCAAAAAAAAACGTCTGTTTTTGTGGCCCCCTATTAAAACCAAAAACAAAAACACTGGCCAACGCCAGTGAGGACCAGCTTTTGCCACGTGCAAAGTACAGTTTTGTTTATTTATTTATAGGAATGCCCCCCCCAAACAAAAATATATGGCACAACGGTGCTCCTTTTGATTTCGAACCACTCTCCCAAAAAAACACCCACATCGTGTGAAGGAACGAAAACAACAAGTTGAAACCAAGCAATTACTTTTGGACATGGCTATCGACGTCCATGGTTCGCACCACAAATAGAAAAAAGGTGGACTTGGGAATGATGTCAAATGGTCCAAGTGGTGCAGATTGATACCCCCCAAGTTGTCCAACTCCCAAAATTGTCCTCTTTGGGTCGTTTCCCTTGTGCCCAAACAGCATCCCCCCTACTTGAAAGGGGAGAGTCCCCGAATGCCATTTCTCCAGTCTTCCCCATAAAACTGAAAATTGGATTCCTGGTCATCCCCCTCCCCCAACTCCATTTATAAGGGCGTGGAGATTAAACGACCAAACATGTGGAACGGTCTTTGGTATGCCACCCCTTCCATAAAGTACTTAAGGGTGTGGATTGGAAATTCAAGAGTTCGAAAGATCTATACAGTGAGAGACACTTTGGGGCCCCGAAAATGTTCAACCCAACAAGCCCTTCTGAGAAGGTCCAGAGGAGTTTTGCCTTGAGGCTACGGTTCCACGCAAGACCAGACATGGAATCACAATGCTAGGGTTGCTCACCAAAACCCGAGGGAAAGAACTCAAAACACAAACACCATTTTACACCCAACATGGCCTCCTTAGCTTTCCCAGGTTTGGTCAACAAAACTTCGAGCCAAAGAACACAAGCATCGTGCGATCTTGACCAAAGCGCCTGCAACTCTCTCAGCTTTCCGACGACAGAGCAAACCGAAGTTAAGCAGAGCAATTCGCATGCGTCCACATTGGCTCTTTCTGGGTTGCTCAAATTAGGGAATCCCGATAATCCGCAACCCGTAGCGGGTTGCAACAGCGACAAGGGGTACTACCATCCGGCATAAAATTGAGGAATGATTTCGAACTTCCCCTCCCCAACCGACTGACATGGAAGGACGGGGATTTGAATTGCGTTGTCACGTGGAACCGAACTGAAAGGCCTTCAATTTACATGGAAGCGCACGCAACCCCCGTGTGGACCCGCTCGGACCCCACAATTCCCCAAGAATCCCAGCATTTTTCTTTAACTTCCACGTTAGCTGTACACAGGGGGGTAGCTTGGTGTTCTTTGGCAACTCACGAGGAACCCTCCCCTTTAGCGGCTGTTTGCTGTTTGAACCAAGCCCCTGAAAGGGTGCCGATTCTCAGCAAGAGATAGGCTTAGACTTCTTGAGCTGCTTGCCGAACCCGCTGGTTTCCTTTTGGTTTCCTGCTGGTTTCATTTCACAGGCTCCCAACAAATGGAGCTTCCTGGGGCGTCCATTGGACACCTTGCGTGTGGCTTTGGCTTTTTGGGGGCAGGGCCCCGTGTTTGCGTCGAGCTGCGGCTTTCGGGTTGGCAAGGCGGCTGAGCTCGAGGACTGCTCGGCGAGGGACCGAAAGCTGCCAGAAGGTCGCCAAGTTCCTTGGCCAAAGCCGGACTGGCACATGGCCGCGTCATCCTTTCAGGCTGCTTTTTTCTTCTTTGTGGTTTTACAAGGAAACCAACAGAAAAACCAACATTTATAAGGGCCCCGCTAACAAAACTCGCACACACTTTGAGTATTTGTTTCAGCATAGGCTTGGCCTTTGTCATACAGAGTTGTTGAAAGCACTTCAACTCCTTGGCAGGTACATCACCTGGCGTCCCTAGTGACATCCGCAAGTTTCGGAGGCCGCTTCATTGGACCGTCGCACTCCGAACATGGATGGCCCCCTTGCCGCACACGCAGTGAATTACGGATCTGAGCAGCCTTTTCCAACAAGCCAAAGTCCTTAGGCGCAGGAGGTCACACACACACACACGCACAATCACATTGAAACCTCCGAAGCGATTTGTTTGTGATCTGTTCTGTGGTAAATAGATCACCAAATCCTGCTCGTTCGCGCTCCGTCCCCCAGTGCCAGCCCGACTTTTTGGTAGCTGCCCCTTCAAAATGAAAGACACTAAGCGCACTGTAGGTCTAGCGTAGCCCCCCGGCAAAGCGACAACTTGTTGCTGGTTAACGGAATGAAGGAAACCCAAGGGGCAAAGGGGCGGAAATAAAACTTGACCAGACTTTGCCCCCCTCCAAGAGTAAGCTTTGCGCGTCCCGCATCGACATGTTCGGAAACCGGTGGAAGCACGATCCGGTACCAAGATTAAGGGATCATTCCCCGAGCGCAAGTCGCATCAAAGGCAACAACATTTTGGTGGGAGAAAGTTTCAAAGGCTAAGCAGAATCCGCAAAAAGGGAGCCAGCCCTGCCCCGAAATACCAGAAATGCAGACAAACTGAAGGTGCAACCTGACGATCGCCTCGAATCGTAGATGCACCGGTGGAACCCGCAAAGTATAGTGGGAGCGCCTGAAGGAAGTGGGCACAATCTCCAGATAGCAGGCGCGTGGTCACAAATGCGATGGGGTGAGTGAGTGAGTGAGTGAGTGAGTGAGTGAGTGAGTGAGTGAGTGAGTGAGTGAGTGGGTGGGTGGGTGGGTGGGTGGGTGAGTGAGGGAGCGAGTGGGTGAGTGAGTGAGCTCTAGGTGGGAAGCGCAGAGCCACTGCCCAAAGCGCCATCCCTCCTGGCTTGCACCAGTCGCGAACCGCGACTGGCCGGCATAAGGGCAAGACAGTGACAGCTTGACATCCTCGAACGGCAGCGCTTCCGCAAGCGCTTCCCACTCGATCTCTCACAGTGGTACTAAGCCGCAACCACACACTGGGCCTCGTCCTAGCCTGAAGCAAAAGAGAGGCCACTCACAGATGGTGGTGAGTCAGCACTCGTCCAAAACTAAATTGTAGGTCTGAAAATATGTTACCTCATGGCCGGCCAACAAAGAAGGCACTACCTGGATATCAGTAGGCAGGCGAGCCAGCACGGAATGATCGTGGCACATTCTCCAACATGCCAGGCTTTCACAGAAATGTCGAACGGGGCACTCAATGGAAGTGGATGAAATCTGCGTTCCGCAGCCACCAGGTATCGGGATCTCTCGCATCACTGAAGTGGCATAGGGCACACCATACAATGGGTCAACCAGAGACACACGGATCTTGGCATGGTGACTGGCACTAAAGGCCTGTACTGCAGCTTCACACAAGTTGAACGCCGTGTGCACAAAACACGGAAGGTCCAATTCACCTAAAAAAGCCGGCATGCTTTGCCCCAGCCGCCAAAACCGCCAAAACCGCCAAGGGAGGATTTGCAGGCCGTGAGACAGGGGTTTGGAAGACTCGGCCGAGCGTGCCGACAAGTGAAGGTGACGAAAACCGTCCTGAATCGTCAAGGCCACTGAGGATGCAAGGGATGCCATGCAAGGCACATAGGTTCAAAGAGTATCCATCTCGGAGCGCACAGGGAGAAGGCGGCGCCTCACAAATTACTTTTAAACGGTGGCGCCGCAGGGCAAGAGGATATGCCACGAGTTGGAACACAGCCCAGTCGTAATAATCAGCTTGAGCATTGACAAATGCCAGCGAGAAGGAGAATCTACGGTGTAATTAGCACTGCGGCTTGGACCGAAAGGGTTAACTTTGTGCCGGTCGAAAGGGGCAAGCATAAAAAGCGAAAAAGGCAAGCGCTGCCTTCACAACCCTTGGTATGGTTGCAAGAAGCTTCGTTTTTTGCAGCCTACGAAAAATGAACAGAACCAAAGAACTAGAAGACCGGAAAACCTGCCAAGAACCGTATGGCAAAGTGAGACTTAATCTGGCTATGATTCCTGAGGGTCTCCTCGAACTGGAAGGTGACCCGTTCAAGCTCGGAGCCAGGCTGGCTGCGCTGGCTGAAGGCTTCAAGCTGCCTGAAGGCATCAAACTCCCGGAACGCTTTACGCCTTCTGGTCGCTCCTCCTTGCCAGGGTTCAGCAAAATGTGCTTATAAACAAAAAGACCCTAGTTCCTTGCAAAGTAGTCCCCGTTGAAGAGGAACCCAAGGGAGATTCTTTAAACCAAAGTGGTCTTTCCAATCCTTGCCATGTGTGCAAAATCCTTGCAGTTTGCAGCCACAAGACACGACAAGAGGCAGAACAAAAGCCAAGAAGCGCGAAGTGTGTTATCCATGTGGGGTGTCTTTTTTTTGAGGGGACCCTCTTTGGTTTTAAAAGGGATGCCAAAAGGAACACCATCTTCTTCTTCTGTTTTTTGGGCCTAAGAAAAAGACACATCCATGTTGGAAAAAGGCTTGGCGCAACCCCCCCCCCCCTCCTTGCTGCCGGACCGTTTCTCGGGCCGCAAACTGCCTGACGCCCGCGGACCATTCCCGGAGTCCGCAGACCCCACTTTGCCCACCTGTCCGGCGGCCAAGAGAAACATGGCTGTGGGTCAAAACCCTGTACCCCTGGTGAACATCAAAATCCACCCTGAAATGGAGCCATAGCTTATGCCCCATCGCCACATGGTATCTGGGTTGCCCCAAGCCCCGAAATCTGAGCAAAAGCTCCATGCACCAAACCAAAGGTCTCTCCAGGGCCAAACGGGGCCTAAGACCAGCCAGTGTGGAACCATTGGGTGGAATGCTCTCAAAAAGGGTGTCGAGTTGACATTGTCTGCGGAATCGGCTGACAGCGAAATGGTTGCGTGCAAAAGCACCGGCTAAGCAGCACTTCCAAACGCCCCAAACGTGCAGTTTGATGATTGGAAGAAAAGGCAACTCGACCAAGTTGTAAACCGTAAGACTCGCTGCGGCCACTTGTCTGACTGTCCCTGAATCCCCTAAAAATTGAGGTCGACCGATTTGCTTGCCTTCAGTACCGCTCCATGCTGAAATGGGCGCGTCGTCTTTTAGGGTACCCTTTCCGATCAAAGGGAAGGCCACCATTTGGGCATTTGGGGGGTTCCCTCTTAGGCGCCTTCTTCATATTCATCAATGCTCCGATGGTCTTCAGCTTGTTCACGGAACTCTTCCAGCGTGCCACGTTCTCCTTCGACTTCACCTCGCCTCGGTGAGAGAAGACTCAGGGCGGCCCGGGCTTTTGGGAGTGGGAAGCCCGTTTTAGGTGGGACGGCTTTGTCTCACCAAAAACCGAAAGTCCAAACCCTAAACCCCAACATCAGAGACGCAAAACCCAACATCCCAAACCCTAAACCTTAAAATTCCAAAGCTAGTCTACGGAACTATTAAGCTTGCTAGGCAAAGGGACTAGCGCAGTGGAGCGACCGATCTTTCTCTTATGAATGTTGCCCAGGCTGCAACAGCATGTGTTCTCAAAGAACTCCAACCAGCGGGAAGGAACAGGGTGCATAAACCAAAGAGCATTCAAACCGTTTTGTGTGGTATGACACTGGTATGAGGTGTGATAGACCACTGGGATCACACACACACAGACAAACCAAAGCCCAGAAACGTTGTCACATTCAAGATAGTCTATCTGCCTACCAAAAAAAACTACCGCCGAAACAAAAGGGCAGCCACACAAGAAGTATATTTGGGATTATCCCTTTCTCACCCCTTGACTTGTCACTCACCTTGAAACGTCACCAAACGGAAGATGCTGCATTTGAGACAAACCCTTCGGGGGTCCTCCGTGTGAAGACAAAATTGGATCAAATGGGCCGGATGAAACACTTACCAACCGGTGCGAAGCGGATTTTGTCCATCCACAGTGCCAACCCCAAGTGGGTGTCCCCAGTTGAGGGTCCCCCTTTTTCAAGCTTTAGAGGGAAACAAAGGGGAAAGCACTTTGTTTTTGGGGGGTTCGCTCAAAACACGACACCCCGGAGAAAGCATTCCCAGCCACCAGAATGGGTCCCCTAAAGCTCCTTAGCCTTTGAGTTCTACACCCGACCCCTTGACCCTGGGGGCCACTCAAAATCGGTAAAAGGGGGAAACCAAAAGCCCAAATCAAGCGGTCGATTCGCTTTGGGTGCAAGTGAGCACACAATTGGTGTCTCAAAATAGGGGACTACCCCGAAACTGGTGGTGTTCCTTCCTTTGTCCCCTTTTAAAGCCGTTCAACAAAAGGAGTACCCTCCGAAACAAACACTCCCACAAGTAAAGAAACAAGTCTTTCACATCCATTTGGTTAAGACCCCGGTTTTGTTTTTCCAGTAGCGATAGATTCCCATTAAAACCAACAGGGGAAAATGAAAAACTATTCTTCAGCAAATGGAAGACAATCAACCAACCAGCTTTAGTAGGGGAGTGCTTTGTCTTTTCTGGGAGGTCATTTCGCGAATGGAAGTTCTTCAGCAAATGGAAGTTGGACAAATGGAAAGGTCATTTCGCCCAGGCGCTGGGCGTCTCCCAAGAGTCCAGCCACTGCTTCCAGCTGTCCTCCGTCACGTCCCCCTGGATCTTGGCCACCATGTCCCGCCAGGCCTCGGTTCTTTTCAAGAATCTGCGTTTCTGGAGGCTTTCTGGAAAGAAGGATCCTGGAAAGAATGGGGAGGATAACCCTAAAACCATCCCCTCCTTGGTTGCTGCAACGACACCCCCGCAAAAAATGCTTTTCACTTTTTGGGGGTTTAGTGGAAAACACCTTGATTTCAACCAAAAAGTTAAAGTCCAAAGATCCAACCCAGTAGCAGTCAAGCCTCTGATTGGCGGTTTGGAGGTGTTCCGGGGTGGGCTTTTCATCTACCATCAACATCCATCAACAAGAGCTAGGGGTTCAAACCCCCAAACCACCAATCCACGCAGAGACAACCCATGGGTTCCAAACCATTCCCCTTTTGCAACCTCCAACAGTGGCTTCCTCGTCTTGACCGCTCTAAAAGTTCATTTTTTTGTGGGTCCAATGGAAATATATTGCTTCAACCCAAAAAGAAAGTCCAACGATCCAACCAAATAGCCATACAGAAGGGACGCCAGTGAACTGATCAACTTGAAATGTGGTTGGAAATCCCGTCGTGCCCCCTCCTGAAAACATGTGTTGTTCCTTTTGGTGTCCCAATTTTTCCACCACCCAACAAGTACCCTAGACCGCTCGCTTCCTGAGTGGACGGCGAGTTAAACAAGTCCTTTTTTTCTATTTACCACTCTCTTCCCAAAACATGGCTCGAGTCCAGGAACCCGGCAACTGAGAGAAAGCTACACAAACCCTCCATTACAGCCTTTTAAAGCCCGGGAAAACGAGCATATGTCCAGTCACGGGTTCCCATTGAAACCAAGAAGGAGAAAAGAACACAACTCATTTCAACAAATGGAAGAAACCATTCCCTTGTCACACACACACAAACGCAAACCAATTTAGGAGAAACCCACTTGTAGTGGCTTGAATGGACACTGCCAATAAGAAACAGTTTCCTTTTTTTGTACCGAAGAAAAACACAATTGAACCGGATGGCTGGAAACGCCAAGGACCCCTCCCTCCCGCACCCCGCAACGCCTCCCGCAACGCCTCCCTCCCGCACGACCACAGCATGCCAAAGCCCCCAGGTGCCTCGCGGGTCTCCGGCAGCGCCTGCCGCAGAAACGCCGAGGCCGTGAAGCCTTCGCTGAGCCCCGCCTCCTTCGCCTGGAGATCAACATTCGCTCAGAAGGCGCTTGGGGCGAGCGAGAGAGACTTGGTCTGTGTAGATTTGGAAATTCAAACCGCGCCAAAACAAAAACAACAACATGAAAAGCTAAACCCTCAGCATTCCATGAAGATATTGTTTTTGGCAACCCACAACTATGGTTGGTGAACTCCCTTTTTTGTGCTTAGTTGGGGGTCCAGGTCTACACTTTTGGAGTAAATTCCCTTCTGCATAAAACCCATGACTGCGTGGACTGGCCAATAAGACAGGCAGCAATTCTTGCTTGCCACTACAATGGCCGAAGCCCAAAAAGTATCAAAAGTCCATGAACTCAGGAAGTGAGAAAAGGGACTTTACCCCAAACGTGTAGACCTGACCCTTCAACTACCGGTAAAGAGGGAATTCAATCCAAAAGTGTAGACCTGAAACCCCAACTAAGCACAAAGGGGATTCATCAACCATAATTGTGGTTTGCAAAACAATATCTTAATGGAATTCTGAGGGTTTAGCTACTCGAAATGTGTCAAAACATGGCAGAGCCCATTTTGTTGGTGTGCCTTTAACCCCTCCTCTCAAGAAAAACAGGTACTGGGTACCTTCGAACAACACACACACACACACATATTCTCCATGGGTGAATATTCTCATGGTTGTCAGAGACCCAGCAAAGAGGAATCGGACCCCGAAAACCCCCCCAACCCATGTTTTACAAGCCTCACTTCCTGGGTGGACTGCCCAAAACAAGTCCACATTTTTTATTTACCACTAACCTGCAGGTCTTACCACATAATTTTAAAGTCCATGAACTCGGGGAGTGAGAAGCCCAAACAAGAAGTCATTATCAAAACCTGGTATCAAAAGAGTTGATCAAAAAACGTCAGTCGCATATTTGCATCTGTTTCTGGTCGTGTCCTTTAATGACCTGCACTTACCTAGCTTTCGATTGTGGCTCAAATATCTTGTCACATCACAGCTCCACGCCATGATGAGAAAACAATCCTTCTACGATACCCCAGCGCCTGCTTCGAAGCACGACTGCTTGATTCAGGGGGATGCCCTTTGGTATCATGTCCCACCCTGCCGCTAACCCCCCTCCCCCCCTCCCCCCAATCAAAAACTCACAACAACCATCCACGACTCTCTAGGGGTACCTTCCCCATTCTTTTCAGGGATCCTTCTTTTCAGGCAACCAAGCAGAAACGGCGATCGGTTTTTGAAAAGAACGACGGTTGAAAAGAATGGAATCGGAATCAACCCCTGGAAACACACACGGTTTTCTACCCATACTTAGAGGCCAAGTTATAAAATGTATACTTCATTTGTTGCTTCACTTTGAGTCACTGGTAAAATGTAAAACGTGTCCTTTAAGTCTACCCCACTCCAAAGGGGCAACGCAGCGCTGCTTCCCACGCGCTTGGCGCGCCTTGGCGATGAAGATCCGTTGCGCCTCCAGGGACATCTCACGCAGGAGCTTGTAGCTCACGCAGTCGGCGCCCACTGCAGCAGCCAGCGTCCTCGAACAAAAAAGAGATGCGTGCGATGTGTTTCTTGGTGCTTTTTGCGGCCCAATACCCCGTTTTTCAGGTTGGATTGAAGGAAACTCAAAAGGTTTCAGGTTGGAGTCAAGAGATGGGTGCGCGTGTTTCTTGGTTTTTTGAGGCCCGAAAACTCCGTTGAAGGATGGAGTCAAGGGACAGTTGAAAGGAACACCGGTAGGATTTGGGACTGCCGCCCATGTCACCGGGAGAAGAAACGTAGGAACGGAAGGGTCTCGGGGCAACTTCCCCAAACCTGAGCCCTTCTTGCCAAATCAAGCAGGGGAAACAAACACAGCAGCTTCAAGCGGCTTCAAGCAAGCCAAGCCGTACTGCGAATGCCAGTAGATCTTGGCCGTTGCTCACCTGGTTGCGCCTTTCTATCAACGGATATCCCCGCCCCCCCGGCTTTACCTTGGTTCAAATGGAAACGGAAAACGAAAACCGCTAGTCTCGGAGCCAAGTCTTATGAGGGTATCCCCTTTTCGCAAAGGACAACTAACATGATAAGTGTCATTTTGCGGGACCCCTAGACCCCGAGTGCAATTCCAAGTGTGTTTTTGTTTACTACTGGTCCTTGTTTGGCAGTGGATTTTAGAGGGCAACCCCTCGAGGAAAAAAGGAAAGTCATAAAAGGCACCAGTCGAGGTCCGGGATTTTGACAAACATTCTGTGGAGGAACAAAATCCTGAACCACTTAGAGCCATGGGAAACCGTGGCATCATCCTTCCAGGGCATCTTGAATGGTGCAAGATTCTGCCCATCCAGAGCTCCTGTGGCACCAATGGTCGGCCACCTGTGCCAGCTCTCGCTTGAGCTGGGTCTGCTTCATCTTCTGTCGCCTCGAGGCCTCGAAAGGAGAGGCGACGCGTCCGAGGGAGTGGCACAGGGCTAACCCTGGTAGGTGGTTGGTTGGATGGTTGGTTGGTTGGTTGGTTGGTTGGATGGTTGGTTGGTTGGTTGGTTGGTTGGTTGGTTGGTTGGTTGGTTGGTTGGTTGGTTGGATGGTTGGTTGGTTGGTTGGTTGGTTGGTTGGTTGGTTGGTTGGTTGGTTGGTTGGATGGTTGGTTGGTTGGTTGGTTGGATGGTTGGTTGGTTAGTTGGTTGGTTGGTTGGTTGGATGGTTGGTTGGTTGGTTGGTTGGTTGGTTGGTTGGTTGGTTGGTTGGATGGTTGGTTGGTTGGATGGATGGTTGGTTGGTTGGTTGCCTGGTTGCTTGGTTGCCATACCAGCATGGGTCATCCCCATGACAGCTTTATCACTTCGAAGGGCATCCCTAGGTACAGAGTGGCCCTCCTGAACCCTTCTGAGGCTCTGAACCCACGCAATTATCTTTGCCAACCAGGCACCTCCTTTTCTATAGTTGTCCTGACCCTTTGGGCCTTTTCCCCCCAGCCGCTTGATGGTTTGAGAAATAGCCATGTTCCAACAGGTTGAACTCAAGGTTTGAGTCTGGGTCATTACACATTTCCCACTCGAAAGGGGGTCCACACCAAGCCGTGGCTTAAATTTGACACTGGTAAGGCAACTTCCAAACTGCATGCTCAAAGCCATAGCAAGGGAAGTTGCAACTCAAAGTGACCATTCTAGGTCCTCCAGTAGAGAGGTTAGAATAAGGGTACCCTTTTTTGTGTAGTCTACTTTAGTAAGGGAATTTGTGTAGTCTATTTTAGTAAGGGAAGCCTCCCCAGAAAAAGGGTAAAAGGGCACTACTGGGGGACCTAGCATTAGTGCCCATTGCAGGAGGCCAATAAGCACCATTTTCGGGCCAGGAACTTCGCATGGCTCCCCCTTGCGAGTTGGCTTTGAGTCTTTGAAACCAAAGGATGCAAGGCTTGGACCCTCAAACTACCCAGAAACAAGGGAATTCACCAACCTTTCGGGGACATGCAGCTTCCCTCCAATTGGTGAGTTGGATTGGTGGTTTTAACCCCTGGTGCTCGTGGAAGGTAACTGGGAAACTACCTCCTAACCTCTAAACCACCAATCCAGACAACCAACTAGAGGGAAGCTGAAGTATTGTCGGGTATTCAACTGGGAGATAGTTGGTTCAGTTGAACATTTCGAAGCAAAGCAGCCTTCACCAGGTCACCGAAGTTGTTCAGCAACGCCTCGCCCCTCGGTTGCTGACCGAAAGCGACAATCGGCAGTTGACTCTGAGCGCCCTGCTGAGGTGGCAAGCAGAGCGAACAACCACGTTCAAACAAACAGCAACAAAAACGCATTTGTTTCCTTGAGCTCTTGTTGCAAACGGAGGGCAATGAGAGACATGCGAGAGTCAAAACTTGCTTCACAGTTTGGCTCGTGTCACATTGAGACATATTGAGACTAACTAACAAGTACTAGGTGCTCCAACTTTGCCAATGGCTGCTGCTAGGGCGCCCCCCGCCCCCTCTATCGGTCTCTCTACACTAGTCTTCTCAAGCCTCCCGAGAAAAAAAAACACTTAGAAGTTTGGAATTGCAAGAGTAAGCCGAGCATTGCAACAGAACTGGACCATGTCGGCTCCGAATCCCCCCCCAACTTGAAGCCATCAGCCCCCACACCTTCATTGTTCAACCCTCAACCATATCCAACTTGCCAACAGCAGGTGGAAATCAAAGGTCAGAGCTGGCTAGACAAGGGTTGCCATGTTGCAAAGGTTACCTGCGCAAAATCTGGTCCCTCCAATCCAAAGCCCACCCTGCAAAAGGGTATGGTCTGGGTGAGGGAGGCAAGCCTCTTCTTCATCCCAGATTCATCAACCCGTGTTCCCCTCCAAAAGTGGTCTAACCACCCAGAGGCAAAAGTGATCTACATCCCAAAAAGAGACACCCCCGATCAAACTCAACCAAAAGAGACACGCACACTCATTTGGCCATTTGTCAAAACCCCGCACCCCCAGTGAGCATCCCAATCCCCACTAAAATAGACTAAAATGGGTGGTGCACCTATCCCAAAATGGTACCATTGGTTTGGACCCACGGCCATCTCTTCTACCAGGCCCCCTTTTTTCTCCGACGAAACTTCTCTCGGGATCCGTGGCCCGTCCTCCGATACAGCACCTCGCAGTTGGTCCACGGCCCGCTCCGCGGGGCTCTTTGGCGCTGCGCCATCTTCTTGTCCTCGGGGAGCGCGGAGGATTCGGACCCCATGGGACCGGATAGGAGCTACGCGAACGACGGAGGAAGTGGAGGAGGAGGAGGAGGAAGTGGAGGGCAGCCCAGGGGCAAAACTGGGGCGATCCGTTTTCTGATCTGCCAAAAGTCGCAAACTTTTGCTGGGCGAAATTTGGACACCCGACCGCTAAACGAACCAAACACTGGAAAAATATCAGGGCAAGAAAATGGGAGTTTGGAGCCCCACCATGGTGGCTTTCCGGTTGGTTTCCCTTGAAACCAACCTGACAAGGGCATCAAACAATTACACACTCGCACAAACCCAGATGCTGTCAAACTAGCAACATCAGATTACACTCCTGCGGAAGAGCGGAAGGAATCCCACAACTCGTCGTGTTTATGCGAACCTCCGTTTGGGAACCAATATGTTGGGCTCCATCATCTTTATTTGCAGGTAAAATCCTCCGGAAGTTTGCTAAGAGCAAATAAGGAAAAAGGCTCATTTCGAGACTTGTTAGGAGGTTTCGTTCAGAAATTGGGGCCTGTTTAGGCCCAGAAGTTGGTCCTTTCAAGACTACCACGTCATACCCAATCCTTTCAAACCTCACGCTATGGCATTCAGGCATTCTGGTTGATCGACTACCATGTCCTTGCGGATAGCTCCTTAGCCCCATGTTTGACGGCGAATTGGGATACCTCTCACTTCTCGAGGGATGTTAGCCAAAAAGGTAAGTCCATCAAACTCAATTCAGCAAACCTTCCTCGACCATCCATTGGCTCAATGCTCGTCCCTGCAATTGTCCTCCGGGTTTTGAGTGGGTCCGTTGCGTGCTTGAAACATCTGATTTGTCCACACCAAACAAATACCAACCCTACGTCCTTTAGTAGAGGGGTTAGAATGGGGCGGCTACCCTTTTTTCTGTAGTCTATGTTGGTAGAGGAACCCTCCCCCAAAAGAGGGTAAAAGGGCACCACTGGGGGACCTAGAACCTGAATGAAGGAGTCGCACTGGTCGTTCATCAAGGGAAAAACCGCTTGCTGAGGTGAGCTCGCCCTTCCTTGTGCAAACCGCGAGGTGTTCAAAGGTACCAACTTGCATTGCCAACTTCCCACCATCGAAAAATTCTCAAGTAGGTGGAGACTTGTTGTTACTCTTTCATTTAAAACACACAAGATGAAAACCAAAGTCCATTTGTGCGGCGTCCGACACTTTCTCATACATGCCTCCTGCTTGCTTGCCATAGGCCGAGTGGCCCAAACCTCCTCAAAGAGTTTCAGCAAAGACTGCCGACTTCCATTCGAAGAACTGGAGGCCTTTGCTAAACTCCGCGTCTCCTCGAATCGCAGGCGGCTTTGGGCGATTCGGACGACTGGAACACGCGCGCGTGGGGGAATCATTTCGGGGGTTCCCGGGTTCCCTCGGGTTCCTCGCCCCCATGAAACGGATGGCAAGGATCCAATTTTGATGACAAACCATGCTGGTTTAATATGAACCCATCGTTTCAATGGTGATTGAACCTCGGAAAGCTTGGAATGTGCGGTGTAATATGAACCCCCATCGGTTTAATGGTGGGCGGAGCCTCAGACAGCTTGGGGCGTGTGGCTTCGATCTGGTTTTTGTTTCTGCGCTCAGCTGGCATTGGGTTTCCTTCGCATTGGGCGTCTCGGAGGGCTTGGTCCTTGCAAGGGTGTCGCGAAACCAATCTGCGCGTAGCCCTGAATGGCCGCTTAGATTCCAAACGCAGTTGGGTAAGTGTTGCAACCAAGGTGACTTATACAACTGTTATGTAATCGCAAGCCTCTGTTGGTATATGCACCCATACCTCCAGAACCTTTTAAGAAAAAAACACATTTAATGTCCGGCTGGTTAACCTTGAGTGCAGGCGCCAGTGTTGGCCCACGGGACCTAGGTTCCCATTCATTCTCCTACCATCTGATTTACAAATTCGGCCAACCAAACATACGAGTAGGACATGTGTGAAAATATCTTGGTTGACGTTGGAAGGGGAATTTTCTTTTACTTTTTGGCAGTTAAGTGGGGATTTCCACTAAACCACCAGCAGCAAAAATGTAAAATGTTTCCCAACAACAACCATGATATGGTGGTTTTCCCTTTGGCTTCCCTTTACACTTGGAGAGGCGGGCGAAAGCGAGCTAGCCAAGGGTTACCGGAGAGCCAATGAACGTCAGCCCAAGGTGCCAAAACCATCCGCGGAACCTGCCCAGAACCCAACAACTGCAACCGGTTAAAGATAAATTTGGTTTGAGCTCGAAACATACTGAACTGGATATCCTTCCAATATTTGAATTTCAATAGTGGTTATTGACAATGACTGAATCGTGTTAGACAAGTACAAAGCAACTGAGATAGCTAGTTACATGTAAATGCAATAGCACAAGGGCATGAAGCGCTCTTGTAGTTGAATGGATGTCAGTTGCAAGCAGGATTGAGTTGAGTTCCTTTCCCCCAAGTTCATGATTTACAGAACTTTCTTGTCAAAAAGGGTCAATGAAACCCAAAGCATGGGCAAATATTGAAAACATGTAACTAGGTGTGTCTTAAACTGGGAAGCCCACCAAAACTGTGGTTTTCCCTTTGGTTCCCTTTGCACCCACACCAAAAGGAACTTTCAATAAATGGACATAAACATATAAGAAGGTTTCTTTATATGTGTACATATACGTGTGTATCTACGTATGCGTATAATTGTCTGTATGTTTATACACACGTCACGAGCTGAGGCTGCTTTCACCCCTGCGACCCGAAACGCGGACGCTCGCACGCCTCCGCCATCTCACCTCAATGCAAATGGTCCAAAAAGCTGACCGCTTGGGCGGCTCGTCTGTTTTTGAGTGTCCCCTATCGCATTTACGGCAGATGAGCCACAATAAAAACCCGGGTGAACGAAGAGTAGTGTGTGATTTTTTTGGGGGTCCCCTAAAAAGGACACGCACTTCTTGCTTGGAAGCCCAGCCAAGCTTCGACAACAGTAGGACATCTCTTTTTGCGTCTCTATGTGCAAGATTGGGGCAAGGAAATGGATATACAAAGGGAGGTTCAGAATCTCAGTCAAAGTCCCAAGGTTCGAACATGTCTCAGCCTTTTTCTTGTTTTAAGAATCTCCTGTCTGGAGGCTTCTGTAACTCTTCAAAACTTAGGCTCGGGCAGAACCAAGGAGAATTGTCAATTTCAAAACGAACCCTTGCTGAAAGCGTACGTACTTCGGATCCAAGCGAGCAAGCGGGTCTTGAAAGGCCAGTGTAGAAGCCCTGGCAACGGGATCGCAGCTGCTCAATATTCCTGGCTCCGGAATCGCCATCTTCGCGAAAAAGTTTCTTTCTCGAATCTTTCCATCGCCACGGCCTTTTGTTTGCAGCGTGCGCTCGCAATCGCAGTCACCGCAGTTCACTGGCGCTGGCAGGCTTGCAGCAGCTTTTGGTGAAAGCAGTCACCATCATTCCGCCTTGCCACTTGCACTTACCAGGGGCGTGCGGAACGTTGCAACTAGCTCCATGGGCCTTCGCCGGTCTTTCACGGATCTTTCGCGAAACTTGCTCCAAAATAGCCCAGCCAACGTTTCGGCTTGCAAGGGCAGGGAACTGCAAATTTGCAATTGCGCAGGCATGCCTCCAAGAACCCAACGCAGGATCTTTCGCGAAAAGCAAGTTCTTTCGCGAACTCCATCGCCTGATCTTTCGCAGAGGGGGTTAAACAAACACCGATGGTCACCGGATACATAACTCCTTGCAAGGACATTTTAATCAACCCCCAAACGGATATGATATATGGGTCAAAATTAAACCACCCGGACATTAAGCTGCAGGGTTTGGTCCTCGGCAACCCATTTGCCAGGGCAACCCATTTTGGGGTTACGGGTTACCCTGTTTTGGACACCCAAATGGAATCCAGAAAATGACAACTTGTTGTGTTGTTTCACCAAAAGGCTACTATGCTCTACAGCAAGGTTTCCAAATACGTGGTCAACCTCTTGACCTTCACTACTGTGGATGGACGAAGTCCTGCACCACCAAGAAACCCTGGAACAATGATTCCCTTGTAAATACAGTACCATCCCATGGTTTCAAAGTGGTGCAGGATTTCTTTCGTCCATCCACAATATGGGCCAAGGAGAAACCAACAGGTTAAACAGTTGAGTCGCTTTGGGCAAGTGACTGGGGCTTCGTATGCGCATCGCCAAGCTTTCGGTCAATGCAAACGTTGCACGGTCGGCAATCGCAAGATCTAGCAATCGGACTTAGACCCCCTAGGAAAATGCAGGCAGCACAAGAAGCCAAACAGTTAAAAGGGAAGTTTTCCTGTGGACCTGAATCTGTTTGTTGGTACTTGGTTTTAATGAGAAACCGTTTTTGATTATGTTGGGTTTGTTTGAGAGTCTTGCCATGCGAAGAGCCAAGTCACGAAGCAGCTTTCCGGTGTCGCGGTCCAACACGGGGGAGTCGATCTGGCGCTGCTGCCAGCCGTCCACAGCGGTCTCCACCTGACCGATCAGAGAGGGGGACCCCTGTGGGCGCTATGGTAGGCAGTTTTTCCCCCTAGACATGGGAAAATTCCTGTGCCCCCTGCACCTTTTGGGGGAAAAGAAACATGTGAGGTCCCCGTTGGCCATCGCAAACTTGCCGTAGACTGTATTTTGACTGAAGCATTTATGGGCTCGTCCCAAAATAAGGGATGCCTTAACTGTGAGGCCCGACCCCAAAAGAGGAAAGAGCCCGAGTCGAACACAGGACCTTGCCAAACCCACTGACGGATTGACCCCACAGCTAGCGTCGTGGATCAGTGGACTTCCAACAAAAGACTACAAATAAGTGTCGAGGACAAAAGATCTGCTGTTTGCAAATTGATGAAGTGAGGAGCTGGCAAACCCTCTGCATATCCTAGAGATGTGGCCCGCACCGCCCCCCACCTTTTTGCTTAACTGGGTGAGGGGAGAGGACCTTCTTGTGAATTCCCTCCTCCAACGGGGGGGATAGTTCAGGCTCGTCAATGAAATCACAGTTGAAAGAATTCTGCACTCATATGCGAAAGACCCAACTTGAGAGACTGCTGGTCCTCAAGTATTGAGCATTGAGGGGAACCACAGATAATTAGTTATTCACTAGTCTGAACTCCACATGGAAAAAACATATTACGATCATATGTGTTTTACCCAATACAACCAGGCATATCCATCATGGCAATCACGGAACAACCAGGTTCCCGTAGAGTCCTTAGAGCTGTAACAAGCTTCTCCCGCGATGAACATCCGCCATAGCTGGCATTCTTATTTGAGGAACACATTGGGATCACTGTCCAACAAGACCATGAACCATGGGCGGGTTCAAATGCTTGGCCCAGACCCATGATAGCAAGAAAAAAAACGGCTGCACCCATTGTGGGTTGGGATTCTCTCTCTTAACCTTCATCTACTTGAAACGGTTTGGAGAATGTGGCTCATTTTGAGACAGCGCCGCGTGCTTGAAGTCTATCCCTTGCTGGATGACGTGTTTAGTGGATCTCCGAAGTGCTGAAACGGCGAGTGTGAAAATATGGGTTCAAGTCGGGCCGGCTTGCATTTTTTTGTGGGACACCACTACGGAAACTCAAGAATTGATCAAACGAGAATGGTGGAATCCATCGTTAGAAGTCTTTTCATCCAACATCCATATTCCAGATTGAAACCTTTCCGATGCCCAAAGTCCACACAAGCTCGCTGTTTCCCACTAAATCCAGAGAACGGGTCTCCCACGGTCCCCCGTCCCGAACAATCCAAAAAGGTCTGAGGACATCCAAGAAAACATGGTGTCCCTGGTGAAGGTTTGCAAAAAGCGGTGAGGACATCTGGAACAACATATCCCTCCATTTGCTGAAGTCCCCTGGAAAAAATGAAAATATGTCCAGTAGCGATAGATTCCCTTTAACACCAACAGGGGAAAATCACATGAATATTCTCAACCAAATGGAAGTATCTGGCAAGTCGCGTCCCCGCGTCATTGCGCCCACGGCGTCAAAGCGGCTCGTCCCGCCTGCTCGTTCTCGCCGAGCACCTCCAAGACTTCCTCCACCAAGGACCCATAGGCGCTGGCCGCCACCTCGTGTCGGCGAAGCTTGTGGCCACCGCTTATGAAAGAAAAAAACTGCTTATTGATATGGAGGTGTTTTTTTGTTTTTCTGGTTTTAGTGGGGATTCAGGCCACTTTAGGGGAACACCCCAAAAAAGGAAGAAACTGGGGTTGATAAATAGGGGGTCGACATTATTGTGGCCAGGGGTTGACATCATACCGAGCATTTGGCCATGGGTTCAAATCCCGGTTACCCCCCAGTAAACATCAATCATCCAACCACTAGGTTCTAAAATGGGTGGTGAATTCACCTACCCCCCAAAATGGGATCCCATTGGTTTTGACCCACAGCCAGCCATTTGGAGTAGGAACATGAGCCACATGTCACAACTGCCATTTTGTGGCCAAGGGTGGACATCGTGAGCCACAATCAGCGCATTGCTTTGTTTAATGGTTTTACGTGAAGCCATGTAAAGAGCTGAAAGGGCGGATATCCGAACCTATTCAATTTCAAATAGAAATCAACTCATGCTAAAACTGCCCGAAACGGCTTTGATTGTGGCGCACTTTTCGCCGTCGTGCGCCAACAACAGGCCGTCGATGTCGCAGCGTGCAGCCCAGAAAAATACAACGCTGTTCCTCAAAAGCCATTCCGCAGGTCCCTGGTTTGGAGCAATCAAATTGAAAGGGGCCGATGCTTGTCTCTTTGGTTGCATGTCATGTCCGCTTTGAACATGAGTCATAAACAAAACCTGGTATCAAAATGGTCTACCCAGAACCATGCTTCAAGAATTAAGAAGGCGGCCGCAACTATTTATGGCAAGGGGATTGTCCCTTACTCACATTCATCTGCCCGAATCGGTTTTGATTGTGGCTCACATGACTTGAACATGACCAGGTCCTCCAGTAGAGAGGCTAGAATAAGGGTACCCATGTTGTTGTAGTCTTTTTTTTGGGAGGGCAACCGCTGCCAACCAAAACAGGGGTGAGAAAGGGCACCTAGCTGGGGGAACTAGATGACTGAGTGGACACTGGAAGCTCGACGCCTCAAGGCACCCAAGGCCTCGACAGAGCAGACCTGCTACAGATCCCCCCCCCCCCGAGGCTGATCTCAGGGCTTCAGCGTGAGCCGGGAATGAGCCTGAATCCAGGGGCTTTCCCACGTTCCGGGAGTGCGCCCTCTGGGGAATCCCCCATGCCTATTTCCAGACAAAAGAACCTGGCGGTTTATTTGGGACCATTTTGAGTAATTTCCTCTGTAGTAGGAAAATCCTTGGACTGAAGACCATAGGTTGAAAGGTCGATTCGCTTTGGTTGCAAGTGAGGATGGGGTAGGGGCGGGCGGGTCTTTTGCTGTCCTTTGAAATCCAGGAGGGGTCTCAGGGAAGGCAGAGGTTTCAAAAGGCCTGTTCCAGCATTTTGTTTCAAAAGGCCCAAGGCTTGGTTTCCTTACAAGGGCTTCGAGCCAGCTTTCCCTTTTTGGAACCTCCAAAAGGTGGTTTCAATGAGACCACCAGTAGATTGCTCAACCTTGGAGAGGGGAAATCCAGTGACCCCTAAAGAAAATCCCCCAAAAAGAAGGCACACAGCGATTCCTGAACGCCCCCGCCTTCAGCTGCCTCTCTTCCCGGGACATCTCGTAGTCAGACTCCTCGGACAACTCGACGGACTTGGAGTTCATCGCCTGCATCGACCGGAAGGGTGCAGCCAGAACTGCCGCGGGTCCCTACCCTTTCGAGGAAACACACCTTGAATGGGCCAAGAAGGTGAGACTAAAACGAACCCAAAGGGGGAATATAGGGAACCCTGCATATAATACTGCCATTTGCTTAAGCCCCCTGGAAAAAATAAGAATATTTCCAGTAGTGATAGATTCCCTTCAAAACCAACAGTGAAAAATACATATATATATATATATATATATATATATATTATTAAGCAAATGGAAGAGTAGTAACATAATTGGACTACACAAACAAATCGCCGCGAGAAGATAAGCATGTCGGTAGACAAGCGGACGCAGCAAAAGGCTTAGCGTCCACCTGGACTCAATCGATTCACATGTGCAAAAAAAGCCCAGTGCACCATCAATCACATATTGAACCTAGTGTTGTGAATCCCAAATTTCCGGATTATGATCGAAACATGAACACACAGCTGATGGTGTACATGATTGTAGTCATAACCTTCATAACATCGAATACATAATTCTTGATATGTACAATATGTGTCATATCGAACATACTTTAAACGTATCTATATTGTTGATTAAAACGTTCTAGGAATGTCAACAACATGCTCAACTTAACTTGTCACTTAGACAAGATGCAGCTAAACGTGGACGGCTGTTTAAACTACTTTTAGAAGCCTTGTCATGGACCGACTCACTCTGGTAAAAATCATCAATTTACACAAATACACATGCTATTCGGATTCATCAACTGTTTGGTAGATATATTATAACAAATTGGAGAAAGGAATGTAAAGGCTACTCCATCACTACCCTCAGGCGCATCATACGAGGTGACCATTAGTGATTTTGTATGTTGCTTGCATTGGGTGTGGTGGGTGTGGACCGCACACATTCTCATCAACCTCAAGATAAATGTGTATGTATATATACATAAATAAATAAATAAATATATATATATACACATATATATACATACATATATATATATATATATTGCACGGGTTGCTGTTGTGTTTTGCTACGGGGCAAGACATATCGTCCTGACCTATGTACGGACAGGGGGTGGCTGGGTGGCCGGCCACTCCGGGCACCCTTCCCCGGGAAGGGTCTTTTTAAGGCGACCATCATCAAATGTTGGGTGTTCTTGTTTGCTTTTCAAGCCACAACAAGGGGTACCCTCAAAGACACACCCATGGGAGGGGCCCCCATGTGTCTGAGGGCTCAAACTGACACATCCCCATTTAAAGCTTCCCTTTCAGCTTCTAGGACCCTCACGTGCCCACCTTTGCTATCCGAACCTTTGTCTCGTTGAATTCTTTTCAAACCACACAGGGTCCCGCCAAAAAATGGCACTCCCAAGTAGGATGGCTCAGCCATACTAAGCCAGTCTCAATCAATTGGGCAGGCCCTCTGAGGGGTCCATGACCATCGTCCTAAACCCGCGTGAATGGGTGTCTAAACCACGGAACATAGAAACTGCCTGTGTATATTTGTGTCCAACTCGGCGGTGTCCTTGTGGTGCTGATTGAACAAATCCCAAGGAAAAGCCACCCCGGCACGAGAAAAAGGGCCCAACAAATAGGGAGTAAAGCCCGTAGAGTGGGTTCCATCCGATGGAGCAACGTCACTCCCTACTTGTCATACTCGACCTACTTTTGGTGGGTAGAATATACCTCCGGTAATGAACACAAGAGGTATTTGAGTGTTTCTTAAAATTGGGACTCCTGTGTGTACGGTTCTTTAGAAGGAAACCGCAAGGAAACCAACCACCTTGAGGGGGGTCCCCTAATACTTACAAGACCACCCCCCAGTTGAAGTATGCTTCCGCTCCAGATTGTTGGATAGGTAGCCTTTTGAAAAACATGGATGCCCCTGGAAAATCGAATAAAACTCATCTAAACCAGGGCCATCGATTTTTAACTAAACTAACCTAAAAGGGGCACCTATCTTGACACTCCCGCCTTCAGCTCGATCGACTCCTCCGAAAACTCGATGGACTTGGAGTTGATCGCCTACATCGACCCTTGACAAACCCAACGGGATACCCTTCCTCCCACTAACATGGCATGGGGAGGTACCTGGAAGATCAATTTCCTCCTGAGGAACCCCCTACATGGCATTTGTGGGGAGGTACCTGGACCCCCTGGCAGGTGCCATGGCAACGTGGGAGGCTGTGTATGGTGAGAAACTATCCCATGGCCTGTGCCATCAGTGTTGCAACCGAAGCCCTCCATACGGCCTACCCGCGAGGGCAAGACATCACTTGGCACATACCAATGCAGTACGAACACTTTCGGAGATTTTCCAACTGGGTGGCTACAATTGGCGATCTTTGTAAACCCCTAGTTGTGGGGAAGAACAAAAAAACATCTGTGTGTGATACCAATGCAGCCTTGTGATTAGGTTTTCAGGTTGAAGGGAAGTCCCTTGATATCACTGACATTGGGCCCTATTCCCCAAGTTCCCACTCTTGGACAGTTTGCAAGGCAAATGGCTGCCGACAAAGCCACCAACCGGCTGGGCCAAATGGATCCGACGCTAACACATGTTGCTGGTCGAAAAGGGACAAATTGGGGAACAACAAAAAGGCAGAAGGTCAAACAGCTTAGCTAAATCAGGCAATGTTGGATCAAAAACAAAAGCGAAGCCTCCCCCCTTAAAAAAAAGAAAAGAAACAACTTAAACAGCTGTTGGTCCCCTTAAAACAAAAAAAGAAGAACAAAATCACAAGCCGCCAATTAGGTGGATTTCTGCATTCGAAACCTTGGACTCGCCTGCCACTCCATGGATTTCTCGATCTCAAAAGACGGCCCGAAAGCGCTGCCCACAGACTCGGAACGATTCCTGAGCTCCCGGTGTGGGCGTCCGCGCGCCACAGTCGCGCGCGGATTTGTTGTTCGCCAATTCGCTGTGACATGTGACAATGCCGCAAATGCCCAGTGGATCTCCTTCGGAACAAGTGGGGCATCCTTTTTTGGTTGGTGGAGTTTAAGGGGAACCCTTCCGAGAAAAACCAAAAAAGGGCGACACTTGGCAACTGGGATGTCATAGCCATCAGGAATTCCCAAAAGCACAGGTATCCCCAGCTTGTCTGGATGCCCTGACGGCTGGGTATTTTCCCAAGGCTCTGAGTGTGGTTCGCAACACAGGTCACTTCCATTTGCTTTTTCTCCCCTGGAACAAATTGAAAATATGTCCCAGCAGTGAAATCGATTCCTCTTAAGATCAACAAGGGAATATAAGACAAGAAAACACATTTCAGCAACTGGACATGTTCCTCTAAAGCACCATTTGGGTGTGCATCAAAAGGACCCTCGAAAATGGCTTAAGGGTTTTCCTCTGATTTGTTTAAACCACCATTTGGATGTGCAATTCACAAATCGGGGCACCCAAGGAAAAAGCCGGCTTTACTGGCTTTTCCTTTGGTTTCCCTCCAAGCCAACCGCAAAAAACGGGGCCTTCGGAGGGATCCATGGAAGCCAGGGCTCGGCCCGTGGTCAGCGCCGGAGAGGGCGAGGAGGTGGTGCCACACCGTGGTGATCGAGGCTTCTAACACGCGGCGGTCTGAGACGGAAAGCAGGTCCTGGCGGTTGGTTTGGGGTTGGTTTGGGGTTGGTGCAGGTTTAGGGTAGGTTTAGGCTGGGTTTGGGTGGGTTTGGGGTAGGCTTGCGGTTGGCTAAGGGTGGCTGTGTGGGGATGGCTTCATGGGGTAGGTATAGGGATGGCTTTGGGTGGGGATGGCTTTGGGGTAGGTTTAGGGATGGCTTTGGGTGGGTTTGGGTTTAGGGTTGGCTTCGGGTGGGGCTTAAGCTGAGTTTCGGGATGGCTTTGGGTGGCCTAGGGTGGGTTTGGGGTAGGTTGAGGGTGGGTTTCGGGTGGCTTGAAGGTCGATACAGATGGGTTGCCGGTTGGTGAAGGTGGCTTGAGGGCGGGTTGGGGGTTTGCGTCTGGTACTCGGAATGCCCACATTAAGTGGGTGTCGCAACTGGTGGGTTTACAACCTTCAAGAGGGCACCCTCCAAAAATCGCAAATTTGTGTCTTGCAAAAATCACAATGTCTACTCTTGACGGTTGGTGAAGGGCAGCTTTAGGGTGGGTTTAGGATGAGTGTAGGGTGGGAGGCTTGGTTTGAGGCTGGTACCAATTGAGGAAGTCGGAGTGCTCAACAGGAAATGCCGTGATCAGCTTGTTGTCTGGTGACTCCGAGGTGAGGGGGTCGGAAACAAAATACCCGGCCCTCTGCATGATACATGAAAAAAAACACAGCATGTCATTTTTGACCAAACCACAGAAGATCAGGGTAACACCGGCTGGCACATTTGCCTTGATTTGGGGAAGTAAAGGGAATGACCAAACCAAAGAGGGGGCATTGTGAGATTTATTCACCCGTACATTGATCAAACAAGACCAATTGTCAGTTCAGCTGTCGAGTTTCCTTCTAGGATTGCCAAACAAGGGGCGCACCGTATGAGCCATGGCCATTACGCGCTTTTACTGTACAGGCCACGAAGCAAATGCAGGCTTTGTCAGGGTCTCTTATAGCATAAACCCTGACAACTCACCTAGAGGCAGAAACCGTTGAAAACAGGTTACACAGGTGATTTGAGTGTGCCCAAAATGGAAGCCTGCCGAAGGGCCCTGGTTTTGACCCATACCCTACATGTTGGCTTAAAGGAACCCTGTATGAATCTTCGTGAGTACCGAGTCCTCTCGACCCCTTGCTAGGACCCCCTATCACCTTACCCCAATTGGTGGTGCAAAACCCCAGTTGGGTTCAAAGGAAAAGTTCAAACCCCCAAATCAAATGGGGTTTTGCACCAAAGCTTTGGGACAAAAAAAAACAAATCGAATGGGTCAAAAACCCCAAGCCAATCTAAAACAGGTACCAAGTCGCGATCCACCGACATCTAACACAGATCTCTGCCCTGATCTTGGCCTACAGGGCTACACCGAAATTCTGTTCGTCTTTAGGCTATCCCAAAGCATACAGGTTGACACTGTTGACACAGAAAGAATATTCAACCGCCAGAACGATTTTTCCGACAAAATATGGCATAGTTGTGGGGAAGTGAAAAATGCAGCCTCTGGAGCCTCTGAACAACTCTCCAGGCAGCCAAAAGTCCACACCAGCTCTCATTGGCGCTGCCGAACACCGGCGACAGTCATATATTAACACATTGACACACTGACACAAATGTGCACATATTCAGCAGATGTCTCGAATTCATCTGGAAACTTGGTGGGAACCACCCTTTCTGCAATACCAATGCGGAGTTTTCATGTGTGGCTGCATGTCACTTTGGCGGGGATTCCGCATACCTCAAACACCAACACAAAGCCGGCTTTCCAGTATGGAAAACATCAAGCAATTTGGAGGAGCCAACGCCACGTAACCCATAGAGAATAACCACTCACAGAAAGTGGGCGGCTCTAACACCAACAGTTTACTGCAACTTTGGCTGTTCTGCCCCAAAAACCCTACCAATCCTCAGCCAATCGAAGCCATGAACCACCGCACCCTCCGCCATTGTTGTGGAAAATAACATCTTCTGCGATACCAAAGTAGGTTCATCCCCATCACGAGTTTGTTGCTTTGAAGGGGATTCCATCCGTATTCCAGAAAGTAGCACGAAAGTCAGACTCCCCATGATTCCCCTTCAATTAAACTGTTGAGATCACCCCATCAGGAGGCTCACTTCAAGTTGCCATTTCCAAAGGGAAGCAACTAAACTTTCAAGATCACCCCATCAGGAAGCTCACTTCAACTTGGCATTTCCGAAAAGAAATGGGGGAAGTCCAAAGGGCACCCAAACCCATGGCACCGCAGGACTTGCGCGTCCTCACTTCAACCATGTTCAGCGAGATCTAAGCTGAGTTTCTCTCACACTAACAGCGCCAGCTGCCCCGAAGTCGGCAGTTCCAAAAGGTGGTGTTGAAAACCACATTTTGAGTGGAGATGCTTTGGGGACCTCGTATATATATATATATATATACAAAAAAATAAACTACCCCGCCCCCCTCCGCCCGCATCTTTGACCGTAAACCCTGGTAAGGTTATCTCTTCAGAGGGGATCCCCTTTTTGTGGATGAAATAACAATATGTTTCTTTGTTCGGTTGGCGCAGAAACAAGAAATCTGTCATTGTTCAACCAAAAAAGCCCCATTTCCTCCCCGTTGGCAGCAACCCCCAAAAAACCAACCCACAGCAGCTGCCGAACCCACCCCGGGCTGAGCCGGCTCCTGCACTTTCGCCAACTGTTTCGTCTCCTCCGCCATCGCTGTCAGCAGTTCCGGCGCCGCCTCGCCGGCCATTCGCACCTCCAAACCGGGGCCACAGGTATTTTTGGATCCCGTAACCTGAAATTGACATGTTTGTAGTGGTACCTTCCCCATTCTTTTCAGGGATCCTTCTTTCCAGAAAACCTCCAGAAACCCAGGGAAAACGGCCGGTTTTTGGAAAGAACGATGGTTGAAAAGAATGGGGAATCAACCCCTAGAATGTTGTCTTGGCTCGACCTTTGCTGTTGAAGTCCAACCTTCTAGTAGCTTCTCACTGAAAGTACAATCCACTTCAGATAGCCTTCCAAGAAACCTTCCAAGGAAGTAGTTGTACCTAAAGCTTCACAACCCTTGGTATGGTTGCAACAAACTTGGTTTTTGCAGCCAAACAATAAAACAGGAACAGAACAAAAAGAACCACACACAAAAACAAAGCATGATAGGAACCGCATGGTGATGCGTCCCTTTGATCTCGGGTTCTTTGGCTCGAGCTGCTCGAGTTCAAATGGTGGGAATCACGACTCACGTGAAGACAGCGACGTGCTGACAAGTTCAAACCTTTTGGGTCTTGACTAATTAAAGTGATAAAGAAAGCAGCCAAATGCTGAGATCACCAACTCAACAGAAAAGGAAATGCGTCATTCTAGTGGGTGCTTGAGCTTCTTGCTGAAGTTCTTCTTTACCGGGTTGGGCTTGTTGATGTCGAGGTTCTTAGGCCTCTGGTGCTTGGTTCCTCGGGGTTGCTTGGCGTTTCTTGCCTGCCTGGTTTCTCCCTTTGGTCTGTTGCTTGAGGTTGGGTTGCTTGATGCTGGGGAGGTAGAAGAGCCGACCCTTGAAGTAGGGAAGCGGAAAGCAGTCATTTGGCAGCGAATCTTAATAGGGAAGCACTTCACAAGTGGCTGGCGGTGTCCTGAATCCCCCCCGAGTTTTGATGTCCACCACAGGGTGCCCTTTACAAATGCCATTTGACAAAAACGGCTCGGGGCTTTTCTGCGGGGTGCTCTCATCTGGCCTAAGAATCGAGGCTTGGCCCCTAGGAGGTTGTGGGGTACGTGAACGCCAAACTTAGTGCTGCGGGTATCCCTGAATTCGTGGTTTGGATGTTTGGATTTGGATTTCAACCCCTGGTTCTTGTAGAGGGTCAATGGGAAACCACTCCGGAACACCAAACCACCAGGCTCCAAACCGCCAAGTAGAGCGAAGCTTTAGTTTCCGATTCTTGGAGCAAACCGTGGGTCCCCCAAAACAAACATGGGAACCTGACAGGGACTCCCTGGAAGACTAGTTTCTTCTAAAAGGGACCATCTTCAAGGCTACATATTCGTTAGGGAAACCGTTCGCCGGTTGCTTTGCATTCAGTCTTGGCTTTCTTGCACAAGAGAAACTCCGACTGAGTACTTCTTGGCATTTCAATCGACGCCGCTAGCTTCCATTTGCTTGAGCCTCCTCGGCCAAAAGAAACCTCCGAAACCCCCGACTCCCCGCCTTCCATGCCTCCGTCACCGCCTCAACCTGAGCCTCACCTGCATCTGTCAACACAAACGGGAACACTCAACCATTGGCTTCCCTCTGTCCGTGTTCTGATCCCCTGCTCCTTTGTTTAACTTTTAGCCGAGTGAAATCGAATTCCAACCACGAAACACCACAGAAAGCTAAAAGCTAAGAAGCCAAGGGGATGGCTGGGAACCACCAAGTCAAGAACACGTCTGTCAACCCTAGTTTTAGTAGATGGTACATGAGAAGCCACCCATCCTCCACACCAGGCCATCCATTCAAGGCAAGGGGCAAGCTGGAGAAGTGGGTTTGTCTTCCCAAGCTCGGATCCCAAAAACATAGATTCCACTTCTGGTCTTGTGGCTTTCCTTTAAATCCCACCGCGAGGTCTTTGGCACCCGCAAAAAAGACGCAGGTTGCAAAGTAATTGTTTTACCCCAACCATCTCATGTGGGTGAAACAATCTGTGCAGGACTCGTCAAAGTACGAGGTGTCCACTAACTACGCACAAACCACTACCTGCAGGGGGAAATGGGGCATGTGCCCTGTGTATGGTGGGGGTATACCCGAGAGACCGCAGGTCGTGATACTGGAAGCCATACAAAGACGACGCCCTGAGTGCCACTGTTCTATAGGTAACTGACGAGCAATCCGAACCCAGGAATCCTTTTCACCAAACAAACAGCCAGAGGAAAAGGGGTGGCTTCTTAAAGACCGATGGTTGAAAAACCCCTCTGCTGGAAGATCACGGGTTTGTCTCCGAATGGGGTCCCCACAGACAAATGGGCGGTGTCGCGGTGAATTTGAAACACCCCCAAAATACCATCCAATAAGTCAAACGGCAGCCGAAACCTCTGCACAAACTAAAGTTCAAAAAACCCGAACTCAAGAAATCTGACAGAAACTGCAAATGTGGCGCATCACTCGTCTGAACAATCCTTTCGACCAAGCTAAGCTACGTAGGCTGATGGTGCAGGCTTCCAGTTGAATCCCCTTCAAAAACTCCTTTTTGAGTCAAAGGGAAGCTACGTCCGGTTGCAATAGTAATTTTGTCCAAGCTCATTCTCCCCGGAATCGGCGAGCTTGATACAATCTGTCCAAAGACCCAAGTCTGCAACCAAATGGGGCATCCACCTATTTGGCTCATTCTCTAGGTCCATCAAAGTGACATCCTCAAAATCAAACCCGAAAAAGGGTCTTTGAGGGTAAACCACCTGCAAAATTATTAAACTTAGCAACTTCCAGACATTTGAGGACCAATAAATTTAAGAAGCAACCATAACAAAACTCACAACCTATGGTAGCAAAACACTTGGTTTGCTCCAGCCCCCTACCAAAATGGACAGAACCCCAAACAAACTTGCCAACAACAGCGGGAAACCGCTTAAATGGGGACGGATCAAAAATGAAACCACCAGGGGAGCAGGTTTTGGTCCATGTTTCCACTTACCGATCGGGTCCCATTTTGGGGTGACCATCTTTTTGACCCAAATCATCGCCCGAGCTCAAGACGATCTTTAGCAGGGTTCTACTTTTCGAGTACCCCAAAATAGACTCAAACCCAGGGACCTGTTCCCCTTTTGGGGAGAAGGAACCACTGGGTTTAAGTCTACCCTGAATTATTTAAAAAGTAGAAACCTGAATTTCAGCGTCCCCGTACCCCCAGTGAAGATCCCAATCCCCACTTGGTGAATTCACCTACCAAAATGGGATCCCAAAACGGTGTTGACCCAAAGCCAAATCATCGCCCGATTTTCAACCCTGCTTAATGTTCACTCGGTTGCTTTCTGCTCCCCTGCTACAAGCTTTTAACTTTTAGTGGTTTAATTCGGACAGCCCATGTGTTGGCAAAAAGTTCCCTTCCTACTGTGGATGGACGAAATCCTTCGCCACTTTGCAACCATGGGAAACCATTGTTGGTTGGTTTTTTACAGGGGGAATCATCATTTGATGGTTTCTCAGGTGATGCGAAATGGATTTCGTCCATCCACAGTCACATCCCCTGGCAAAATGCGCGGCTTCGGCCGCCTTCGGCTCCCCTCAGAGCGTTCAGGAGGTCCTGGCCCAGCTGCTCCAGGTGGGGAGACCTCGTCCATGGGGAGACGAAGTCGGGCGCCACCTCGTGGCTCCTGCGGCGAACTCGCCACTTTTTCTAACGGGGAACGGAAACGGGGGGATGGGGATGGGGATGGGGTGGGGGGTGGGGTGGGGTGGGGGGTCATTCATAGGGGAGCATCAAAATGGTGTCCTGTCCAAATTCGGGAAGGGGTTTCTGTTTGTTAATATTTTTTAAAGGGACCATGAACATGGTGAAATGTCTGTTGTCCCTGTTTCCTTTTGTTGGGGGGGGCACCCCCCTTTACAGGGTTTCCGAGCCATGTCCCTTTTTGGTACCTCGAAAAGTTGTAGTTTTAATCAAACCCCCCAGTGAACTGCAACTTTTGATGGGAAATCCAAGGACCCCTGTCCAAGGATTTAGTGAGACAAATCAGTGATTTTACACTGCACAGTTGCAATGAGTGACAACGAGTTCGACGAGTTCTGAATCCTCAACCACTTCTTCATAACTTCACATCCAAAAGCCACCTGCTTTACAATTTGGTGTCAAAAGGACAGTCTGAACTTGGACCCTAAGCATTTCCCTTTTCCTGACAGGAATGGCAAAACACAACTCTAAACTTGTTATTCTCCACCGAAATTGTCCAAACCAACAAAAGTGACTCTTTAGTCCAGAAACTCAGCAATTGGGGCAAAACGAGAGAATCCGTGAACCAAATTCAAGAATCCCTTGACGAATTTCACGACCAATTACGAAAAATGAGTCATAGTCAAAACCTGGTACACAATGGTCTCCCCAGCAAGAGGCGGATATCCGCACCACGTTGGGATTATCCCTTAATTTTCATCTACCCAAAACGGTTTTGACTGTGGAGATGAGAGAATCCGCAAACCACATGTTCCAGAATCCCTTGAAATTCACCACCAAGCCAAACACAAAACCGGGCTGTTTTCAGCTCCTGGGTGGAATTTGGAAACCCAACCACTAAACCAAGAAAAAGCTAAAACCTAACGAACCGGAAGGCTGGGAACCGCCAAGTCAAGAGGACACTCACTGTACTCTGGCCGAACTGAAAATATGGGTGTGACTTTTAATGGGCCCTTTGAGGGACACCATTTAGGTGGAGATTCATGTCCACCAACCCCCTTTGAGGTGGTTCCCCAATAAAATTCATAGCCACGTACAAAACCCAAAACAATATCGAAGCACCAAAAAATCCAACCCCTAGAACAACTAAAGCCAAAAACAAAATCAAATAATAGGGAAAACCCAAAACTTGGTTGCTGTTGACCCCCCTGCATGTTTTGTCTTTTTTACTTTTTGGGGGGTCTAGTGGAACACCCCTTGATTTCCCCCCCCAAAAAAAAAACAAGTCTAAAGATCCAACCCAGTAGCAGTCAAGAAAACAAAACCCAAATTTTCGGAAACCCAACCTCCAACCACAAAAACAACCAAAACCCAAAACATCGGAGCGCGGGTTTGCTCCTCAGCAGCATCCTCGCCTGCACCGCGCAGCCCATCAGCGCCTCCTGCGACTCCCCGGCACGACGCAAGGAGGCCGCCAGGCGGCGAGGGTTCGTCCAGCTGTGGGAGGTGAAGGTGTCCAACAAACTCTCCACCAGCAGCCTCAGTGACTCAGGCAGCTCGCGAACACTACAAATACTCGCAGTTTTTAGTGGCAGCATCCACATCTGCAGCAAGGAATGCCTCATGACATGAGGCGTATAGTTGCTGCTCGGGAGTGAATCTGGCCAATCTGGCAATCAAGGGTGACCCACACTCTCGCAGCGCGGGTGTCTTTTTTCCGGGGCACCCCCCTGCATGGCTGCTCAAAAAAAGGGGGAAACCAAAAGGAAACCCACATTCTTTGACATTCTTTGGGGTCCGATTCCCTAAACAAGACACACAGGCTATCTCCCATAGACCTGAGGCGCTCTCCAGCCCAACGGATTTGCCTTCCAACCCAAAGATTACTTGCTGGTGCGAGAGATGCGGGCAATGCGGGATGGAATGACCCCAAGCGAAACCAACTGGTGGTTTCCTTTGTTCGGGAATCCCCAGGTACATTCCCTCATTCCCTGCTGAGACCCAGCAAGATTCATGACTGCAGTTCAGCCCACTAAGGCACACAGAAAGTCAGATGTTCAGATGATTCATAACAGAACTGACCTCATTATTTTACCATGATCAAAGTCACCCCCTAAGCGGTGGGTTAAAGGGAAACAACCCCATTTACTGACTTTGATAACCCCAGAAACCGTCAAAAGAATGACCCCAGCATAAGTCTGCCTAGATGTGGAGGCATCAGATCTGGCGCAAACAGATTTGGCGCCAACGTCTGGCGGATTTTGAGTCCAGCTTCAACCCAACCGCTCGGGCCAAAGCAGTCCGAAGGAGTGGATTGGCCAAAAAGTGTCCGCAACACTTGTTTATTTGCCGCTCTTATAATTGTCCATGTCTAAACTAGTTGCTTGTCACTAAGATGGATGACTAAAAAACAGATTTGCCCCAAAAGGTGACTAAAGTTGATGACAGGAAGTGAAGTCTTGGACCATGACCTTCAAGCCAAGTGGTGGATTGCGCCTTGGCATTTTCAAGGCCTTTGGTTCCAATTTAATTTTCGGTGGCCTCCCCAATCCCCCCAACCCCCCCCCCCCCACCCCAACCCCTCCCCAACCTCCCCAATTTTTCGCACCAGACCTAGACTTTGGGCATTGCTACCTGGGAGGATACCTCTGCTTTCCAGGTTTCCAGGTTTGGGGGGGGGGGGGTGAGCACAGGGGGGGGGGGGGGGGGCTGATCTCTCTGTCGTTGGGTCGAAGAATGGGGTCAAATGATGACAAGCACACACACAAACATATCTAGTGCCCGTTTTTGATCCTTGGCAAAAAGTTTAACTTGTGGGCTACATGGAATCCCAACCACTAGACACCAAACACCTGAAATCCGAAACGGACAGCAGGACTTCCAGAAAATCGTGCGCCAAGCCACAAGTGGCTCGCTGGCTCCTCATTGGCAGAGCCCAAGTCCTGAAAACTGCGACTCTTGGTCTTGCCGAAGGGTTTGGAGTTCTCCAGCTCCACATCGACCAGTTCTTGCAAGCTTTGCGAATTCTCCTCAGATGCAAACCTACTTTTAAGGTGTTGCTGGCTTGCGAAAACAAACAAACACATTCCAATCATGTTTAGTCTTACATAGGCTTTATGACCTGGTAAAAGTCTCAGGTCACTTCAATGGAAGGTGGAAACTTGGGAAATCGTTCCGTAAAAACAGGGTCCTTCCTGGCTTCCTTCTGGAACAGCCAAAGGCCAAAGACAATGGACTTCTCCAGTTCAAAAAACTGCCCGATTTGTGAGGAATCCGTCTCATGCGCTGACCCCTTCTTGAGATAGTTCAATGGGGGCGGCCATTGAGAGTCCAAGCAGATTTCGGGGAATCTGATTTTGAGACACACCGCACACACACACACTATACAATGATGTCGGAGACTTGGGTGTTTTGACGCCGAAGTGAGAAACTCTTCGCTCGCCCAGAAACTGTTCGCTCTGTGCATAAAAGTTGCTTGCTGCCCCCGCCCCCACCCTCGGTGGAATCAAACAGTGCAACAAGTTCCTTTATTGTCTCACTTGCCCAAAGGACCTGGAAAAAAAGGTAAGCCTTGCGGGGCCATGAATAAAAATGGACCAAATGGGAAACTAAAATGTCAAAAGGCCATCTTTGAAAAGCTGAGGTTTCTTTCGGTGAAATAAAACAAGCCAATTTGGGGTCAAAGCAAAACGCAACCAAGCCGCTGGCTTTCCGGCTAGCAATCTGGGCCCTGCCCGTTGATAAACCACCTCCACGTCAAGTGCGGACTCCGTCTCCTAACTTGCAGAGTGAGCAGACGTAAACGCTTCATCTGTTGGGACCTAGACATAAGATTAACATCTGAAATTAAAACCCAGGTGGGCCAAACTTTGACCCCTGCAAAAGACATAGCTAGCATGTTGCTGGTTAAATTGAAAACTGCTCAAAAATCAAAAAGGCTAAAGGTTGAACAAGTAGGTTGCGCCTGGCAATGTTAGGTCAAATTTGGACATCTGAGTCTCGGCCCTTGACTCTTGAGGCGCCGCTTGAGGCGTGATCTCTGGCGGCTTGATCTCTGCATCAGCATCCTGCATGCAAAAAGAAAACCATGGGCCCTCGCTAAAAGGGAAGCAAAAGGTCACCCTTTTGGGACCTTGACTCAAAATCGACCAAAAGGGGGAACCAAAAGGCCAACTGCTGGATTCGCTGTGGCAAGCAAGCCCTTTTGACCGGTTGCACTAGCGAGTAGCAACCAACGAAAGAGAGGCCTGGTCCCTTTCTCCCTTCAATGGAGGGTCCTATGAATCTTACTCGCAACCTATATTCTCTTCCGTTCCGGCCATGTGGATTGGCGAAACAATCCGTGGAAGGTGCAAAAACCGTGTCCTCCAGGCTTGGCGACCGCATCTGCCGCGCCAACTCCAACTCCGCCCTGCGCGCCACCTCGTGATCCCCAGTCTACCAACTTCGGACCGGGTGGTTTGATCGAATCTGATCCGGGACGGCACCAAGGTTTGATCACTTGGTTAGGACCCAAAAGGAAATCAATGACAATACAATTTGTGTGCTGACCCCTTCTTAAGATTGCTGAATACGGGGTGGGGCAATTGGGAGACAAAGCAGATTTAGGGTATCTGAAACTGAGACACACCGCGCACCCATATCAATGTCGGAGACTCGTTTATTTTTGACGCAGAAATGAGAAACTCTTCGCATGCCCAGAAACTGTTCGCTCTGTGCAGCAAGTTGTTGCCCCCCCTCGGGAAAATCAAACAGTACAGGCAATTTGCTCTAGTTTCTTTTCAACAAGACATTTGAATGTCTCAGTTGCCCAAGGAACCTTATAATAAGGTTACCCACAGCCCCCGAGGTTTGCCGTCACCCCCTAATCCACGCTTGTCCTGCCCATGCCCAGGTGACTCGAGTTCCTGCAGCACGTGGTTCAAGTATGGCACCCTTTACTAGTCAAGTAGCAGAACTCGTGCAGCCATATTTGACACGTGGTGACCTCCGTTCTCTTCAGAACGTAGGGCCGTGGTACCGCGAGGGCGTGGGTGGCAGGCAGGTTCAGGGTTTTAGGTTTAGGGTTTAGGTTTCGGTTTGGGGCTTTATGGTTTTTAGGGTTTAGGTTTAGGGTTTTACGGTTGTTGGGATTTAGGTTTAGGGTCTTTAGGGTTTAGGTTTTAGGTTTTTAGGGTTTAGGTTTAGGGTTTTTAGGTGTAGAATTTTTGGGGCTTAGGTTTAGGGTTTTTAGGGTTCAGGTTTAGGGTTTTTAGGGTTTAGGTTTAGGGTTTTTAGGTTTAGGGTTTTTAGGGCTTAGGTTTAGGGCTTTCAGTGTTTAGGTTTAGGGTTTTTAGGGTTAGGTTTAGGGTTGTTAAAGTTTAGGTTTGGTTTTGAGGGTTTAGGTTTAGGGTTTTTAGGCTTAGGTTTAGGGCTTTCAGTGTTTAGGTTTAGGGTTTTTAGGGTTAGGTTTAGGGTTTTTATGGTTTAGCTGCGCTTGGCTTTACGAATCGTGACAAAGTAACAGCAGTGGCAGCGCAGACAAAATGCTTCAGGCGGGTCGGAGCTTCGTGATCTCCGGGTCTTGGTGTTGGGGCGTTGGTTCCGGGCGCCGGCAAACCTCAGGGGCTGGCCGTAAGGTTAGCCTTGTGGGGCCATGACTAAACTGTCGGCTTTGAACAGCTGGGGTTTCTTTCGGTGGAATACGGTCGTTCAGCGCGTCAAGAAATCTCATTAAACAAGAAATAGGGCTCTTGCTTGGCCGGAAAGTACATGTTGCAGAGTCTCAGAGCCACTATTTCCGCTCAACTATGCAGTGTATATCTACCAAAGCCACACATAGAAACGGGCACCTCCCAGCTGTGTACAGCTTCATGAGTCACATGAAGTTAATCAGCTCATTCACAAAAGTGTAGAGGCCAGGAAACAGGTCTGACACCCAGTCTGAACATGTCTGAACCCAGTCTGAGTCTGAGCCCAAACGATTGGCGGTGGGCTTCATTCTGCCATCTTCTGCGCCACATCTTGAGGTGAAGGGTGCGATTTGGGAGAGACTTGTCGTCTTCTTTGCAGATTGGCTACTAACCTGCATGGTCTTGGCGCGGAAGATCCTCCCCCATGTCCCGCAATTCAATGGTTTCAGACTGGTTTCAGGCTGGTCTCAGGCCGGTTTTTGGCTAAGTGAGCAGTCGAAAGAGCAACAAAACGGCTCCACCCTTGAACATGTTGGATTCTTTCAAAATCCCCGCAGCAAAGCTAAGACCCGCATATAATCATATAACTTGCCACCCAGAGTCTCGGAAAAAAAAGAGCGAAGATTCGGAAACTCCACCGTAGAACTAAGAAATTGTGCGAGACTCTCGAGCAAAAAGGGACTTCTTGTCACGCAACATGACCATAAAGCCGCAGAGTTCCAAGCGCGGGGCCAAAGCAAAACGCGACCAAGCCGCCGGCGCCAATCCGCGCTCTGCCCGTTGATAAACCACCTCCACGCCAAGTGCGGACTCCGTCTCCTAACTTGCAGAGTTAGCAGACAACGCTTCACCTTGAGGGACCTAGACTAGACACAAAATGAATCAAACCTAGGAAGCCAAAAGGTTAACCAGGCCAAACTTTGACCCCTGCAACAAACATGACATGTTGCTGGTTGAAAGGGAAACTGCTGCAAAACCAAAAAGGCGAAACGTCAAAAAGTAAGTTGCGTCTTGCAATGCTAGATCGAATTTGGACAGAGTCTCGGCCCTTGACTCTTGAGGCAGCGCCTCTTGAGGCGTGATCTCTGGCGGCTTGATCTCTGCATCAGCATCCTGCATGCATAAAGCAAACCATGGGCCCTTGCTTAAAGGGAAGCAAAAGGTCAATCTTGTGGGACCTTGACTACAAATCGACCAAAAGGGGGAACCAAAAGGTCAACTGCTGGATTCGCTGTGGGCGAGCGAGCTCTTCTGACCGGTTGCACTAGCGAGTAGCAACCGACTAAAGGAAGGCCTGATACGTCCAAAGCCTGAAGTTGGTCACTTTCTGCCTTAAATGGAGGGTTCTCGCAACCTAAACTCACTTCCGATCGAGTGGATGGGCAAAACACATCCGCCAACTGAAGATGAGAAAACGACGTGTCCTCCAGACTTGGCGAACGCATCTGCCGCGCCAACTCCAACTCCGCCCTGCGCGCCACCTCGTGATTTCCATTCGAACAACTTCAGACCAGGTGGCTTGAACATCCGATTTCCGGAACAGTAATTACGCGCGCAGCAACCCAAGGATTCATCCTTCGGATAGGAACCAAAACAAAGGAAATCAATGCTCATCTTCCAAGATCCCCAGTGGCCACGGGAAACAAGAATAAACAAGACTTTTCACACAAGCTTTTTGCCGTGGAGTTTCAACAGAACCCCGTTCCCTTCAAGCGGAGGGAAGCAACCGCAACCCACGGCACGCGCCAGCCAGCCCCGCGCCAGCCCCGCGCCTCCTGCAGATTTTGGTTCCTCGCGGGAAACCTCCGCAAAGGCACCGAGTCGAGGTCCGAGTCCGAGTTGTCGAGCGGATCTTGCAGGCTGTTGGACGAGGCAACGGCCCCCAAGCCCGCAGAGTCCTGAGGTCGAACCACAGCGCCAGTTTCTTGGCGATGTGGCGCGATACAAGTACATTTTGCTGAAATTGGATCTGAATTTGGTAGATGTCGTTGATTGTCCGAATTCCATTTTTTGCTGAAACTTGGATAGAAGCGTCTGAATCAGGTGATTCCAAGAAGTTGTTTAAGGCTTGAAGGATGAACGTTCGGGCCAATCTTCGGCCTTTCAAAGCCTCGGAGCTGACTAGCTGACTCCAAGCTTCAGCTTCTGAGTCTGATGGGCTCGGATCCTGCAGGCTTGGCGACTTCACCACGATGCCCTTCAACTCCGAGCCGGCGCGCTGCACGGATTCCAGGGAGCCTCAGTTGGTCCAGGGGGCCCAGGCAATAGACATTTTCAAGGACGTGAAATGAACACTTGTGAGGAGTTTTGAAAAACCAACACCAAGAAGACAAAGACAGAAAAGGAAAAACACCTCCGCTCTGCAGAAGGATCGCTATAAAGTCTATTCCTTTGGCCTGCCGGCGTCACAGGCACCTCGGCATACTTGCCTTGAACAACTTGTTCGGCTGGCTGGGGACTTCCCCAGCCATCCTTTCTCCCAAGGTTAAACCTCTTAGTTGATTTGACCTCAAAGCCACCCAAAACGTGCGGCTTGTGGGGTCAACCATCCGCCAGTTTCTGACTCTTCCAGCCCAAATGCGTTGTTCGTCTTTTTGAGACGCAGAAACAGGATTGCATTTTTTTGGGGGGGGCAACTGTGAAAAGTTGCAAGCCCGCCATTTTGAGCCCGGCCCACGTGATCCCCACGTGATCCAGGAGCCTTCCGATAGCCTCCGTCCCGAGTCAATCAGCTCCGACTCCGAGTCTTCTTGAATCCTTGCAGGATCTGATGGAATGGCTGGAACGGAAATCCCACATGGAAAAAAGAAAAGAAAGGACCACAACATGCACAAGTTTACTTACATGACACCTTCACATGGGACCATGGGAAAACCACTGAATTCTTTGTCTCCGGACCAAAATTGTAATGGTTCCGGGCCATATAACTCGCGCGCCTCTAAAAACAAAACAGCGAGCGAATTCCTCCAAGCTGCCATGGGCGGAAGCTAAGGGGAAATCAGCCTCCGCCAGACTAGCATGGAAGCTGAACGGACTTTTTGTGGAAGACTCGGTTTAGGAGGCCTTCTGGGAGAAGGCCCGGCTGTGAGTGTAAGTCCGAAAAGGAATTCCAAGCTTCCCTCAAGAACCTCATGGGTGGGTGGGTGGGTGGGTGGGTGGGAGGGTGGGAGGGTGGGAGGGTGGGTTGGTTGGGTGGTTGGGTGGGTTGTGTGGTTGAGTGGGTAGGGAAATCATTGAGTCCGAACAGCAATGTTTTGAGATTGGCCACCCGAAGTCTAAAATGGTCTTCCCACGTGCAAGTCCAAAAGCCTCTGGGAGAGTCAACATGAAAAGGGTCTTCGGAATCCAAAGCAACCTCAATCCAGCCACCCCCCAAGCATAGGTGACCTGTTGGGGAAAAAAATGGCCCTGGTAAATGGAATAAACACCAATCTGAACCAGTGCCATCTGATCTAAAAAACTACTCCAAAAAGGACACCTATGCCCCAACAACTGCTATTTGGACAGCACAAGGGAAACAGCCGTCGTTGGAGGGTGCTGCTTGCAGCTGTAATCTTGGTTGCTGACCCTTCTGAAAAAAGCTAGCTTTTTGTGGGTCTGACGGACAATCCGCTGTTTCCCAAACAGTTAAAGTCCAAAGATCCAGGCAAATGGCTGTGGAATGTACCAAAATGGCACCTTGGTAGATGGAACCCAAGACTAAAACGTGCGTAACCCTGGCTCGTTCATTTTGAGCCACACCCAAATAGCCACAAAGGACTTGGCTTTGTTATCTTGGTGGACTCCGAGGTCTGAAATGCAACCACTGTAACTTGCTGGTACGATAGGTAGGGAAGGAGAAATGGAATGACCCCTGTCCATCCCATATGGTTTCTTTCCATTCAGGGAATTCCCAGGTGAATCGAATTCTCATTGCCTACTGTGGATGGACGAAATCCTGCACCAGCTAAGAAACCCTGGAATGATGAGACTTCTGTAAATACCAACAAACAATGGTTGCCCATTGGTGCGAACGGATTTCTTCCATCCACAGTACGCTTGTGACAGAGCGTCACTTCCTGCAGGCTTTGCGACTTGGCAGATGCGTCTCGTCTCATCTCGCCCTTGCGCAGAAAATTTCGCGACCGCCCCCTCAAAAGGCACCCTACGAGGGCATTTGTGTTCCCTTCTTCGAAACCCTAAGTGCGGGGGTGCGGGGGGGGGGGGCCTTTTTAGGGGTACCCCTTTTGTGGCTCAAAAAGGACACCAAACATAAACACACTCTTCACTTTTTTGGGGCCCGCCAAACACCCAAGTGCTGTCCAAATAGCAACTGAGTGTTGGGAAGTTGGAATTTTGCACAGGGGGCCCATGGCTAGAACCTTCCAGGGTCCGCATACTGAATTCCTGGGCTGAGAAAAGAATCAGGAAAGGAATTCCTGTGAAACTGCCAATGGAAACCCTTCAAGGATAAGGAACTGCCTTTGAGTAAACTTTAGGGGCATCAATTTGATAAGTTGGACCCTTTGGTGGACATGACTTACTGTCCACAACCCATTTTGGAGGGTGTTCCCATGGAAAAAGTTGGACCGTGTTGCAGGGCCGTTTCCTGCCATCATTGTACGGGCTTGTCTCAAAATCGGGGACCCGACAAATTACGGTTTTCCCAGTGGTTCCAACTAAAGGATAGACGCCCCCCCACAGAAAACAAGATGTAGACCCAACATGGGTGGACCTGCTTGTGCAACCCTGTAATTGAAGGCCCCAGATACGCATTTCTCCCAAGATACTTGCCCAGATTCAAAGAAAGAGCCAGTACCGAAGCCAGCATGGGAAGAGCTGGCGACAAGCAATGTCGACCCATGACTAACACCCCTCACTTACCCAGAGGTTCCCTTTGCAATGGGCTTCTCTTCCTTCGGGAGTCTGATTTTATTGATTCAGGAGGGGCGTGGTCAATCCGTCATCCGAAGCACAAAGGCCCGCTAAAATACCGCAAAGCAAGTTTTCCCCAAATGGGTGTGGCTCAAAAATCAACAGGAGGGGCAAACCGCAGGTTTTGGTCCATGACTGTCCACTTACCGATCGGGCAACCCATTTTGGAATTCCGGTTTTCTGAATTCGCCACAGCCATATTTCCCCTGGTTCCTACGTGCCATGTTTGGGGCATCCACCGGTCACGCAAAATGACCATCACATGCTTTCCAGCTTACGTTGCTAAATGTCATGGATGCCCCAAAAATGGAGGGGAACTGCACACCCCCAAGAAAATCCACCAGTGGGGTGTAATCATGGGTTCCCATTGCTTGACTCCGCGCAGCTTCGAAATATCTCTCCAGATTTGTCAACGCCACCCCAAACTGCGCTGTCAAAATGGACACTGTGGCCCTACACCCAACCTAAACCAACAGGAAATCCACCCTAAAACCTCAACCAACCTATAACGGGTTTGCTTCTGTTCCCCTTAAAACTGGCCCACAATGGGAGCCTAAACTTGACACATCTTCGGGTGTTTCCAGCCACGACAAATGGGAACGGGCTTCCGAAATGATGGCCCCTTCTTTCAAGGGCGGCGCAAGAAACAGGGTTGCGAACGGGTCCGAGATTTCAAAAAAGCCCGCTATCAACGAATAAGGGTTTGTTCTTCTCCTTCTCTTTGGTTGGTGAAGATACCCAAACGAAGGAGGTTGCAGAATCCACTCGTGTCCACCATACCCACCCCGCCCCAGACACCCATAGGCCATGCCTCTAGCTCCTGTAACCTCCGTCGCCAGGCCACCTGCGCCAGAACTTTTGGCGAACGCAGTTTGGACAAGCGCAATGAGCAGTCAACTTGCTGGTGCTCAGAAGGTGCCGGGGCAACTTCTGTCTCGTTTCAACTGGCTGGTTCTCAGAAGGGAATGGGAAATGGAATGACCCCGAGAACAGCCATCCAACTGGTGGTTTCCTTTCAGGGACATATGGGTTCATTCCAATCCTCATTCCCTACCTATCGCACCAGCAAGTCAACAAGGGCTCCCAATGTTTCCATCTAGGAAAACTACCTCGAAAACCACGGGAAAAAAAAGAGGAAGAGAACAAACAAACAGAAACGACCCATGTTCAATCATCACCAACGAGGAAGTGGCCTCCAAAGGAATCATATATATATATATACACATATACACATATATATATATATATATATTGTATATATATATATATGTATATATATATATATGTATATATATATATATGTATTAGCATGCACCAAAAACTTGGGGCTTCAAACAGCACATGGGGTTTCCCAGGAGAAAGCAGTCGTTGGGTGCTGGTAAAGCCCTAAAGAAGTAGAATGGGCCTGTGGAGTAAATGAGTTGAAATTCATGGTAGACGGGTTTTTGATGATTTTGTCCTGCGCCTTACTGTATATTAACTGAGTACAACAAACTTCAGAACGGATTGCAACTGTGAGTTACAACCTCTGGAGGGTGTGAAGAGCAACCTGCTCCGAGCAACAGGATCTTATGGCCACCTCTCATTTCAGGGTCACCCCAAAGCCCGCTCTGGCGTTAGGGGGTGGTACTTGAGGCCAAACAAAATGGCCGGATAAGGCCCAACTGGTCGCCTTTGTGCATCTTTGTATATGTTTGTGATTATTGCTCATACTCCCCTCTCTGAGGTTTTAATTCGAGGGATTTGGTCACCGTGGCCTTAGGCAAATGGGATGGCCCTATCATTTGGCCTCACTTCGACCCGCAAGTGACTTGTGTTTGCTGGTTGAAGGAACACCCCCCCCAAATGATGTTGCTTGTGGTTTCCTTTCAAAACTCGCAACAAGGGGTATCAAACAAGACGTACCCAAACCCAAAAGGGCAAAGAGTTAACAAGGTAAGCCATGTCTGGCAGCGATTTTAGAGATCCAAATCCAAGTCACTTAGAGGGGAACACCCGCCCCTCCGCCAGCCTAAACAAATCCGGGGTGAACATATGACAACATGATCTAAGAAAACTTATGGCAGGCTTACTTCAAGCTAAGAAAACCCGACTCACAGGTTGCCTTGGGGCGACTTTGGCAAACTTTCACTTGCCCCGGCCCCAAAAACAAGGCTAAGCGGTTGCATGGATTCGGGGTCAACTTTTCGAGTGGATGTACTTGGCGGTTCAACCAGCGAATCGTCGGGTTCAAGCTAGGTGATGTCCTGCGCCATTCGGAAGAAGGTGCCATTCCCGGCCATGTGAAACACGTGCAGAACTGTAATCGGTTGCTTTCTTTAACTTTTTGTGGTTTAATACGGAGAACCCATTCGTTTGCAAAAAATCAAGTCCTAACAACCAAGCAACATGGCACCAAAGCCTTGGTTGAACATCTCATGGATGCACCTGAGTCAAAATCAAAACCTGGTACCAACACGGTGAACCCACGTTCAGGACTGTATTTATATGCCCGTGTTGGACGGCTGTGGGGATCCCACCGAAAACTGCGCACCTCGAATTCCGGGGATACCTCCACCAGAGGGTGGAAGGCGCCGGCGGACGCCTACAACATGTGTCCACGGGTGGATCAAAAGGTCCATGTGGGTGTGGGTCAAAACTAAACCACTGGTTTTAGTCCATGTTTCCATTTACCAGGGTTCCATTTTGGGTACATATTTTTGACCCACAGCCATGTGGCTTCAGAAGTAGTTTTGGTATTCCCCTGTTGGTTTTAAAGGGAATCCATTAAACTTTTTGAAATATGTCTTATTTGTTCCATGGGATTTGAACCCATGTGCGTCAAGAAGCAAGTCTTGCCTCTCTACAAGCAACGCCAGATCTGACTGGCCAACCAAACTGACTTCGATGACTTCGATTCCCTAGATCTTCCAGGCTGAAGCAGGCAGTTGCCTTCAACTTATTTCTTCATTTGGCCATCGGTCAAAATCCCGTACCCCAAGTGAACATCCCAATCCCCAGTAAAATAGGTTCTAAAATGAGTGGTGCACCTACCACAGGGCTCCCTATATTTCCCCTTAAAACATCACCCCCACCAAGGGACACTCACCTTTCATGGGCCAAAAAGGTGATGTTTAAAACCGCAAAAAAAAAGAAGAAATATCGGGACCCCTGTACCACAAAATGGTATCCCAAAACGGTTTTGACCACCACAGCCATCTGAGTGCAAGAGGACAACGAGATGAAGTTGTTGTCAGGGCCCTTGGGCTGAAGGGGCATGGCTTCAGAACTCGGTCTTGGGAACACTTTCTGCCACCGTCTCTCCAAATGGGCTAACAAAGAGGGGGCCCGGGTTTGAAGACTTGCCTCTGTACATTGGGAAATTGGGGCCAGGGGCTAACAGAGCCTCAAGGGGTTAATAGGTGGCAGCCAAAGTTCCTTAGTTTAAATTAAATCCCAGAATTTAGGTCCACGGGCTATTGGAAGCCTGGCCACAGACCATTGACCTTTGTGAGGTCGCAATTTGGATGAGCCAGCTATTTTTTGTGAGGTTCTGATGTGTCCAGAATAACGCAGGCCTGGTTTCTAACAAGTTCATAGCCCTTGTTCATACCAGTTGGCGCGGTGTGCACCCGCCCTTTATATCTGGGAATGTACACCTTGTGGCGAAATGAACCACGTGATGCCTGTTGGACTTTACCCAAGTCTTGGCTGCAGTGATTCCCTCTACAACACGTTTCACTTGTGGGTCCAATGGACAAGCCACATACCAAAAAGTTAAAATCCAAAGATCCAACATTTAGTTCAGCCTTATCATGATGTTTAATCGAATTAATCCCTTGTATGGGTGTGATTTTACTGACATGTCGAGGGTACCCTTTTTTGTAGGTTTAAAGGAGAACCAAAAGGACAACCGAAACCACTTTGGGTGTCCCCTGAAAAAAACACACACACACACACACAATTATTTGTACCTGGACCCGTCAAAATAGCTTTACAAATGGCATCCTGCAACCCAAAATCATGTTTGGTGAATTACCTTCTTTATTTGTAGTTTGAGGGTCCAGGTAATTACAAACACCCCCCCTTTTTATGTACCAACACCCCCCCCCACCACCTTTTATGTACAAATACACATCGCGCCATGTTATGACAAACAAAAACAAACAGCTCGCGCCGTTTTACTTGCAACCCCCAAAACAGTTTGGTGAATTCCCTTCTTCATTTGATTTGTAGTTTGAGGGTCCAGGTAAATACAACCCCCCGCCACCTTTTATGTACAAATACCCCTCGTGTTGTTTTATGACAAAAACCGAGGGAGTTCTGGGCTGCCCTCAGATCCCCTGCTAAAAGTTTAGCTTTTAGTGGGTTAAATGGACACCCCCACGAAACACTAAAAGGCTAAAAAGCTAAGGAACCGGATGGCTGGGAGCCACCAAGGGAGTTTCCGGCCTCCTGCAACATCCTCGTCAGCTCCTCGCACAGCCGCGACGCCACGGCTTCGGAGGCTTCACGCGGCTTCGCGCGCCAGTGAGCGCCTCAGGGGCAAAACCCGGCCGAGGGCACGGGTTGTGGCAGCCTACTAACAATGAAGAGACCAAAACAATTCAAAGACCTGATCCAACAACATCGAAGTAATGTCAACCACATAGTTGTTGGCCAATTGTCCATGTTCAATGGATTTTTGAGTGTTTAGACGGCCCTCAAAGGTCCTGATATTTACTGCCTTGGACAGAGAACCAGAACTCCCGGTTGATCTTGGAAAAGTCGGGCAAACCATGGTCTTAGCCAAACGCGTCCGCCCCCTTGTGCAAAAACATACACACACACAAATGCACATGTTGGCTGGTGAAAGGGTAAACTGAAAGACACCCTGAAGGAACAGGGCAAAAAGGTCAGTTAAGTCTGGCAATGTGTTGAGGCCAAGGGCAACGGCACTTTCTGGAGGGGCTGGGGATTCTTCAAAATAGGAATGGGTGCCCTAAATTGGTTGGTGTTCTCTCAAAGGAATCGTTACACTAAACTAGATTCGTTGTTTCCCTTTAAGTACTGATAGAAAAGGGGATGCGCCATTTTGAGAAACACTCGCTGACACCAAGTTCTGGGTTTTCGCTTTCGCCAGTAAATCAGCGAAAAGGCCTTGCTTCTCCAGGACGATGGAACGAGAGTTGCCGAGGCACAGAAGTTGTCCAGCTCGGCAACGGCAAGTGGCAAACTTTGCTTCAGCTGAAGCAGCAAATCCTCCCCCAGCTCAGCAATGCTCGTCTGGCCTGCGCAATGCTGGATGCATCCCATGTGTGAACCCGCGGACATTTTGGGTGTGACATGCAGCTGGCTTCAATCATTTGAGGGTTCATTTGGGTTCTCAAAATCAGGGACCCCTCGCGGTGGCGCGTTTCAATTCGGATTCTCTTTAAAGAAACCCAAACGGGTTCATGTACGGTTCAATAGCTTAGCCTCGGACCGTGGAACATCCATTGACTAATCCAACCCGGTTTGGGGTTTATCATGTTGGTTGGGGAGCCCGCCAAATCCACATGTTGTTGTTTTGCTGAACAGCTGGGATAAAGAGCGGTTGGCTCCAGCTTGCATGTTGCCTCACGACCCCTGCTCCTTCGAATTCACACATGGGTCCATGAGAAACTTGCATGTGGCTTTGTCTTAAGGTTGGACCTACCAAATTGGTGCAATGGTGTTCCTTTTTGTGGGCTGGTCCCAGATATCCTGCCAAAAGTCTAACTTTTGGTGCTTTAATAGAAACTACCACTAAACCAACTTAAAAGCTAAAAACCTAAGGAAGCAAATGGCTGGGAACCACCAAGACAAGGAAAAGCAACTCAACCTCTTTTTTTGTTGCTTGGGGGGGGAGGAAAAATGATACAGGGTTCCTTGAACCCAAGTTTTAGTTTTCATGAGAATCACTTCTTTGAGTGGATTGGCCAAAGACAAGTTCAACTTTATTTGCCACTCAGATAGACTGTTCAAAAAGCAGCAAGTCCAGAAACTCTTTCTGGATATCGTTTAGCTGTCCTTTCAAACCAACCCAAAGGTACCCTGAGCCACAATCGCGCAACATGCCTTGCCTGCTCCTTCGGAGATGGCGTCCTGGGCATCGCAATTTCCGTGGCTTCCCTTTGAGTTGTTTTCCCGGAGTAGACCTTCCCAAAACAAGGGACCCTCCAAAAAAAAGTCTTCTTTTCAAGGGACCCCCCCAAAAATGGCTTCGGAATTCCTTTAACAACCAGCCAAAAAGGGGCACAATTGAGAAAACATATCCTTTTAATTGCACACATTGCTCCTTACTTCCTGAGTGCATTCGTCAACAAAGTGTGAACTCTGGCTTGCCACCAGAATGGTCTTCCTGCAAAGTATGAAGTCCAGGATCTCAGGGCATCAGATTCTCTTCTGATTCTGAATCAGCTTGGTTTTAAGCACAAGATCATTCTGATTATGTCGACATCCTGTAAGCCATCGGCTTCTCAATGTGGGTGCTGAGTAACTCTGATCATAACTCACCTCCCCCCCCCTCCCTCCCCCGGTTGATTCAAGGAGATGTCCCATTCGAGAGGGGAGCGAGCGAGGGAAGGCGGGAAGGGAGGGAAAGGATGGAGGAATGGAAGGCTGGATGGTAAGGGAGGGCAAGGAGCAAAGAGGGGCACATACCCTTCCTTCCACTAACATGGCACTTGTGGGGAGGTTCCTGGAAGATGAATTGCCTCTTGAAGAGACCATTTCCCCATCAGGTGCCATGGCAACGTGGGAGGGAGGGTAGCTCTTTTTCACTGAACAAACACGCATTAATGCTTGCCAGCCGTAGGTTCAATGTGCGTCAACCATCCTTTGGATCACCTGCGAGGTCAAAAGTGAAACTTGGTTGCAGAATTTGAAGGTCTAGGGAACTGTGTCTTCTTCTTCTTCTTCTTCTTCTTCTTCTTCCTTTTTTGTACTAGGGCTGATCTTTTACTAGGGCTGGTGTTCCGCAGGGCTGGCAACATCCCCATCGCTTGGATCCTTGGTCGATTCAACTAGAAGCAAGGGAAGCATGAGCCCAAGCCTGCAGTGGCAACGGCACCCCATCTTTGGCGCAGTTGGCAGCTTTGCAAACCAACTTGTTCGGAGTGGTCTGGATGGGCTTCTTCGGGGTACAAAGCTTCAAATCCCCCAACCGCCGCCACTGAAGGTCGGGCTTTGGGTTTACACAGATCAATCAATCCTGGCGAGTGCATTTGCTGCATGCTTCAAATCCATTCGCACTCGAAGGCGGCGCAACTCCCATGCCCAGTGATACCTTTGTTTTGTCAACGGGAGTGTTTCTGCTTGACATCTGCACACAGGAAGTCATATCATATCTTCAGATTCGGCTTGTGGTCCTTGCAAGGCTCTACCCTGAAAACCTTGGTGGCTGTTGACCCTCCTGCAAAAGTTTAACTTTTTGGGGTTTAGTGGAAAACCCCTTGAGCTCCCAGAAAGTTAAAGTCTCAAGATCCAACCCAGTAGCAGTCAAGAAACTAAACACCTTGTTTGGTGGAGACCCCAGAACTGCCGCTCCCCTCACGGCCAAAACTGCCGACGGCCGATCGCCTCGTGGCCGGCGGCAGATTTGGCGGCGAAGAGACGCACCAGCTCCAGCTGCAGCTGTTGCCCTTGGAAGGCATCGAACGCCTGCCGCCGAGGGGGAAACCAGGGAACCCAAACAGAAGGGGTTGATCAATATGGCTGTGGGTCAAAACCCTTTTGGGATCCCATTTTGGGGTAGGTGAATTCACCACCCAATTTAGAACCTATTGTAGTGGGGATTGGGATGTTGACTGGGGGTACAAAATTTTGACCCATGGCCATATTCCTGGCCCCCAAATGACCATGGGCAACTTTTTCCATTTTGTCTGAAATATCATCTTTTTAGTGGGTTTCCCCACTAAGCCCTTTTGATCAACCCCCACATGAGGTGCAAGTGTTTTCAGGACATCGCAAACGAGCAAAGCCTCACACAAAGTGCTGCTTTCCTTTTGGCACCAACACGGCTGCTTTCCTGTTGGTGTTCCTTCAAACTAAGGTGGAATTATTTCGTGCAGGGCCTGTCTTGACTGCCAAGTCACACGGCTTCGGTACAACTAATTGCCAACGTACAGGGCGGGCATCCTCAAGACCAAACAACAAGTAGCCTTTAGGTGTTTCAGGAAAAAACACCCCCAAACAGAGGTATGCCTCTGCAAAAAAAAACGGCTGGTTGCACAGGATGGCTTGGCTTGGCCCCCACAAGTTCAGGCAGGCGCGCGCGCGAAGCCACCCGCGCAAAATTCCGCGCGCCTCGGCCGCGCGGTCCAGCACCACACGGCGCTGCCGCGGCGCTAGCTCAAAGAGCACGCGGCTGGAGGAGAGCCGCGCCGCCAGCGCCGCGCCCGAGCGCCTCGGAGGCAAGCCACAGAGGCGACTGATGCGAAGCCGCAAGTGGGTGGTAACTTGGGTTACTACCTGAAGAACCAATCTCTGAACGTGTCCCCCTTTCCTTTCAGAGAGTCGGGATCACTTTTGTGGGCACCCCCCCAGTCAAATAGGGTGCTTTATTCATCTGGGGTTTGGTAACTCGGGTTGCTACCTATAGAAGAACCAATGTCTGAACGTGTCCCCTTTTCCTTTCAGCGATTTTAATGAGAGTCGGGATCACTTTTGTGGGCAGCCACCCCAGTCAAATAGTCTTCTGGGGTTCTCATTACCCCCAAAACCAAGCTACCAGGCCCCAGTGGATAGAAACTATATGACATATAAACCGCCTTTTCAACCACTCACTCCCGAACGAGTGGATCGATAAACAAAGATCAACTTTAAATATATTTACCACCAAGATGATTCAACCCCAAGCAGTGACTAAAGTCCGAAACCGAACTTCGGGAGTGAGACAAAAAGGGCTCCCCGATTTTCCCCCCCAAAGAAAAAACACCTTCCCCTTCGGCTTGATTTTATTTTTTGGCCTCGTCAGTTTTGTGAGGAACCAAAGGAAGCCCCAAGCCGGGGGTCCAATATCTTCGAGTCCAAGTTTGGGGCCCCTAGTGTTGCAGAACCATGGTTTAAACGGGGGAAGGCTGTCTAAACCAAAATTGCCCAATCCTACCAAATCCCAACGCGCAAGTAGATACAACTCCCGCATGAAAGAAGCAAAGAACATATGTGTTCCTAGCAACTGCGATGTTTGCCCTTCTGAATCAGAACCCGAGTCACCCGGGTGAAACGGTTTTGCAAGACCTCCCTCTCAACATGTCATAGCATGCAGATAATTGTGGTCGGATTCATTTGCGTAGTGGCTTGAGGTGGCCTTGCACAGATATTCAGGCGATAATTCGTGGACTCACCGTGTCCCTTCGAAACCAGCTGTTGGAGACACGGAGGCATCATCTAACGCAAATGGGTATGTGTTCAAAAAGAAGTGTCCCAGATATGTCTTTGTTTTGGGTGTTTGTTGCTTCAAAGGCAACCAACAGGAACATCACCATATTAGGGGCCAACAGGAACATCACCATATTAGGGGGTTGCCTAACTTTGAGACAAACCCCGGCATAGTAAATGCATCCCTCTCAGTCTGGGGTTGACAGTGGGTTGACACCACACCCTAGACGGTACTTGGAGCGAGAAGACCCGATGCGGGCACCTTTCTTGGTACCGCCGGAGGTTGGAACAAAAACCATTCCAAGGATGTTTTGCAAACATGATTGAGCATTGTTGAAACAACCTCCTTTTGACTTCCGTTTGGCCAAGACAACTCTGAGATACACCAAACATCATATTTTCCAGATGCTTCACATTTAGTCTACTCCACAATAATAATAACAATAGTAAACCAAAAAATAGTTCTTTAGAGAAGCCCCCCTTTGAAGGAGACCACGACTTGGTCCGAAGACATTTTTCACCCACCCCAACGCACCCCCCCCCCCCGGGTTGGGCATCCGGGGTGCGGCGGCTGCGCCATGATCTCCGCAACCTCTGTGCGCGGAATCCAAATAGGGCCACTTATAGTTTTGGTTTGGGTCTTGTCATCATACTGATGGACGAAATCCGCTCGCACCACTTCAAACCATGAGACACCATTGTTGGCTGGTATTTACAGGATAATTATCATTCTAGGGAGCCTTAGGCGGTGCAGGATTTCGTCCATCCACAGTAGGTGTCCTCTTGGGAAAATAGATGGGCCTGGTAGACGATGAAACAATCAAGCCAACCAGTGCCATGTATTTTGAACCAAAAGAGCCTAAAAAGGACACCTATGAGTGTTGCCCCTTTTCGCGTGCGCTTGGGTTGATTCCCGCCGCCTGATGGAATCCCTAGGGAACTCGAAGATCCGACATGGGCTCTCAACTACCCCCCTTCTACCTACCTTTCCTGACCCCGGCCCCTGTGGCTCGTCAAAAGCAAAATCATAAATCACAGAGCCCAAAACCCAAAATGTAAGGTTGGGGCCCTACCAGAACCATGAAACCATGGTGAGCCATAAACTCCTCGGTTCATTTTGGCCGATTGGGTCATTCCCTTAACAGGAATCATAATGGTTCACGATCCTTACCAGGTGGATGATCTAGCAAAACCTTTTGATGCTGACACGTGCACAGTCGACCAAAGAAACAGCATCGGTTTTGAGCTCTGCTCACTTCAAGTTGGCAACCTACCAACATAAGGACCCCTACAACAAATGACTAATGTCAAGGGCACACTCCGGTATGAGTGTTGGAGATATCTTGGTTGACGTTGGAAGGGGAGCAAAAATTGAAATTGTAGCAGTCAAGTCGATTCGGATTTCCCACTAAACAACAATATGCAAAATGTAAAATGTTTCCCGACAACAACCATGATATGGAGGCACTTATGCAAGGGCTTTTGTTCTTTGTTGCCACAGCGCCAAAACTCTCCAAACCCTTACCTGATGCCCTGCCACTTTCAGATGGGATCGAGGGTGTCACCTCGAAAGGGGCTACCTAAAACCTAGAAAAAGGCCATGTCTCCTTGAAACCAGGGAAGACGCAAACCAATCCTCGGTTGCTTTCTTCTCCCCTGCTAAAAGTCTAACTTCTAGTGGTCTAATGGAAAACCAGCAGTTGGCAAAAAGTTAAAGTCCTAACAACCAAGCAACATGCACCAAAGAGTTTTCCTTGACCCTTCCTATCATAAACTCCCTGAGACCAGGTAGACACCAAACCACCTGCTACAATTGGCCAACACTGGAGTCTCCTTTAAACATACTGTTTTGTTACACCTAAACTTGGTTGCCATTCCGCCCTGAGCAAAAGGTCTAACCTTTCGTAGGTTTAGTGGAAAGCCAGCTATGTCCTGAACGTCTCAGGGGACTTTCGGTCACATCAAAGACCAGCCATGATCGATGATGAGTGCTTGGATGAGTGCTTGCAGGCGCCCGAACAGACAGGCGTCATTGGATGTCAATTCACATGTTGAAAATTACTGTTGGCTTCCCTTGAACAAAATGCCACTGCTGGAGGTTCCAAAAACGGGTCCGAGTGTCTATTTTGAGGGTGCCGCTTTTTTTTGAAGGGTCTTAAAGCAAAACCAAAAGGACCACCCAATGTGTTGTGTTTTTTCTTCTTCTTCTTCTTCTCCTCCTTCTCCTTTCTTTTTTTGGGGAGGGGGGGCGTTTCCCCAAAGAAAGCAGAGACCCGCCCGGGCCTCCGCGGCGAACTCCGTCTCCGCGTCGGCGGCATCCCGCAGGGAGCCCACGCTGGAGCTTCGCCGGCGCAGCGCGGCGGTCGAGACGGAGTCCCCCGGGTCCTCGCCCCGAGAGTCTCAGTTCGGTGGCCCTGGGGAAAGGGAACCCTTTTTGGTGAACACTCATCAGCCGCCTGGACCTCTGAGCTCGCGACGTGAGAACGCGCATAACATGCATCGGAAGCCGACAAAACAACAGCAGATCAGTCAAACGAAACAGGGAACCCTTTTTGGGGCTTGGACCATGTTTTGTGGGGCACAAAGGAAACACATGACTCACATGACCCAGAACCAGACCATAGTGAGTCCGGCTCCCCTAGTGAGTCACAATCAAAACCCTGGTATTGAAATGGTCTACCCAGAACCATGCTTCAAGAATTAAGAAGGCGGATTTCCGCAACTATTTCTGGCTGGGACTGGCCCTTCCTAACCTTCATCTACCCGAATCGGTTTTGAGCACGTGGCTCAAGTCCGTCATGGCGACTGCGGGGGGAGGGGAGCCTTTAATAAGGCCAAGCCCTTTATAAGGCCTTCTTAAGACGAGTCCGGGATCTGACTTCAAAATGCGACCGACTTTCTGGCAGTAAGGGAAAATTATGGAGAACCATTGAAAGGCCAAAATCGACCGAGTAAGTCTGGCAGTACAGTGTAGTCCCTCTCAGATTTTGCCAAGCATATTCACCAATTTTGCAAAAAAGCCAGTCACATATGGGCGTAATTTTTGAGGAATTGGCTGAAGCGGACACGCACAGGAAACCAGCATGGAGGTTCTGCGAGTTTGACACACACCTGAAATTGCGCAATGAGGGAACGAGGGGCCCTATTTTTTGTCGTACTTTTCCGGTAGACTGCGACTCAAATGAACATGGCTTGCCCCTAGTGTCCGGTGGTCTCTCTAATGAATTTCCCAATGGCGGCTTCTAGCTTGAATTTACACTAGCTGTTGTTATTCTTAGTTTGCGTTAGTTTACTCATGTTGGCATTTGATATCCACGGACCGAAGACGCATTTCAGATCTGAGATGGTACGCCCTTGTTTACCCTGAACATTCGATCCTCTGCATTGAAAGATTCGCCAAAATACCCCGTCAACAGTGGATTGTGAGTTCTACAGCGAATCTGACCTTTCCAAACCAAACTGACCTGGGGCGACAGGGCCAACCTCATTCAAGTCCTGGAGGGGGAGGGTCATATTGCAGCCAAACAGTAGGACTATAGTAGAATAACAAGCCCTCCTTTGTGAGGTATCCATGTTCATTCCAGTTCCATTGCTTTGTCGACAATGATCAAACCAAAGGTGCGGCTTTGATGATAGTGGTTGAAGTGTGTTTCATTACAAGGCGCAGCTTTCATCACCTACCTAAAGGACAACAACATGCATACAGGTTTAACTTGCTGGGGCCTTACTTCACATAAGCCAAAACAGCTAAACCAAAGGGGTTAGATCCTGGTCCGCAGTGAGTCAGAAACTTGTGACATCGTCCGAAGGCTTCTGCGTTGTGAAACCAGTCAAACAAACGGACGGAACAACCAACGGTTTATATAAGTCATTGGGGGGGGGGGGGCGGGCCCCAAAGTAGCAGGCCCATTTTGGGGAAAACTGCGGTAGCCATTGTCAAAATGGCTTGTTTCCCCATTGCAAGTTCTGCCATGTCGGTTGGGACTATCCCGTACTAAACTGGTCCTCTACCCTGGCAGGGATATCCGTTCATCTCCCGAATATGTTTTTGACGTGGATCAAATGCAAACCAAGAGGACAAGCTCAATCGAGCCACCATCAATACGTGGTCAATGAGCCTACTACCCAAAAGAAGCAACATGAGCTATGTTTTCCGAGTATCTCTCCTATTTGCTCTGATGGCAATACTTGATACATATAAAGGGCAAACAATAAGACCAGGTGATATCCCCAACAACCCCGGAACCCTCCGGAACCCTCCGTGAAAGCTGCTCAGAGCCATCTGGGCAAAGACCCCATAGCTTTCAGCTGTTGGGGAATTAACAAATAACTCAAATTGTGTTTCCCCCCAAAGCGCAAGGTTCAGAAATGCGCAAACTGGCTCTCCTGAAACTCCTCCCGCTCAGCGCATGTCTTCAGCCAATGCCTGGGCCGAGGTTTAACCTAGCGACCCATTCGAAGGGCACATGCGCGCCATGGACCCGCTCCTAAGGCCAAGGTGATGGGTCCAAACTAAACCGGACCACGGGTTTAGGTTTTAGTCCTGGTTTCCGTGTACCGGGGCAACCATGTTGGAGTTGATCGAGTTTTGACCCACAACCAATAGGAACTCCCCTGGCCCTAGCTCATCGAACCACTAGATCGGCCTCAGACAAAGTATTGGCTTGTTGCTTACCACTAAAATGGTACTAAAATGATGCTCCAAAACAAACAAACCGAAAGTGAGTCTAAAGGTCCGCCACGAAACTTCCGCATCTCTGATCAACGCAAAAAAGCCACCCTACGTTTGAAGCTCAAAGCCCCGCATGCACCAAATATGCGGGGATTCCCGAGTTCCAGGTGCTTTCAAGAGAAATGGGGTTCAAATACCCCAAACCGCCACTCCAAACCACCTCAGCAGGGGTTGCCTGAAACGGGCACCGAGCCTCAAAACAGGCCCAACTGAGTTTGAGTTCTATGGCTTGTTGGTGTCCTAAGCATCCAAGGACCAGGACCCTCCAACTCCAACTTTTGGAAAGCCCAGGGGTCCAGCTCTGAAAATCGCTTTTGCAGGGTTCCTCTACAGAAAATCCCTGGATTTCCCCTTCAGAAGTTGATCAATTTACTGGTGGTGTCCATTGAAGGGATGCCCACTGGAGGTTCCAAGAAAGGGAAATCGAGGAACCCCTGCTTTAAGCCCGGAACATGTTACTCCCATGTGGATTTTGGAGGTGTGGAGGGGTTTTGTACCACTTTTACATACTGCATTACAAACTTGAATTCATGATATACAAGCATCCATGCCTCCAAAATCCACACCGACCTACACCTGAAAATGCCAACTTGGCCATAGGTGTCCTTTTGGGAGAATAGATGGCCCTGGTAGATGATTGAACCACCAGGTAAACCAGGGCCACCTACTTTTCAACGAAACCAACCAAAAAGGACACCTATCAACTTGGCCAACAGGGCCACTGGACCGATTGGCGCCAAGATGCTCCTCGATGCTGCGCCGCACAGTGCTAAAGCTCGGCTCACAGTCAGCGCCTCCGGGACTCCGGGACGCGAAAACGTGTTCTCTGGTGACCCCTCGTCCTTGTTGTGGGGTTGTCAGGGTCAAAAACTGGGGTGGTGTCCCTTTAATCCACCACTTTGGGGCTGACTTTGATGGCAACGTGACGTGGCCAGTTTGAGGTGAACTGGGGATTTCATACCTTTTGGGGTGGCTGAATGGAACACCAAAAGGAAACCAACTGCTTGGGTCCAATTCCAATATTGGAAATACTCGTGTTGCTGCGTTCTGCTCTCCCTTGGTGTTTGGTATGCCCAACATGGCGGCAACAAAGCCGTGCAAGAGTGTCTGGAATTGACATGAACAAACAAATTAACATTAACAACATTATCATTAACTCTGCAAAAGAGTCCAAAATTAACATGAACAAACGAATCCGGGTCTCTGAGCACGTGCACGCGGCACCACCGGCACAACCCCCTTGCCCTGGCCTCACGAAAAACCAGAGCGCAAGAAGGCAGAGCGCAAGAAGGCAGGCAAGCAAACAAACACAACCCAACACACCAGAACACACGCAAACAATACAAAGCAACACAAAGCAATACAAAGCAACACAAAGCAACACAAAGCAACACAAATGACAAAGCAACACAACACAACACAACACAACAAAACACGACGCAACACAACACGACGCAACACAACACAAGAAAGCAAGCAAGCAAGCAAGCAAACAAACAATAAAACAAACAAGCCAAGAAACAACCAGTAACCGAAAAAAAATACACCCCAACAAGTCAAGACAGGAGAAAACAACGCGAACGACAACGACAACGACGACGACGACCACAACAACAACAACAACAACAACAACAACAACAACAACAACAACACCAACAACAACAACAACAACAACAACAACAACAACAACAACAACAACAACAACAACAACAACAACAACAACAACAACAACAACAACAACAACAACAACAACAACAACAACAACAACAACAACAACAACAACAACAACAACAACAACAACAACAACAACAACAACAACAACAACAACAACAACAACAACAACAACAACAACAACAACAACAACAACAACAACAACAACAACAACAACAACAACAACAACAACAACAACAACAACAACAACAACAACAACAACAACAACAACAACAACAACAACAACAACAACAACAACAACAACAACAACAACAACCAACACCAACACCAACAAACAACAACAACAACAACAACAACAACAACAACAACAACAACAACAACAACAACAACAACAACAACAACAACAACAACAAGAACAACAACAACAGCAGCAGCAGCAGCAACAACAACAACAACAACAACAACAACCACAACAACAACAACGGTGGCGGCGGCGGCGACGACGACGACAACAACAGCAGCAGCAGCAGCAGCAACAACGACAACAACAACAACAACAACAACAACAACAACAACAACAACAACAACAACAACAACAACAACAAACATAGACACACACACACGCAAGCGATTAATCAATTGATCGATCGATCGATCAATCGATCAATCCATCGATCAATCAATCCATCGATCAATCAATCAATCAATCAATCAATCAATCAAGCCCGAAAGCAAGCAAGCAAGCAAGCAAGCAAGCAAGCAAGCAAGCAAGCAAGCAAGCAAGCAAGCAAGCAAGCAAGCAAGCAAGCAAGCAAGCAAACACAACACAACACAACACAACACAACACAACACAACACAACACAACACAACACAACACAACACAACACAACACAACACCAAACAACACACGGACCAAAACAAAACAAAAGAAAGCAACACGACAAGCACACGCACACAAATAACAACACACACAACAACACAAAGCACACAACACAGGATGAACCAAACAAGACAACACAAACACAAACACAACAAAAACAATCAACACACAACCGGAGAAAGAAACAAACAAACACAAACAAGCAAAACAAACCAAAACCAAACAACCACACAAAACAAATCGAAGGGACACACAGCAACAAACAAAACAAACCCAACAAAACAATATCGAACATACATCACAAAGTAAACCACGCCAACAAGCACACCAGCACAACAAAGCAATAAACACACATAATAAAACTTATTAGACAAACAAGAAACACAACAGCAACACACGCACACACACAACAGGACAGAACACAACAAAACAAAACAACACCGACAAGCAAACAAACAAACTAACACCAAACAAACAAAGAAAACCAAATAAATACATGCAGCACAACACAACACAACACACCACAAACAAGCAAGTAATCAAGCTAACGCCAAACAAAAGCAACCAAAGCCAGAGAAACCACACAACCGGCGCACCGCAAACCAAGACAACACAAACAAACAAACAAGCACCAAACTAACAAACGCCAAATAAACAAACAAACATACAAACAACCAGACAGACAGATAGACAGACAAACAGACAACCAAGCAGACAAACAAACAAACACATGTGCAGTTGATTCCATTGAGCTTAGTACTGCTCTTGCTGATTACGTCACGTGCGTGATGCTTTCTAAGAACATAGCCACGACCCTTAGGCTCTTTTGAGCTTCCTTCGTTCGAACTGGCACCACTTCGCGTCGGCCCCGTCTCTCTGACATACTCTGGGACTCAGATTTTGCATTTGAGCTTGACTGTGGTTGGCAATCCACGCCAGGTATGAAAGTAGGTTTCAAGTTGAAACTGAATCCAAGCCAACGCTGACCTGAGTTTGCATTCAGATTGTCTTCTAACACCAACATGTTGTGTGATTCGATTGGCTTTTGACAAATGGTATGACAGGTGGCTCAGCTTGGGCCAGCGTCACATGGATGCTTGGGGTGCTGAGGACTGACTTCAGCTCTGCTCACATGCTGGCTTGCCAAGCCCAACAAGTGGCATCATCTTTTGAACAACCCTCGTTTGGGTTATGGGTCTGTCTCACAGGGGCCGGGTTTCCCCCCTAGCCCAAAAATGGTACCCGGCCTCAAAGAAGAGCGCACCCATTACCTATTAAATATTACTAAACCTATTAGCATGCGGATGTTCTCTTCAACACACTGAATCTGCCTGTCCAGCAAGTTGCTTAGCGCTTGAGACAAGTTGGAGCATGGGCCATTGCAGCGTTCAACATGCCAAAAGGTGATGCAACTGAGCCAGAAAAGAAGGGTGTGAATAAAGTCGGGCGTGTGTTCTGGTTTGGCTGTAGCAAGAAGCAAGAAAACCAGGTTTCATGGACCCCAAGGGGTTATGGGGAGGGGGGCTATCCCTTATTAAGCCCTTAATATATTCAGGGCTTATCCTTGGCTCCAGGGATAGCCCCCCCGCAAATTGCCCTTGAAGATTCCAAAACCAGGTTTCCCAACGGCCATAGGCTGTGTTCCAGAAGCGCTTGCCAAAAACCGATGCGTCCACTCCCCGAAGGTCCAAGGCCTAGTGCCAGGTCTTCAGCAATGTCCGCCATGTTCAGCAGCTTGGGATTCTGCGAGTCCTCGCCAGTCTGCTCTCCAAAAAAGGCAAGTCCACCAGAAAGCCATCCCAAGGAAGAGCAAATTGCTTGGCCATACGTCAAGTTGTCATAAAGAGACATAATGAGTTTCATGGCTTTGACAAGAGCACGGGTTGTTCCCTTTGTTTATCGAACGGATTCATTCAAAATGCCAGTCTCAGGTCGAGGTTCCAGAAATCGGCCTGTGACTTGTCTCTGACTCGTTTCCTGGCGCATGCTAAAAAAAAATCCGGCTAAAAGTCGCACTTGCGGGTTCGGGTGTCCGGGAAGATAAAAAACAAAAACACGGAGCTCTGCGAAGAGACCATGGCTGCAACGGACAACCGGTCCTTGGTAGCTCCCTTTCGAACTCGTCGCCAGTCTTGCAGTGCTTCCCGCACCGAGCTCTTGTAAGACCTAAGCTCAGTGGGCAGATTCGATTCAGTCCGTTAGAACTGCAAGCATCTGCCAGAAATTGCACGGGGCAAAAGAAGTTTCCAAATGGGCCCTGCCATGTTCAGGGTTGTTCCAAAGTCCCAGGCACATGGTCGAACATGTTGCGGGAAAGAAAGGGAGCCGTTGCCAGTTCAGCCAGTTTGTTGTCCATGTTCGGAAAATAGATAGCCCTGGCAAATGATATAAACCAATCTAAACCAGTGCCATCTATGCTTAACCAATGAACCTAAAAAGCCACCTATGAAAATAGCATACTACCAGCCATGTTCCTTTTACTTTTTTGAAGGGTGGTTTCGCTGGCTACCCACCATGCTATTGGCGGAGTGCGAGGGGGGTAACCCCCGCCCCAAACGTCTGGAAGGACGACCCGGTGACTCCGGGACTCCGGCGACGGAGCTTCCGGATCCGGCACAATGCCGTCGAAGTCACCTGCCGAGACGCGAGACCTATGGCCGCACAGAAATACGGTGGATGAAGCGAAAATCCGTTCGCACCACCTCAGAGACCCGGATGATTCCCCTGTAAATACCAACAAACTATGGTTTCGCATGGTTTCCCGACTTTCAAAACATGGGAAGCCATTGTTTGTTTGCATCTCTCGGGGAATCATCATTCCAAGGTTTCTTAGGTGGTGCAGGATTTTGTCCGCCCACAGCAGGGGTCCAAAATGGAACGCTGGTAAAATGGGAAGATAGACGAAAGCCCAAGGTAACCCCAGCTGGTTAAATTTGAGCCACACCCAGATCCAAAGCATCAAACAACTAAACCCACAACTCAGTGGTTGAGCCAAAAAAGGTACCCACACCTTATACTTACCACTGAGATGGTCCAAACCCCAAAAGTGAGTAAAGTCCAGAAACGGAAGTGAGAAAAACCTTACTATAGGCTTGAAGACAGAAAACAACTGTGGGTCCGGCTTAGAAGAAGGGTCCTTTACCCCCAAAACACAAAAAAAAGGCAAAGGGGTACCTCAACTAAGGGTAACCATGCCTAAACCCAAAGGGGTACCCTCCCACCAATTAACATGACACCTGACGTTCGGGGGGGGGGGGGTCCTGGAAGATGGAAGATCAACCCTTTTAAAGGGACCCCAACGTCAGGTTTTATGTTGATTGGTGGGAGGGTCAAGAATCAAAAGAGCGGCTGCAATTATTCCCAGACGCCACACATGTATAGGTACTCTATATCAACAAAACAAACCCATTTGGAGGGTACATGTGGGTGAATGTTGCATACATGGATGATGGGGGATGTGGTTGGGACTGGCTTTGAGGACGTGGCTATGAATCAAAACAACTAAACGTCTAAGGAACCGGACGGCTGGGAAGCGCTAAGTTAGAGGTACTGCCTCAGAATTTCACATACTGCGAAACATATCGCATCTGTTCTTTAAAGGAGAACCCCAAGAAAGGATATCTTGATCATGAAAATCACACTCCTCAGGCCCATGTTTTTTCGGGAAAGGCCTGCAAAAGGAGTAATCAGAATCCGGCCCGCGGAGGTCAAAACAAAATGGGCATGTGTCAAAATGGAGGACCTCGAAGGTTAGTTTCTAATTCCCTCCAAACGAGGGGTGAAAAGATCCCTGGCGGAAATGGAACATAGCATGTCGTGGCGCTAGCAGGGTTCCTTTCTATCTTGGACCCAAAAAGTTCAAGTTGTTGCTGTGTTTTTGCGGGCAAGAGTCATGCTCCAAAGAGTTGATCAATGATCAAGGTCGAACCAAAGAGCAATGGCCCCAACCCCGCGGTACGCCAAATCTACGCTCACGGATACTTCAGTGCTTTCTGGCCTTCGGTGTTCTTGTGGGGACTCTGGAATCGAGCGGCGAGTCTACAGTTGAGTCATAATCAAAGCCTGGCATTAACATGGTCTACCCAGAACCAAGTACATAGTTCAAAGGGCGGCCGCACCGAATTCTGGTTCACGGATTCCCTACCCTCCAGTTACCCGGGTTTGATTTGGACTCAGTTCACCGGCCACCGACGTGTCGGGGGCGCCTCGCCAGGTGGTCCAAACCCGCTTCAGAGTCGCTAAGAGGTCCTGACACGAAAAAGGCTCAAGTACCCGAAGCGGAAAAACGTTGTCATTTGGCTCTTCCTTGTGCTTTATTTATTTACTTGTTTATCTATTTTATTGTGTTTACATCATTTTTACGTTATTTACTATTATTACTTTTTGTTTGGGGGGGCGTCAAAATTAGTGGTCCGGGGGCAAGGTCAAAACTTGCTGAGACCTCTTGTTTCGACATGGCTTCTTTGACATTTGATGTGCCCTTGAGCCCACCAATGGGAAAGACGCTTAAAATTGGCCACAAGTGATGTTTGAGCTGGCCTGAAGTCAAAGGAGATCTAATTAAAAACAACAAAAAAATATGTGTGCGTATTGGTAAGTGGGAACGGGCAATCCAAACTGATGATGATTGCCATTCAAACTAATTGACCCCATGTTGCCGAAACACCACAAACCAACACTCTTTGTTTCTGGTACAGGTTTTTCTCTGAGCGGCTCTTTAAGCAAAGACTCCACAAGATCTAAGTGGCGATTTGGATCCAACCAACATCTGCCACATTTTGAGCCTGTGGATGGCGCCGACAACCCTACAAGAAATAAGACAGCTAAGCCACTTTTAGACCTTATTTCTGGCTTGTCCTTAAGGGGTATGTTCCATGGTCTGGTACAATTGTTGATTGAGCAATGGTGCTGAACGGCACAAAGGAGATCGAAATCAATATACCGATCTCTCATACCGTCCTACCCCACTCTCCTGCTTTCTTGTCTCCTGAAGGGAAGAACGCCCAGAAACAAGACAGAACAAATCCATCCGCTTCGAGGAGGGGGTTACCTTACAGCCAGTTCGGGATTCCCAAAGACCCCCAGCTTTCCGGGGCCCTTTGCCTTTTTTTCGTTTGCCCACGAAAATCGATCGCAACCAACCAGAAACATTCAGCCAAAAAATGAATCAAGTTGAAGCGGATGGCTGGGAACCACCAAGCCACCAAAAGACGAAAAGAGGAGGCTTCTTGGCGAATTTGTCCGGTCCTCACCCTCCTGCCGCAGCTGCAAATCTCCCTGCGACCACCCGCGAAGCGGCACCTCGAGCCACAAACCGCACTTTCACGAGGCTTTCCTTTTTTGTTTGCTGTTGACCCCCCTGCAAAAAGTGTTTAACTTTCTGGGGGTTTAGTGGAAAACCCAACTTGATTTCCCAAAAAGTTAAAGTCTAAAGATCCGTTACCCAGTAGCAGTCAAGTATTGATCCCCCCTACCTTAGGGAGGGGGCAGGGGGTCCCAGATTCCATTTATCTAGCCGTGAGCCCCATTTTCAAGGAATTGGATGTCCTTTGTTGTTCAGATGAATCCGGTCATTTCCAAAACACCTAGATCCTTACGGACCATCAAGAGATCCCTGACAGGTGTTGGATAGAGCAAGAGCCGGAAAGCGAATGATTTTCTCGGGGACTTGCAAATTCCAAGCTTTTCAGCACCGATTCCTACAGCTTCACGTTCTTAAACACGGATGAACTGTTTGGACCAGCTGTATGTGTATATGAGCTGTACAAGCTTCTTTTCTTGAGTGTCAACAAATACTTTGCCATAGATCTTCTTCATGGTCCGCCGGTCCCTCTCACAACCAAATGAGGTAGCGATGAAAATGGCGAAACCGCCACTGCTTCCTTGGGCCCAGACGCTCATGAAAGCTCGTTCAAGAGCAGAAGCCTCAAAATGGTCCGTCCTCCGCCATTGATCATTGGGTTCCTCTTTGTATCCCTTTCAATACCAAAAAGGGGTCCATCCAATTTTCAACTTGTCCACAAATCCCGACTAAGACCCTGCAAGGGTAGACTGCTCCTTGGAAAGGAAAGCAGCATCATATACAAATGCCCTTGTGTTTTGGAATGCCAAAAACATGAAGAAATGCGCAGCACAACTCTTGGTTGCTGTTGACCCCCCTGCAAAAAGTTCTTCACTTTTTGGGGGTTCAGTGGAAAACCCAGCTTAGTTTCAACCAAAAAGTTTCAGAGTCTAAAGATCCGTTGAAAAAAGTAGCAGTCAAGAACTCAGGGGCCAAAATCCCCTCATGCGCCAAATCCGCGTCGGCCCTTTGGCACCTCAATCTTCTCCGAATCCTCAGGTTGCACCTTGCCACCAGCCTCCGATTCCGAATCGGAGTCTCGATGCTGCTTCGATTGGGATTTTTCGCGATCCGACATGGATGGCCTTGAAGCTCGACTTGGGCTTGTCTTGTCTTCTTTGGTCTAGTTCAATAGACACGAGTTGTAACGATTGCCAAGTGGTTTCCCTTGAGGGAAGCCCAGGTTCGTTCCCAAACTCCCGAGAAAAAAACAAAACAAAAAAAACCTGCTCTGAAAATCCAGCTACAGGATATTCTACAAGAACTGAGTCGATCCATCGTGATCCTTGGAACCGATTTTCCGAATCTTCAAACCAAAAGCTGATATTCCAGGCTCCGAGCAACCCTGTTGGAGCTGAACATGCCAAGAGTCAAAACCTGGCAATCAAATTGCCTAACATTATTCTTGTAAAGAACCATCGCAGACATATCCGCACCAGGTGGTGAGTGTCCCCTGTTGATTCTGGTCGCTTTGAGTCTGCAAAGCAAAGACGGCTGTTTTGAGCTGTTGCGCACGGGTCTGCTTGAACCCTGCATTTTGCTTATGCTCAACATGTCCCTGGTTTGGCGCCCGTAAAGCTTAAATCTCGACATCTCGAAGCTTGCCAGATTTCACAGTCGCCTTCGCGACCGAATAGATCCGACGAGAAAACCCGGAGTCCTGCTTGGGGATCAGCAGTAGTCGGTTCGGTTATACCAGCGGGGTAGAAGCCACATCTCTTCCTGTTGAATGATGCTCAAAATACAAAGCTCACGCGTTCATTGACTTCCTGATCTGATTCCCCATGCCCAACCGCCCCAAGGGTATCCTGAAAAACATTCACTTGGGTTTCTGTTTAAGACCACTCTGAAAGGAAAAGTCTTAATTCAGGATACATGCGTCACTCCTTCAGGGTGGTTTGTGGATGGATCCATAGCCCCGCCCTCTCCGACCTTTTGCAAGCAAATCGCTTTTGAATTCAACCTACAAAGGTTGGACTGTTTGCTCAGGGGCTTGGAGCTATTCAGTATCCTTCAGGGAGCGCCCTTCCTTGGCAAACTCTTCCCCTTTGCTCGCCTCGCGCGATCGGCAGCGCTTCTTCCCCAGCATGAAAATCACACTGCAGCACATGGCCTCAGTTCGCGGGTCTCTTTCAATGCCGCTCGACCTATCCTTAAGGATCCAAGTAGCTTCAAAGCTACTTTGACTCATTTGGGTATTTGACTGCACTGGCCCATCGCAACCCACGGTAAGGTTTGGGGATTGCAATCAAACAGCCCAGTTTGACAGAATAGAAACATAACTCCAAGCCAATATCAAAAACTCAAAAAAAACACTCCCAAACTCCTAAAACTCCAAAGGGTTCCTTTAGGAATAAAACAACCCGAAACAGCTGGCTCTCAACCCATTGCGACCATCAAAAGCCAGCCTCAGAGGCTCGGTACTTAGACCAAAGACGACCCATGGCAATGCTTCATCCCTGCAAAATGGGAAGCGCGCCTCTCTGCAAAATGGCCATGAACCAGGTTTGATCCTTCCAAGGCTGAAGAACGTTCTAGCCCATGAGGAACCTACTGTATCTAGACACGGAAGGGCATCTTGCGAAAGGCTAGGGGGGATATGGGTGTGGCTCAAAATTAAACAGGAGGGGTTACGCAGGTGTTGGTCCACGGTTCCACTTACTAGGGGTCCATTTTGGTACCGGTGTTTTGAGCCACAGACATGTGGGAGGGAATCATTCTTGGTGAGAAAAAGCTCCCTACTTTGTAAGTTCAACATGGACCTCCCGGTGCGGCTGATCCCGCCATTTTGGGGACGGGTCAAGAAGCAAATACACCTTGCAGACCTGAGCCATCCCGTTCGGCACAACTGCTGTGGACAGACACAACCCCCTTTGCACCTGGAAATACCCTTCGCTTTGACCGGAGCCCGACCAAACCGGCAAACGTTCCACACGCTGCTAATACAGTAATACAACTGGCTTGTTTGGGGGTGGGGGGGGGGGCTTAAATTGGCCGCTATGTTTAAGGGTCTTTTCATCTAGACGCAGGCATCTTTGTTGCATCACATGCTGAAAGTGCCTGTGCCATGATGTACCATGTGCTTTGGAAGAGCCGAAAACCGTCTATCCAGGGGTGATTCCCCATTCTTTTCAATCATCGTTCTTTAAAAAAACCTGCCGTCCCTGGGTTTCTGGAGGTTTTCTGGAAAGAAGGATCCCTGGAAAGAACGGGGAAGGCACCCCGAGAGTCTATGCGAGTTTGTCCCAAAATATGGGACGCCCTAGAATGGTTCTTAACACAACAAAGCCCATGGCCCCAGTGGAGGGACCTTGTTTGCCGAAGTCACCTGTGCGGGATTGTGCGGGTTTCGCTCCCTTTCCACTTGTTGGTGTGCTTGCCCTCTTTCCAGTGGAACAGGACAGGGGCCTTCCCCAAACGAAAGTGGTCTGAGTCAGCTTCCATGTTCTTCTTTGCTCTTGGGGGTGGGGTACCTGACTCTCTCAAGGTTTGGTTGGTAGATGAATTGAACTGGTTGAATCTTGGAATTTTACCACTGCGTATCGTGGAGCGACGGATTATGAAAAGCCCGTCCCATGAATAGGACACGTGTTCCCCTCAGTGTTCAATGCCCAAAAAGGAACCCTCCGATCAAAGTCACCCGGCGGTTCTTATAGATTGAAGGGTCATCTGTTTGGGCCCAGATTAAACCCGCCAAGCAAGCGACTCAGCGCGCTAATGGTTGGAGCCGCCATGCTGATGCGAAGTGTGAAAACGGGTTCTTCTAGGGGCTGATTCCCTATTCTCGTCACCCATCGTTCTCTTCAGACAGACGTGTGGCCCATTTCAAGACTTTTGGCTACCCTCAAAGAATGGACGTGAAAGGTACAGCCGAGTTATAACCAAACTTGGTATTCAAATGGTCTACCCAGCACCATGTAAGGAATTAAGGCGGCGCCCATAAATTGGGGCTATGACCCTTTCCTAACCTTGATGTACTCAGGTTTTGAGGACGTGCCGGATCCCACGAACATTGGGGTCCCCACCAAATATAATAATAGCTCAAGGTAGACTCAGTACTGATGACGAATCCATTTCGCAGTACCGTTCAGAAAGCCAGGCATGATGATTCCCCAACTGTTTATACCAAGAACGTTCTGGCTTCAACTTCATGGTTCATCATTTCGTGCGAGACTCGCGGATTTCGCATCCACAGTAATGTTGGCACTTGATTAATCAAGTGGGCTTGAATAATAGAAAGTTTATTTCCTTATTCTGGTTCGCACCCATTGTTTAAGGGGACCAGAATAATGGCAAGTTTTGTTGGCCGGGGGGAAAATTCAAAAACAATCATCCCCCCTCAAAAGCATTCCCCTTTCAATTGGTGGCCCACTTGCTTAAAAGCATCCCCTTTCAATTGGTGGCCCACTTGCTTAAAAGCATTCCCCTTTCAATTGGTTGCTCAACCACAGAACCCAAAGCCAGCTGAAACCTCTGAAATTTGAAAACCATCCCCAGCACTGAAACTGCAAACTCTTTATTAAACCGTGTTTAAAAAATAAATAAATGCAAAAACAAAAATCAGGACAAGGGTACCCCTCACAGACCCCACTGAACCACAATAATGTCATTGTTTTAGGGGACCACAATAATGGCAAGCCCCCAGCCCCCCCTCCCAGAAAATGAACTATCAGTTGCTTTACTCAAAAGCATTCCCCTTTCAATACTACAGTAGTATTCCAAAAAGTCTGCTCAGGAAGAAGTGGTTGCAATACTAAAGTAGTATTCCAGTTCCAAAAAGTCTGCTCAGGAAGAAGTGGGTGCAATACTAAAGTAGTATTCCAAAGAGTCTGCTCAGGAAGAAGTGGTTGCAATACTAAAGTAGAATTGCAAAAAGGAAGTGGCTGCAATACTAAAGTAGAATTGCAAAAAGGAAGTGGCCGCAATACTAAAGTAGAATTGCAAAAAGGAAGTGGCCGCAATACTAAAGTAGAATTGGGCCCCAAAATCCTCCATTGTTTGGACGTCCCAAAAGTGTGCCCCCGTTATTTTGGCGCCTCCATTGTTCAGGCGGGGGGGGGGGCCTTTATTTAGCTGACCAAACCCTCACGACCAAACTCCCCCACTCCCGGCTCTCAGGAAGCGGCCGACATCACCAGGACCACCAGCAAGAAGAGACCGAAGAAGGCCCCAGCTTTCGCCTCCTCTCCTGCAAGCCAAACCGGCGTAGCCGAATCCCGTCCGTTTTCCCATCTGCTAAACGCCAACTTTTGGTGGGTGCAATGGACACCCAACCACTAAACCAACCAAAAAAAACACAAAAGCCTAAGGAGCCGCATGGTTGGGAACAGCCAAGAGGGGCCCCCCAAAACTGGTGGGCCCCCCCAAAACTGGTGGTGTTCGCTTGGGTTTCCCTGTGACACCAACCAAGCAAAAGGCACCACTGGGTGCAAGACACATACCAACAGGGTTGCCGATGTTTTCTCTGAAAACATCACATCATCCCTCACCTTGAAAAAAAAAAACACCTGATGCTTAAAACAAAAGAACAAAAACATCACCTTCATACAACATCACCCTCACCTTAATAAACCATCACCCCTCTTCTTAATTTTTTTTTTTTTAAAAAAAAAAAAAAAAAAAAAAAAAAAAAACTTGTTTTTTTGATTATATTTTTTAAAGAGAGAAATAGGTACCGTACTGATCTATCTCAGCTCTTGCCCCCAACCAAAACTCCTAGATTTTGGTCCAAGTTTTGGTGAATGCAAATCCCATCATCCCGTCAATAGATCCCTGGGAACCAACCCCGACCCTATTGAAGGGACTTTCCGGGAAGGGAAGGCCTCCTGCCCGAGCAGGATTGGAAGGCCCTGTCATAAAACCAAATGCAACATGGATGTGTCTCAAAATACCTGTCCTTTTGGTTTCGCTTTAAACCAACCCCAGAAAGGCTAACCACATCAAAAGACACACCCACATGTATCCAAGCTGAACCCCAAACCAGAAGGATTGAAATGAATAAAATAAAAGGTCAACCTTCTGAATCTACTGTGGCGTGATAGACTCCTACACCAGCAAGTACATGGTCTATCCAATGTTCATAGGGTTGCATCCATATCAACTGGTGCAGGATTCTGTCCATTCACACTGACCACTCTGGAAGGCAAGAGGCAAGGCTGGGGCCCTTCTTTTGTTTTTCTCCTTTTTGTTTTTCCGGATGGGTGGGCCCTCCATGTCCTCAAAATAATGATAGACGACCGGGCTAGATTTGGCTCTGGGTCAAAATCAATGGTACCATTTGGGGGTAGGTGCACCACATGGCCATTTACCCATATGCTCGCATGATGAGAACTGCAGTGCCTGCAGTGCCAACACTTTGATGTCTTGCCCAGTGGCCCAGTGGTGCCCCATACTGCTCCCCCCTTTTGGTGGTTGGTGTCAAGGGCAAAGGTCCAACCTTGTACCTGCTGGTGTCCATCCGCCTGCCATATTGCGGAAAAGTGCTCAAGTTTGGTGTTGTAATTGGTCAATTCAGTATCGTCTCCGAGGAGTCAAGCTTGCTGAAAACTGGCTAACCTGGAAGTTGTAACCCACCTACCCGGTCAACGGTCCACCCAACTTTGGAAACTTGTATCCCAAGTACCGAGGATTGAACTTAAAAGGTCAACTCTTGGCCCGCATCTGGATTTTGGGGTACACCAAAAACAACATGTGCTGAATATTGTGGGGTACACCAAAAGCACAATGTCCTGAAAATGTGTCATACTCAGATTCTTAAATATAACACGTAATGTTGGAGGAGCTTCCTGAGTTTGTTCCATGTTAAGACTAAAAAAAAAGAAGAAACAAACTGGAGGAGACCCAGAACATAGGGTAAGCTACATCCGGCCACTTCACCAACAGAACTCAGAACTCGGAACTCGGCACTCGGCACTCGGCACTCGGCACTCGGCTCTCCTCCCAGAGCCGCAAACTGCATTTGGGACTGGCCAAAGGCCCGTGAGGTGGTGCTTGCCTCGCAAAAAGCACTTTGCGCGGGCTTGCGGCAAGCGGTAGTTGGTAGGGGATCTTCTATTCAATTCAGAAGTTGGTTGTCACGGGCCCCCCGAAGAGAAAATCTTCTATGGTGTCCAAAACCGATTGGCCCCTACGGGTACTCCGCCCATCCGAGATTGCATTGGTACCGCCACTCCCCACCCGTTTGAGAAACTGAATGGATCTTCTAGAAATGGTCCCAAATTGAACCCTACCTATTGGCCCCAGGACGTATCGAGCCAATACCAACGCTCAAATGCGACCAACCCAGTCCCATCCCGGATGCCAGTATATCACGCAACCAGTCATTTTACCTGTTTCAAGGAATCAATGGAATCAGGCGATCAGTCATTTTGCCTTGTTCAAGGGTGGCTCTCTTGGTCCAATGGAATCGCGTGTCTGATTCTTGTGCTTGTCAAGGGCCCCCAGTGCCCACCCCCCAAGGAAAAGTCCGAACTTGTTACTTGTTCAATTGTTCAGTTGTTTGTAGGACAAGCTTGAAGAGAAAAACAGTGTTGCGTTCAATTTTGGTTTTGTGGTATTGGTGTAGACTCTTAGACTGCGCGTATTGCGAAAGTTGTCTTGGCGGTATGTCCTCTGCATGACTTGTGCTTGCTTTCAGAAACGTGTAATAAACTTGCTGGTTCTCAGCAGGGAATGAGAAATGGAATGACCCCTATAAACCATCCCCCATGGTTTCCTTTAAGGGAATCCCATGGCTCATTCAAGCCTGGAAGGTCATTTCCTACCTATCGCACCAGCAACTGTCTGGGCTCTCGCTGACAGACTAGGTTCGAGGGGCCTCTAGCATCACGATGTATGCGAAGCCTCGATGAAGGCCGAAAACAAATACTCAAGGCAACCCGAGCTCAACCTGCATTGACACAATCTCAGGTAGGGCAAACATCTCCCCACGAAAATAAATCTGAAAGATGATGTTTAAAACAAACCCTTCAAGGGGAAATACAGGAATCTCCCTGCTGTCAGGCGCAACTTCCAAACTAAGCCCTTGGCATTTGTCAGGTTCTCCTCAGGCTCCGTGGTGGAGGTCTCGAAGACTGAGCTCGTCCCAACGTTCAAAGTCACTCCACCTGCCCAACCCACTTCCAACTTGGCTCTTTGACACCCCCACCACCCCCCCCCCCACAAACCCCAAACCAAACACACAAAGCCACAAAGCAAAAAAACACACATTAAAAACAACAACTTACTAAGAACAGTCAAGCCGCCAGAGCCTTCGGAAGCACTGGAGCTCGTTCCAGCTTCTGCAGTCGTGTGCACACCTGTGGTCAACACCGGAGGAGCCCGGGCAACGGACAACATGATCCATCTTTCCCAGGAGAGTCATATTCAAACCTGGTACTAAACTGGGGTCTACAGGAACCATGTAAAGAATTGAAGAGGCGGCCGCACCCATGAATGGCTGGGATGACCCATCTTACCCTCCGGTTATCTCCAGTTACCCGGATTTTGATTGTGACTCATGAGGACCCTGCCATTTTTTGTTGGCACTTTGGGTCTCCTGTCATCCCCAAGTAATGCTGCCAGCTCAGCTAAGGTGCGTCTCAGCGTGGTCGGGCCTGAAACCCCGCGGCTTGTGGTGCTTGCAGTCCAAGTGGTGGTCCTTGTGGTCCTCGCGGGGGTGGAAAACAAAAAAACATGTGCAACAAGCAAAACAATATTGTTGTAACGAACATGAATATGGATCTTCACGAAAACAATGTTGCAACAAGTGACGTAGGCCACGAACATGAATATTGCCTTCCCAAAAATATTGACACCCATGAACTCAGAAGAGAGACTACCTGGCAAACGCTTGCATAATGTTGGTGAGGAACCTGAAACCCACCATCTACACCTGCCTCCATTCTGCGCATGGCCACACGCAAGTGGACTTTAAAAAGGTATCACATGGTGGATGTCCCAAAACCCGTTTGGTTTTCGTCCGCTATCGTTTCACGTCCTAGTCGTAGAGCTGGTATTGGTCGCCGTAAAGGTCAGAGTTGCACTGGAAGTGCTGGAGGAGCTGGTGGTGATACTCGTGCCCGTGGAACTTGAGGTGGTTCTTGTGCTGCTGGTGAGTGTGGCTGTGGATGTCACCTTCGCCAGTAGCAAACAACTCGGTTGTGGGCTGCCCACGAAATGCACTAGAACCAAGAAAGGGAAAACTGAAAAACATTGCCAAGACAGTGATGTCACAGACGTGGTGAAGCTGATGCTTGAGCTTGACACAGTTGTCACTGTCCTGTCGCCCGTCGCTACCATCTGTGCTTGTGGCTTGCTCTTGTGGGCTGAATGCAAGTCAATGCAAACTGAGGCAACACCCAGGCAAGTGGTGTAACTTCCATGCAAGATCTAAATTGAACCTAGACGCAACTAACATGTTCCCCATGATCCCCGCATGAGGGCCTTCCCCACTGATTCAACGGGAGCAACAAAGCTTGTTCTTTGCAGCCTACAAATGAACAGAAGTAAATACCAAGAGTAGCCTCGCAAGAGTAGCCTCGCAAGAGTAGCCTCGCAAGAGTAGCCTCGCAAGAGTAGCCTTCATCTGCTTCAGTTTCCTGGAGCACAAATCCCGTATTTCCAATCCCTAAGCAAACCACACACACACACACACGCACGCACAAACAAACAAACAAACAAGCAAGCAAGCAAACAAACAAACAAACGAGGGAGCGCAAACCATCTCACTTCCTGAGTAGATAGGCCCACAAAAATCCACACTTTGGATGTTCCACTAAAACGGTCTTCCCTAAAAGTATAAAGTCCAGACACTCGGGAAGTGAGTATTCTTAAGCAAACGAAAGGTACTGATGACTTTGCAAGTCTTCAACTTGCTCAGGGAATGAGGGACCGAGCCCATGAAAATGGCGTTGGGAGTGACCAGTCAGGATGGGTGTGGAAGAATAGGGGACCCTTGGAACCCCAAAACAGCACAGAAAAGAAGATAACCACAAGGTATGGAATTTCACTGGAAGACCCTCGGTGGACATCATTTAGGTGGGGAAGCATGTACCACCAACCACTGGTCAGGTGGTTCCCTATCAAAACGCATAGCCAAATGTTCGCTCAGAAGCAAGCAAAGTACGCCAAACCACACTCCCAGCAGTCCGAATATATGCTCTTGTCCGTAAAAGATTGGAACATTGGGGCTCGGGCCCCGGGTTATTGCAGAACCAGTCTGACAAATGAAACTGACATTGCAACAACAGTGAGCAATGCACACATGCATGCGCCATGAGTCATATGGCATGTTTCACCAACATACCTGAAATAAGGGATCCACAAGAAAGGAACCTTCATCTGGCTGCGGTCGCAAACCACATTCGCAAGGTCGCAAGAGTTCCCCAAGGGTCGTTTACCGCGTACCTCAGAAAGAAAAAAAAACGAGTCTGGCCCTTGTTGAACGCCACATGATGACTCACCGATGTTCTCTTGATGGACATCGACTGCAAAAAACAACTTGTTCTCTAAAGATAGATCAGTGCTTGGATTCCACGTTCTGAAGAAAGGAAAGTGTTTAGGACTGTCAGGGTTCCGCAAACTCCACGAAAAAGGGCACTCGCTTTTGGCATGTCAGGACATGCTTGGGACACCTGTAAAAAGCTCTAGCACCAGCCCTTCGGGCCTTGCAATGCTCTTTGAAGGCGTGGTGTGAGGGGAAGGGGACAGGGGTGGCTACTGCAGGCTGCCATGTAAAAGAAACCATGATAAAACCTGAAGGCCAAACACCTTTAGGACACCTACTGAAACCGGGTGATTATACGTCTTGCTCATTTCAGGCATGGATCAGACTAACTGTTTGTCTCTCTTTCTCTCTCCCTCCCTCTCCATCCCTCCTCCCTCCTCCATCCCTCCTCCCTCCTCCATCCCTCCCGTCCACCACCCCTCTCTCTCTCTCTCTCTTTTTTTCTCTCTCTCTCTCTCTCTTTCTTTCGCTGTCTCTCTCTCTCTCTTTCTCTTCTCTCTCTCTCTCTCTCCCTCTGTTTCTCTTTCTCTTTCTCCTCCTCTCTCTCAAACTCTTTCTCGTTCTCTTTCTCTTCCTCTCTCTCTCTCTCTTTCTCGTTTTCTTTCTGTTTCTCTGTGCTCTTCTTTCTTCAAAATACATCTGAGGTTGGTCCTGGTGCTGGACAAGGTAAAGCTGCTGGTGCTGGTGGTCCTATGCATCGGCGCAAACACCCAGTCGCGATCAAAAACCTGGAGGCCCTGTTGGGGATCTCCTCCAGATTTTATCCCCCCCCCCCACCCCCGATTGGTGTGCGGGAAAATCGGGGGGCAGGATGCACGGCGGATTCCGGGAAAGAAATGAGTCATAATCCGAGACACGAAAGCTTGGTATGTTGCTGTAAAGGCCGGACGCCTGCCACCAAAATGAGCAAGTTCATGGAAGGAGACTCTCCAATTGGGATGGGAACAAAAATCCCGTTTGAGTCCCAGAAGTATGCCCTGCTGCTTGCCACCGCCTTACCTCTTAAAGGGGCAAGCAGGACCCTTTGAATTCCAACCTGGGGCCAGGAGCGGGACCTAGCCCCATTGCCTTCCGGTCATGGCTGAATATCCAGGTGGATTTCTCGTATGACGTCAGGGTATGTTGACACGTAGAATGGCCCCCCCCAAAAGAAGAAGTAGTTGATCCCTTAAGCCAACCCTAAGACTGCGCAAAAACGAACACCAATATGATGGTTGCACACTGTCGAAATTGGCAACCCGCTCTCTTTTCACGGCCCGGTGGAGGTGGTTTGATTCTTGGCTGGCTGTTTCCTTGCGATGGTTTTCTTAGCATGCCCATCACCATCGACCAGGACAATCAGCCCCTTGCCAACGCATGTGTAGTGAGTTTAAGCGATTCCTTCTGCATGAATAGGACAGTTCTCGAAACTGAGTTTGATGTAGCGATCTTGGAGTCTGTGCACTTCCATGCTTGACATTGGTATGCTTTACCCAGTTGCCCAGTACCCCTGGTAGAACGAGAATTGGAACCCTTTATTGGGCATCCAGTATTTTGTAGAGGGGCACCTGCCAAGCAACCAATTCACGACAGACACGCACCTAAACCCACCCTAAACCAATCCTACACCCCTAGTCCTCCATAACCCTAAACCAACCCGAAATCAACCCTAAGCCCACCCTAAACCCAGCGCAAACCAACCCTTACCCAACCCCAACCACCTAAAAAAGAACACTAAACTACGCCCCTAACCCCCAACCCAGCCAATCTCCCTCCGTGCGCCTAGTGGAGCTGGTAGCTGTGCCAGTGAAGGAAGTACTCGTGGTGGTCTCTACGCAGCTCCCGGTGTAGAAAGGCTCCACCTGACATGGCGACCCGACCCTTGGGGTGGTTTCGAAGGATACCACGACCAACGGTTAGGCTCACTTCCCCACTAGTGGATTGGCAACGAAAAGAAACAAACATCAAACCTGTGGTTTCAGCAGATGGAAGCAAACCCAACTCCCAGCTCCTGCCACGTATTCTCGGTTGCTTTCTGCTCCTTGGTAAAAGTGACTTTTAGTGGTTTACTACGGAAAACCCATGAGTTGGCAAAAGTTAAAGTCCTAACATCCCTTGGCAACATGCACCAAAGAGAAGGACAACAACCAATGATTTGGCTCACTTCCCCACTAGTGGATTGGCAACAAACAGAAAATAAATCAAACTTGTGGTTGGCTCCGAACAAGTGGATAGGCAACAGAAAATAAGTAAGCAAACTTGTTATGGTCCAATCCAGAAGAGCGACTCAAGTTCCATGAGCTCAGGAAGTGCGGCGCATTCCCCTTATTTTGACACATACTCATGAGCCAAAGAAAAACCATTGCCGTGACGTGACGATTGTGACGATTCGGGCCGTTGAGCACCGCGGGTCATGACCTTCCCATACCTCCCCTCGCCATGGCTCTGAATCAATACTGGATAATCCTATATCTAGTAACAAGCACTTGGTCGATCCAAGCAGTAGCTACAGCCAGCAAACTTTGAGGACTTCCCAAAAACAAATGGGCCACGATTGGTTGTTACTCGCTATCAGCTGTTGCCCCGCAGGCACCAATGAGATGTTTAATTCTATATCATACTTTCAGTTGCCCAAACCCAGACATTTTCAGGTTGGCGTTCTGGGGCACGGTGACCAAAGGATTGAAATCAGCCCGATTGGAAATATCTGCCACTGCCAAACTTCCATTTGGAAGCGACGAAAGGGTTGCGTTGTAGCTCAAGGGCCCTTGTGAACCCAACCGGACTCAAGTACACCCTCCATGTGGGGCCCAGTTTGCAAGGGTTCCATTTCGGGGCTTTCTGCCCTGCATTCCCTCGGAAACTTCCGTTCTTTGCTTGCCAGCTTTCCGAGCCGCATGGGTCATGGTGGCTTCTTTAATTGAGAGGAACCTTGTGCAGCTGTCGAACATCGCCAGTACGAGAGTGACCATCCCTACCAACCCAAAGCAAAGGTCAAACAACAAGACGAACTCGCGGAAAGCGACCGTCATCATTTTGGGGCGGGAATATGGGGTTGGCTTCAAATAGCGGGAACCTCCGTGGCAGGTGTTTAACCCTCCAAAAAACACAACAATTGGTACCCTCCAAAAAAGACATCCGTATGCGGTCGGGGTGTCTTTCTTCAGGAAACCCACCTTTGGTGGTAGTTTTAACATGACACCAAACGAAGGCCGCCCATTTTTGGAGAGTCCTCTATTTTGAGAAAGCTTATCAGATTCCAAAACCCGAGCTGATTCTTGGTTCCAAGGTTATACAGGTTAGCATTGGCCATACGATACACCATTTGTGCCTTTCCTTTTTTTTCGGGAAACCCCACAAGTTGTGGTTTAGCCTATTTTCCTGTTGGTCTCCCGATAAAACAACAAAAACAAAAGAAACCGTGTCATCGTGAAGCCAGGTGGTAGAACCTACTAAAACCAGGGGCCCTTTCGCAGGTGTTGGACGTCAAACCCCCTATGGCCAAGGGTTGTGGTTCTCTTGGGAATAACAATGGTCTAGGATTACCAGGATGACCATCCCAAACAACCACCATCCCAACGTAAACCCCAAAGAAACCGGTCTTTTGACCATGGCACATATATTGTTCACCCACTCGCGGCACCAACGCGTGGAGTTTAGGCGCTGAGAGATATGTTGTTGGAGGCGCTTTCCCTTTAAACCTCAAGGCTAGGCAGCTCTGCTCATAGGATCCAACCCTCGCCTTGCCCTCTAGACCTCCTGTCCTCACAAATCTGGGCTGTCCTCAGATCCCCTGCTAAAAGTTTAGCTTTTAGCGAATTAAATAGAAACCCAACCACTAAACCAGCCAAAAATATCTAAAGAAAACAAAGTTGAAGCAAACGATCCGCTGGTTGCACCGCCAAGCAAAGAGGGCAACATCCCAAACTGAGGCGCCGACTTGTTTTAAGTCTTGGTTGAGTAGTGGTAGGCCAACCACCTTAAGAACCAAACGGACAATTCGGATCCTCAGGCAACAAAGAATTCATCTTGCCTCACTGGGCTGGATGCTCCCCACGTAGCCCTCCATGCAGCTGCACCCGCTGATGACGTTGATGCCCAGGGAGAAGGCTGGGCACAGCACCGGCCAGCAGGGCTCCGAGTAGTAGGGGTAGTCCTGGCCACCAAACAGCGGACGTCTGGGCGAGTGTGTTGCTTGGAGGATCGCTTTTTGTGTTGAAGTCAAGGGAAACCAGTGGGAAAACCACCATTTTGTGGCATCCCCCCCGAAAAAAGGAGTCACCCATACTGTGGATGGTTGCGAAATCTGCATGAAACCATGGTTGAAACCATAACTTTTCTCGGTATTTGCAGGGAAACTAATCATAGGTGGTGCAGGATTTCGTCCATCCACAGTATGTGTGAGTTCTCTTTCTTGGGAAAACGCCACAAAACGGCCTCGGTTTTCCGTTTGGTTTTCTTTGACGTTATCAAATAGGGGTACCCTCAAAAATGACACATGCATATGTGCATATTTTCGCTAGGAACCCTATGAAGGACGTCCAAATTTGGTCGGGATTCATGTCCAACTATTTTGGAGGTGGCTCCCTGGCAAATTCAACTATGGAACCCTGAATAAAGGAGAAAACACTGCCATTCGGGAGTTCGTTGGTTTCCTCGGCAGGGTGGGCCATTTTTAAGGTTGGACCCTCCAAAATGACAAACGCCTCTGTTGTCCTCCTTCAAGACCCACCACAAAAAGGGCATCAACTCAATCAAAGACAGACTTCCACTTGCTTTTTCGCCACCTCTAAACAAAAACAAATATGTCCAGTAGTAAACCAACAAGGGTAAACAACAAAGACATTAGTGTCAGAAAATGCTTTTTTTTGCCCCGTGCCCACGCTCCTGGGAGCGGTTGATTTCCCCGCTGTACCCGGCTCGGCACCGGCACCCCGTGAGCACATTGTCCCCCGCCGAGTTGGCCGGGCAGTTCACCGTGGGGCACGGCTCCTGGGGTCAAATGGCTTCCTCGTGGCAATAGAAAAAAAGCGCTTGGTTCTAGGTTTAACTTCCATGCCCATTCTTTCCAGGGATCCGGATCTTTCTGGACAACCACCAAAACCCTAAGAAATGGCTGATTTTTGAAAGGAACGAAGAACTCCTCAGATCTCTTGCTAAAGTTTAACCTTTCGTTGGTTAAGAGGAAATCTCAAACACTAAAAAGCTAAGAAGCCAAGGGGATGGTTGCGAATCACCAAGTCCCGGTAGCTCCCAACTTGGTTGCTGTTGACCCCCCTGCAAACAGTTTTAAGTTCTTGGGGGTTTAGTGGCAAACCCTGGATTTCCCGAAAAGTTAAAGTCTAAAGATCCAACCCAGTAGCAGTCAAGCCAAAGGCTCCCTCTTTTCAAGCAAGTTCGGAGGATTCCCCCCAGGGCTCCTTCCAACCACCAGACTTGACTTGACGAGACGGACCCGGCCGTCTGTCAAAAGTTAACATTCCGTTGCTAGGGCAAAATAATGAAACACCCAAAAAGGCAAAAAAGGTAATAAGCTAAGTCTGGCAATGTTAAAGGATACATTCAAACCCGCCTCACTTGCAAGGGCATTCCCCAGAACAACTGGCTGTTTTTGTTGCCCAAATGTATGCGTCCAATCTGAGCGGTTGTTCAACGCTCACTTCGTACTTGTTTGCTCAGGGAGGTTCCAGCACTCAGGCCCAAACCTAAACCAGCAACAGGTCTGAGCTCGTTGTTTGCCGCGAACGGGTTTTACCTTTTAGGATAAAATGACCAGCGGAAGTAAGAACATGCCCACCCACCTCACAAGCTGCAGTTGATGGGGGAGAAAAACAAAACAATAAGCCTAGGTGCTATCTCCAACAGCCCCATACCCCAGACCCTTCCAGAACCCCAGCAGCCTAGAGGCAGTGACCCCATACCTTTCACCCGTTGAGACAAAACAAATTGTTTCCGGGCAGTTATGTTTTTTCTAGGATTTGCGCCCTGACCTGCTAAAGTGATTCTGGACTGTCCAAGGTACCCCAGAAGAAAAAAGCTTGCGCGCCTGACATAGAAACTCGAAGATAAGTTCCAAAGAAACTCTCGTCGCTGGGTTGGTCTCTGACCCCCGGAAATTGTTGACATTTGCTGATTGCTTGGTTCACGTTGCAAGGGGAGCAAAAATCTAAATTTTAGCAGTCAAGTGGGGATTTCCCACTAAGCCACAACAAGCCAACATGTAAAATGTGTCCCAACAACAACCATGAGGCTTTCCGAGGGCAACATAGCAGATGGGTATTCGCCGTCTGAAATTCAAACAATCAGGGATTTGTGGGGTTGGTCTTTCACCCCCCTGCAAATGCCCCCAACTTTTGCTAATGAGTGGCAAAACAGTCAGGTTTCTGAGTGGAATATGCACTCCTTGCACAGCTTGGGAACCACCCAAACCCCGTGTTGAAAGCACATCCATTGTGGTTTCCTTTAACGGATGTTCACATAGTCCCATGCACAGCTGACAAAATATTACAACAAACTGAAGTGACCACCCAACATTGTGTATTTATTAGGGGGCCACCCAAAGTCGATACCGTGGCAATATTGCCGTTGCGAGCGCATTAATTTCATGCGCGCCCCTGTCTTCCTCCTTCCCTCCGTCCCTCCAGCTGCCTTATCTCCCCCTCTCCTCCCTCTCCCCCCCCCTCCCGGTTTTGTGAAAAAGCATTAATCCCTCCCCTCCCTCCCCCCCCCCTCCCCGGTTTTGTGAAAAAGCATTCATCCTCGTGCGCCTTGATTCGTGACATTTCGGGGAACACTCACCACCATCGCAGCCCCCCCCGCACGCAGACCTTCAGTGGCCATGGCAAACAAGGGCACCCCTTGTTTGGCAGTTGATTTCCATGTGGTCCCATTGAACCAAATCGCCAGCTCATTTGTAGCACTTGATTCTTGTTGGGGGGGGTTGTTGCCATCCCAATGGCAAACAACTGGACACAACAAATACACAGTAAAAGCGGACAAGCAACTGAGAAGGCACGCAAAAGCCGACACAGAAACAAAAAACGAAAAACACCGAAACTGAGAAAGCACACAAAAGGAACAAAGGACCAACATGGAAACAAGAGCCTGCTGCAGGTCTGAGTCGACCCCCGCCCCAGTCGACCCCAAGTTTCCTCCGCGTGGGGGGTGTCAATCTCCATGGTACCGCCGCCGCACAAGCAGCAGGCCTCGTCTGCACCGATGCCCGAGCTGGTCCAGTCGCTGAAGGTGCCCCACCTCGAAAAAGACTTGATGCGCCCGAGGGAAACCGCTCAAGTCCCTCTCAGCTTCCTTCTAAATGCGTGGTTTGGTTTGGAGGTTTGGTGGTTTAGGGGCTACCTTCCCAGTTTCAAGTCAACCAACTTACTAAGTAGGTTACAACCATGGTAAAAGGGGTAACTGCCCCTTATAACCACTTGTCAGCTCCCTTCTAATTGGTGGTTGGGTTTGGGTCCCTCATGGGGTTCAACAAACTAAATAGATTATAACCATGGCAAGTGGGGCAACTGAAGGTTCGTCCCCTCACCACCTCGCCACACTTCCACATTGGTGGTTTGGTGGTTTTGCTAACCCTCCGTGGATTTCCGCGGGGAAAAAATGCTCCTTTTCTTGTGATTTAAAAGGAACCCCCTCCAAACAATGTGTTGGAAGATTAGAGGTCTGTGAAAAAACACCGATGGTTGCATGGCGCACCTCATGATCTTTTAAAAGAGCTAACCAAAGTGGCGGAGTGGAGTAGCGTGGAGTGGGCTTGAGTTGAGCCCAACAAGCATCCGTAGAATGAAAACCAAGGTAAGCCCCTTACAGCAAAAGCCGACTATGCCCCTTAGGGGAACCCTGCTTGAAGCCCCTGTATTTGGGTTTGGAAGTTAGATGGCCTCAAAGTGACTCTGGAAAACAACCAGATGTGCAAGTCGCCAACCAAAACCAATTCGGTCTCCAGATTAAAGGGAAACCAACTGGAATCCAGGTTGAGTTCCTCAAATCAGGACTCATTGACTTTCTTATGTCTACTAAAATGGGCTTTAAGGGTTTATGTGGGCCGTCCCAGTGCCCGCCAATGCCAGGTAGACCGGCGCCGTGGTAGCAGGAACACGTGGAGTTCAAGGCATCAACTTTCAGCTCCACCACTTCGAGGGAAACCCAAATCGAACATCCATCCAAATGCCATGGGGCAAAATCCAAATCCAACCCCCCAGTAAACATCCCAATCCCCACAAAAAATCCCGACGAAAATGGGTGGTGAATTCACCTACCCCAACATGGGATCCCATTGGTTTTGACAACCACAGCCAAATCGGAATCTGCAAAGCATGAGGCTTCAGGAGGTGTTGCGGGCCTCCAACTTCGTGCGCAACGGCTTGTATCTTTATTTAGGACCCTCTGGTGGACATCGTGTGGATGTATGTCCACCCGCTACTTTTGAGGAGGGTTCCCATACAACTTGACTGGAAACATTACGCGGAAACTCGTAACCCCCTTTCCCTCCAGTTTCCCAAAACCCGCAGTGGAGTTCCCTAAAAGAAGAGGAGAACAGAATTAGCCGTTCCTCTGTTTGGTTGATGTTGAAGAGGCCCACCTCTCAAACACAAGTTGAGCAAAGGCTCGCAACCCAGTGGCCAGGCAAAAAGGGCCCTCCTTTGCTTGGTCGCTGATGTTGAAGGGAACCCCCAAAAAAAGGTTGGACAGTCGCAAGCCACGCGTCAAGTCTTTTGTGGCGAAGCCGCCAGGACTGCCACTTGGATCCATAGCTCCCGTCACGGCAGAAGTCCAAAACCCGATAGTCCTCGCAGCGGTTGTTGTACCCGTCCTTCCAAACATACCTGGCGATCGAGCCATATCGAGCAAACTTGCCATCAAAACGAGCGTGGTGATCGAGCCAATCGAGCAAATGTTCAATCAAAACTCTGAAGAACGAGTAGCGCGTGCCATCAAAACTGTGGGAAGTATGGTCATGCGCTTGAAACAAACATGAACACATCGGTTGATTTCCCTCTTCTGGGCTGCTCCTCCCTAAGCAAGTTGCCTTTCCCGGGGTTTCATGTGGGTGAACTAAAATACTTCACCAAGCTGAGCCATTCCCCACATAAACCAACATTTGGGGTGAAGCCGTGTGAGGTTGTTATAATTCACCCAGTTCAATGGGAAACAAACAACCTTTCCCAACAAATCCTTTTGCCGCGTGTTCAACGGGTTGACGGCCATCCTTGGTGTCTACTAGGTGTTCCCTTAAAACCTATACACTTGGCAAAGAGCCCAATAAAATTCATCAATATGCAAGCGCGCTTTTTGTAGTCGAACCCCAACAAGTGAATAAAGTCCGGAACTCAGGGAGTGGACCCGGCACGCTTTTGCTTTCCGCACCTTCAAGCCGGATGGAAGTCCCCATTCAAGCAAAAGTGCACCCAGCAAGAAGAAACACGACTTTGTCTTGGTTGCTGTTGACCCCCCTGCACAAAGTTTAACTTTTTTGGGTTTAGTGGAAAACCCAACTTGATTTCCCAAAAAGTTAAAGTGCAAAGACCCAACCCAGTAGCAGTCAAGTTGTGGTTGGTTGATCCCTTGCTTAATAAACCATTGATTGGATGCGTAGCAAAAAAAAACAAGGCCTAAACGTCTTTGTTTAAGGTCTAAAAGAGTCGTACGACCCCCACAGAATGTGTACTTCTTCCTTTCCTCGAAGTCGCAGGGTCGAAAAAACAACAATTGCCCCACTCACCAAGGCTGCTCTGTGCGAATGCGCACAAAGACTTTTGGCAAAATCTGGCATGGAACTACGGCGTCGCCATTTGGCCATGGGTCATAACCTATGCCGTTCCTATTTTGGGGCGGATGAACACCCATGTACCACCTATTTTGATGTTCACCAGGGGTTTCCTGGGTTTTAACCCACAGCCATTTAAGTATCCGGACACTTAAAGAGGCCAACAAGGAGTGTACCCTTACTCACCGCAAGGAAGCTGGAAACAAAAGGTGATCACCTTGGGGCCACTAAAAATCAAGGATGGATTGATTCCAGGGTGGGGTCGTCCCTTGTTTGAACATGGGCAATACCAACAGTGATAAAAAAAAAAAAAAAAAAAAAAAAAAAAAAAAAAAAACTTGCGCTTGTCCTGAAACAAGCTTGGACCAGGGACACGTTCAGTCTTCCTAAGCCTGACTGGAAGGCACCCACATCACAAACAATAAAGCTGCGGCAGCAGAAACTGGCGCCTCTCCGGGTAGTCGTAGTAGTACACCTCACTCGCAAGAAGCCCTGGTTGGGGCCCAAGCATCGACCCAGAACCGGCTCCAAAACCCAAGGATTGTCAGCTTATATGTGTTTTTTTGGCTGGTAAAGGAAGACAACTAAACAAACACAATGTTAAAACAGTGCAGTTTTGCAAGTATATAAACACGTTGGAGTCAGATTGGTTTGGAAAGAAGTCAGATCCGGATGACCCTTCCAACAGCGTCAAATGCCTTGTGGACCTCTTAGCCTTTCTGTGATACCTTGCTGTCGTATCACAGAAAGTGGCAACCAAAAATCCGCTAGAATGGTCCAAACCCCAAACACACATAAAGTCCAAACACTCTGGTGAGTAACCCTGATCACATTAGACTTTGGTGAGCAACCGCCATTTCCCAATTCTGTGTTGGTCCTTCCCAACAAGTACAAAGTCCAGGACCTCGGGAATCAAATAAGAGAAGTGCAGGGGCAGTGGCTACAAGAACCCCCTCAACCCTGAGTGAAAAAGCGCGGGAAGAACAAAGCCCAATTTCCCTTATCAGATTCTGTCGATTGCTTTCTGCTCCACTGCTAAAAAAATAACTTTTAGTGATTTAAGGGAAAACCCGTTAGTTGGCAAAAAGTTAAAGTCCTAACATCCAAGCAACATACACCAAAGAGATGTCCCATGCATTTTGCCACGTCGCCGGGTCGAGGTCCATACACGTGCCAGCGCAGAAGCTGGGGTCGTAGACCTTCCCGTCGTTGCCCATGCAGGTCACATTCCGACGCCTCACCTCGTCCAGGAATTCGGGCCAAGTTTGCTTGTTTCTGTGCTTGCTTTTGTGAATCTGGACCCGCCTCTTGAGTTGGGGCCCATGATTGTTTGGATTTTGGAGGTGTTGTGTTGATGTTGTTTGGATTATGATTGATTGTTTCAATTGTTTGCTGTGTTGTTTTCAGAGGGGCCCATTTTGGAGGGACCCGGAAAAGACACACCCATCTGGCTGGCCGATTTTCGACGTTCCAATCCAGTGCAGGGCCCGAGGCCTCAGGAGCTGAAAAGAAGAACGGGAGAAGCGAGCGCCACGGGTGGTCTCATTTTTGGCGGGTCTCATTCTTTTTGGCGGGTCTGTAAAAACCAAAAAGCATAAAAAAACGGGGAAAGAAACAAAAAACACTAAAATACAACCCCCTCGCTGTAAAAACCGCCCAAAAACGGGGAGGCGCCCTCAAACACACAAAGGCAAATGTAGAGCCGGGGCTCGAAACCTGCGGCGCAGCTGCCAGAATGCATTCCGCCGTCCCAGGCGCCGAGGACCTGCACCAAGCATCTGAAAGCCGAACATGGCTGGTCCTTGTTCAGGTTGCCCGCGCCGCGCCCACCCCCCAAAAAGAAAGAACCGTTTGTTTTTGGGGGGTGGGGGGTGGGTGGGTGTAAAAAAGGACAGTTTCTTTTTGGGGGTGGGGGGGGGGGGGGTGGGCAACCTGAAAAAGGAGCAGCCACCCATGTTCAGCTCGCACATTGTCCTTTCGGTTCCCCTTTAAAGGGTACCATCAAAAAAGACAAACCCACATGGAACCAAGGGCATACGCGTGAGCAACACTACGCCAAGCCAATTAAGATTTGTTTTAATTCCACAAGAACTGCGAGAGCAAAGAACAACCATGACAAACGGAACAACCATCGGCAACCCAGAACCCAACAGGGTTGCTCCAACAATCCGGTTTTCACGGTAGAAAACTTATATGTAGCAGGAAAAGGACAACAAGAGCACCCAATACTAGAATGCTACCTTCGTACCACTTGTCATGACTTGTCATTGCAACTTGGAGCACCCCCGAGGTGTGGATTCCGTTAGGTGTCCCTCGAACAACAACGCCTCCCTCATTGGTTTGAGGTTGGGAGCCTGCCGGAGAAGCGCAGATTTGGGCGTGCCTTCAAATCGGGGACCCCATTGCCGCCCCGCAAAGGGCCCCTTAACGACACTCACTGCCTGAGTGGATTGGCCAAAACCAAGTCCCCCACCCTTGTCATTTACCAATCATGGCGAAGCACAAATCCAAAAGCTGAGAAAAGTCGGAAACGGAGTACTCCGGTTGTTGGCTTCCACCGAGCCCGAGCGATGCATTCCTTCCGAGGCGCCCAGAAGTGGCGGAAGAGGCGTTGGCTGAAGCGCACGTTGCGCCGGGGGTGCCAACTTCCGATGGACCGCTCCGCGTAGAACAGCAGCCAGCCGTAGAGGTCCGGCTGCCGCTCGAAGGCCTCGGCTTCGTCCGGCGTTTTCGTTTCTGGCAGACCCCTGGCATCGGCTTGTGGTTTCTTGCAGACCCAAAAGACCAAAAGCCAAGAAACGCCCAAAAGAAAAAGGAGCCAAAAAGAACAGAGCCCAAAACGAACAAAAGAACAGAACCCCAGAAAACCAAAAGGCAAACAAACCACTTGCCAGCTACTGTGAAGTTTCTTTCTTGGGAACCTTCGCTTACTTCCAGTTGCTTCCCTCACTTGGCGCTTCTTCACGGAAGAAAGACCAAAAAGGCTTCTGAATCAGGAGAGATGTTTCAAAAAGCGCAGGGTTTCTGTTGGGTTCCATGCTAATCTGAAAGTATGCTGACAATGCCCTCTGCGTAAGAACAAAAAACAGCCGCTGGGATCGATGTTCACTGGTTGGATTGGGATGTTCACTGGGGGTACGATTTGGATTTTGACCCTGGCCAAATCAGCGCAAGACATTTCATTACGGGAATCCACTCCCTTGGTCCAGGGGCCACAACGACTCACAGGCAGGGGGAATCAGTTTGGTGACTCCCAGGAACAGAACGCCGTGTTCAGTTGGGTGTGTCAGTTTGTTGCAAACATTCTTGAGGGCCCCCTTTTCTTGGTGGTTTTGCAGGGAAACCAAAAGGACAACAGTCGCGGGGGCTCAGAAGACTGGCTTATTTGTCGAGGTGTTCGCCATCATTTTGTCGAAAAGGCCCCTCAACCTTCGGGTGGAGCTAGTCTCTCTTCGACGTGCCGCTGTCCCCAAAATGTTTTAACACGTTTTCCAGTCGTGCTAGATTCCGCCTTGAAAAAACTAACAGGGGAAAATGACACGTATTCATTTCAGCGAATGGAAAAAGCTGGGCATTCTCCGACTTGTTGTTGTGGCACTGATTTCTGCCATGAGGCGAGTTCCAGGGTAAGCGACTGATTCGGAGCCACGCTCTCACCGCCGTGCTCCTGTCTCAAGCTCGGGCATCGACTTGTTTTGCTTCAGTAGTCGAAACCTTGCTGGTGCTCAGTGGGGGATGAGGGAGAATGAACCCAGGGGTCCCCTGAAAGGAAACCACAGGGGATGGTTTATTGGGGTCATTCCCACATTCCCTGCTGAGCACCAGCAAGAAACCGCCCTTTCAGTAGATACCAAGTAGAAGACCAAAGACCCACAAAAAGTGGTCTTTCGGGCAACGGGTGATTCTGCAGCAAAAAGAACGAGCCAAACAAAACTGGGGTCCTTGTGCTAGACTGCCAAAGCGGGCACCAAAGGAAGACAAAGGGCCGACCCGCAAAATGTTTTCTTTTGGTTTATCATTTAAGACCAGCCAAAGGCGGTAAAAACCAACAGGAAAACAACCAACCTACGCAAAATTGGCCGCAAAATGAATTGTGAGTTGACAGAAGGGGGTTTGACACCAATTTCTTCCAACGAATAGCGGCTTGAATTAAAATAACCCGGCTGTCCGTAGAAATCGAAAGATCTGGATGTCATGGCGGAAGGAAACACCGAGTTGACTAATTTGAACCGTGGTAAAATGGACACAACATCCTAAGATACCAAAGCCCCTTCCACCTCCGACATCCCAGCGAAGCTTCTTTCTGGGCGGGCTTCTGCGGGGGTAGGGGGGCCCGATGGTGGCTCCAAACCACCAACTAAGGAACACCTCGTTCGGATGATGTAGGAAATTCGAAGGAAACCCACCCTGTGAAAGATTCAAAGGAAACCCCCACAAGCTGTGATGGAATTCAAAAAAAAAAAACATCCAAAGGAAACCCACCCTGCGAAAGATTCAAAGGAAACCCCCACCAGCTGTGATGGAATTCACCACCCAAAGGAAACCCACCCTGTGAAAGATTCAAAGGAAACCCCCACCAGCTGTGATGGAATTCCAAAAAAAAAACCACCCAAAGGAAACCCACCCTGTGAAAGATTCAAAGGACACCCCCACCAGCTGTACTGGAAATCTAAGGGAAACCCACCCTGTGAAAGATCCAAAGGAAACCTCTCCACCAGCTGTACTGGAATCCAACGGAAACCCAAGGAAAATCCCCACCGGCTGTACTGGAAATCCAATGGAAGCCCACACTGCACAAGCTGCAATGCGAGGGAAAGATTGAAGGATCGACAACTTGGGATCTAGCAAGGCCTCAGGAAAATCAAAGAGATGTGGAGCCTCCGCGGAAAGCAAGATGAATTCCACAGCTATAACACAGATTATAAATAAGTAATTCGACTGGGGTTGGGGCACTGTCAAACCAAATTTGTAGCCATACTGTGGATGGACAAACTGCTGCACCACCTAAGAACCCCTGGCTGTTGTAAATACCAACAAATACGGGTTCTCATGGTGTCATTTCGTGGTGCGAACGGATTTCGCCACCATCCCCACAATAGGAAGATTCGTTGAGTTACTTAGCCAATTCGCCCAAAAGCCAAAAACCATGACAGAAGTCCGGCTAATCAATTAGAGTGGGGGTGGGGCACTTTAAACCAGATTTGGTCATAGGAAAACACGAGTATACAGCTATCTTAGCCAACTCACTTCACGAGTGTTCTGCCCAAACAACGTCCGAACTTCTTAAATAAACCTCAACAATTGTGACAAACAAGCAAAAACCCAAAAGGTGACAAAAGTCCAGAAAATCAGCATCTTAGGCCAACATAAATTTCCCGCTCATATTCATCACTAAAATGGTGAAACAAACCCAAAGTGGAGAGTCCATGAACTCAGTATCCTAGGCCAACAAAATCCCTCTGTTGCTTTCTGCTCGCCCATCCCCCCCCCGGAAACAAAAAGGCTGCGGTGGTCCTTTCGGTTTCCCTTTAAAGATCAGCCCCGAAAAGGGTAGCATCACCCATTAGTTGAAAAACAAAAAGTGATAAAAGTCAGCTTGGGCCAACACAAATGGCCATGTGTCTAAAAGCCCGTACCCCCAGTGAACATCCCAATCCCCACTATAGGTTCTAAAATGGGAGGTGAATTCACAAATCCCCCAAAATGGGATCCCAAAACGGTTTTGACCACCACAACCAACTATGCCGCTCCCCAGCGGCAGCCGTCAGCTCCGGAAGCTCCTTGATCCTTACCCAGGGCGTCAGCTCCACCGCCAGCGGCCCCTCAGCCCACGGCAGCAAACCGCCGATGCTCAAGGCTTTGGCGCCCGTGGCCGGCTGCAGGCCCACCTGCACCTGGGACCTTGGCCGGCCGGCGCACGGTCGACATTTAAGCACAGGCCTGCTTGAGCAAACTCGGGGGTGCATAAGTTGCGCACTGGCGTCAAGCAAAAGCATGAGGGGTAACTTACATTTCCATTCTGCATCCAGGGATACGAATCTTTCTAGAAAACCACCAAAAATCCTGGGGAAATGGCTGGTTTTTGAAAACAACGATGGCTCGAAATAATGGTTGGAATCATCGCTTCGGGCCGATCCGAGTGAAGCACCGTCTGAAAGCTTCGGCAAAGCTTCTGCACGAAACACACGCCTTCTGCAAGAACCGGGTTCAAAGCACCCACCAATCCGAGCCAACTAAGGGATAGCTGATAATCTGAAACAGAGACCCCTGTTGGTTGCTATTTGCTCAAGCACACATAGCGACATATTCTTTCGCGAATGGAAGGGAAACTGGATGATATAAGGGCCGAAACAAGATCCAGGCGCATGGCGCTCACGTTGCTCGGGAAGTCCTCCATAATCACCAGCACCCGGCCATCATTGTGCAGCCGCACTTCGAAGGTGAGGTTACCCTCCTGCTGAAACCACGGGGCCAAGACATGGGCCGAATGTTGACCCCGGAGTAATGACCCCCTGTTTATGGGGGTGGCCCTACAAAAGTGATACAGTTTTACATCCACACAAAAGCCAGGGACACCCCCATATTAGTAAGCAGGGGTTTATTGATGTGGGGTCAAGACCATAAACCAAAAGGTGAGGTGAAAAGGGCATGCAAAAAAAACGGGTTGCCGCCAACCTGTATATGTGGGCCTACACGCCAAGAGGTGAAGTGAGATGAAAAGGGGATGCCAACAAAAAGGGTTGCCGAGGTATTTGTAGGCCTATAAACCAAGAGGTGAGTTGCAGGTGCAAGGAGTGCAAAAAGAACTGGACGACACGTGGAGTGGATATCACCCAAAGGGTACAATATGAGGGGAAGTAAATAGTCAAATGTTCTTCCTGGCGGCTCTCAATTGGAACCCCAGTAGGCTTGTCAACTTAGGATAACCCCACAAATAAGCAAAATGGTTGATTACTATGGGGTGTCACATTTTAGAGGGGACCCCAATGTTCCTACGGCTGTCTGCGGCGACAGAAAATGGCAATGGGTGGTTTGGGTACCCGTTGTTTGTGGCTTGCAAGGAAAGAACAGATACCTTCTGTATGATTTTTTCTTGCGGCGAATACACCGCTCAGTCCTTTCTGTGCCAAACTGAGGGGGTGGGCCCAACATCTCCAAGGGAACCAAACCACAGATCAGGGCCCCTTGCTCAGGTCCTTGGACCAAACTGGTCCTGTTGACCCCTCAAATGCGGCAGTAAGTAAGTCCCTCAAAACCAGCAAAGTTCATGGGAAAGCCTTGTTTGCCACTGAACTGATCCAAGTCCTGAAAGTGACCTAAAGTCCAGAAGCGAGTTGGGAGTCTTCCTGTCCCCAATTCCATTCTACTCTTCCCCATGGGGGACAATGGCGCCAATTATCCAGCTAAAAAAACAAATCAAAGTCCCCCTCCAATTCCATTTTTGAGAGGTGGGGGGATGACTTGCTTGCCTGAATAGGGTGTTGTTGAAACTCAGCGGCCCCCCCAAAGTGGTTGGTTCTTCTTTGTTTCCTTTTTTAACCACCACACAAAAGGGCATAACACACCAAAAAGACACAAACAACGAAGCCTGCGTCCCCGGGCCAACCAGCAGTGACTAGCAGCGCTCGTTACGCGTCCGTCCCCCAGTCCTCGCCCTTCAGCTGCAGACCCTCGTAGCGCACAGCCATGATCTCTGCAGACGCCGCGCGCTTCGCCGACACACGGGCGCCTGAAGGAGAAGGCGGCTTCCAGCAATAGCCTGGTTATAAAGGAAACCAATACCAAGCCACCCATTTGCGGGGTTCCATATCTAATTTTGAGACAAACTCAAGACTCACAGGGTGTTCTACCCACCTGAAAAGGGGAAGTGTCCTTTGAGTGGTTGGGTTGCAACCCCAGTTTTTCTGGAGGTTGATTCCGATTCCATTCTTTTCAAACCATCGTTCTTTTCAAACACCGATTGCCGTTTTACCTGGGGTTCTGGAGGTTTTCTAGAAAGAAGGATCCCTGGAAAGAATGGGGAAGGTGCCCCCAGAAAAATGTTTGAGCGCGTGAGATGCAAATGCAATTATATTTAGAAAAATTAGGGAGAGCTGGTAGAGTGGGTTTAAGACAGGCTTTGCGTTGGTATGGGGTGGGGGAATCGAATCTTGGCGGGCTTATGGTAGGTTTGGGCTGGTTCAGGGATGCTTTAGTCCTGGTTCAATGTAAATTTAGGGTTGGTTTAGGATTGGCTTCGGGCGGTTTTAGGGCTGGTGTAGGGATTGATTATTGGTTTAGGGATTGGCCAGTGCTGGTTTAGGGTGGGTGCCAGGAATGCTACTGAGGGTTGCTGGTCTGATGCTGAGGATCTGATGATGTGGAAAGCCAAAGCTACAAAAACCGCCCAAAAACCAAAAACAGGCAACCTGCAGGGAAAGCCAATAAAGCCGACCGACCGACCGACCCACAACCGGGCACCCTGGCACGACCCGGCCCGCCAAACCTAGGAGAAAGTACAACCTTGGGCCCTTCCCGCTCTGGGGTGACAAACAACAAATATGTTCAGTTTCGTTTGCATATCTAGTAAACCCTATATTAGGTCTTTGTTACTTGATTCTCCTCAACGGGTCAAAGCCCTGGAGTATTTTCCAAGCGACTAAGTACAGAAAACACTTTGGCGGCGACCCCTCGGCTGTCCTCAGACCCCCTGCCAGCATAGCTTTTTGCTTCATGAACCGGATGATTCAAGCTGGGACCCGGAAGCACATTAGAATAGTCTTCGGCGACTTTTCCACTCTAGGTCCTTCAGTAGAGAGGTAAAAGACGTAAAAGGGCACAACTGGGGCACCTAGACAAAACGAGTTTTCGGCGAACTTTCCACCCATCCAGACCCGAAGCATCCATCGAGCCGATCGCGTCGAATCCATGGGCCTTTGGGGCAGACGAGGTCGGCCCACATCGCCGCCAGCACCGCGTCCGGCGTCCCGGGCTGCTCCAGGGCCGCCAGCGTGGCCGCGCGGCGCGTGAGCTCGTCGAGCACGGGGTCGAAGATCAGCGCGCCGTTGCAGGAGACGAAGGCCTGGCCCATGTCAGGCGTCTGAATCAAACAAGTCAGATGGGGTGTATGGGTTTGTATGGGTTTATATTTGTATGGGTTCTTCTGTTGGGGGGCCCTTACCAACCATAGGATCAACAAGCCGAGGAGTCTCTAGCATTGTTTGCCCCAAACCACGCAATGGACACCAACCTGGATATGGGGTCTAGCTGCGGCTGAAGTCTAGGATTGTTTTTCCCCCAAACCATACCCACTTCCCGAGTGGATGTTCCAACAAAAGTGCGAACTTCTTGTTTACTGAAATGGTCCCGAAAAGAATAAAGTCCAGGGACGAAAGTGTAACCGGAGTACCCTGGAGCTAGATGCTGAAGTCGACACGTTTTTTTACAGAAGGGTTTGACAGGTGCTAGCCATGGAGCAATTTTGTTGGGACCGGACGATCTTAAGGGTACGTCTGCGGAACTCCAACCTCAACCAGCCGCCACGGCGCGATGGCTGAAGTCTAGGATTCCCACCCCCAAACCCAAGGGAAACTAATACAAATAACTTGCATGTGCTCGTTTTGTTTGGCAGCACACAAAGGCCAAGCCAGAGCGAAAATGGATGGATAACCATATGCATGTCGTGGTTGTGTTTTTTTTGTAGGGGCGTGTTCTTTCCCCCAAAAAATGGATCTCGGCTTACCAAAAAAGAGGTTCCAACCAAGGAGCACGAGCCATTCATATGGGTAGCTCTTCACCAACGTCGTCGCATGGGTTCCAAAGGCCTTCGCCTGGGTTCTATCCCTCATGGCTTCACAAAATCACCCAAGACCGCCTTGTCTAAAAACCATATTCCACCGAATCTCCAGAACACCGTGGCGTTTCTATTTTGATTTCCCCCACATTTTGCTCCTCCAAAAAGAACACCGTAGCGTTTCTACTTGGATTCACCCTCGTCTCCAGAGGTTTTCCGCGGCTCCCGGCTCCCAGGCTGCCGCCTGCTGGTAGTAGTGCAGGTAGTGCGGGAAGGGAAACGCCAGGGCCATGAGCTGGGCTTCGTCGTCCAGCTCCACCTACGAGAGCTGCCGGCCCCAAGGAGCCTAAAGGAGATGAACTGCATGTGGCTGCGACTTGTTGGGGACCCCCCCCCAGAACAAAAAAGAGAGGCGGTTTCCACCCCAAAAAAAATAGCAAACACAAAGTGGGTTACGCATGCGTAGAACCAGTTGAAAGAGCTGGCAATTGTGGTTGGTTGTTTCGCCATTTGAAAAATAACAAATCCAATACCCTGAGAGTCTTCAACTTGTTCCGGTCATCTCAAATAGAAGGGGCCAGCTTCCATTCGTGTGAGACACACCTTCCTTCCAACAAATCTTCAGCTGACGGCTTCGGCTAGAGCGAATTTTTGGTTCCCTTGTGCCAACCAGGACAAAAAGGGGAAGCATTCAGAGGGGCACGGGCAAATCCTATCGGCCTCACTTCCGTGGATTGGCAAAGTTGTTGTTTACCGTACCAAAGCTTGCAAGTCCAGGATACCCTTTTTGTTGTTTGGATTGAAAACTCTTCATTTTTGTTGGTGTACCCCTATTTCAATACGCACCCAAGAAAAAGAGTGAGTGGTTGTCCCTGCCGCCCCTGCTTCTTTCTTTGACTTCCATTTGGTTAAGACCCACGGAAACAATAGAAATATGTCCAGTAGTGAGAAGTTCCTTTTTAAACCAACATGGGAACATTAAAAAAAAGAAACAACAACTTAGTGGTTGTCCCTGCAGCCCCTGCTTCTTTCTTTGACGAGCGTCCGAGCCATTGAACATCGTGAGGTCGAAGACCTCAACAGCGCCGCCCGGGGCGGACAAGTCGAAATCTGCAGGAGGAGACAGCACCTTGGGTCAGCAAAGGAGGAGGAGACCTTGGGTCAAATAACCTTTACCTGGACCCTCAAACTGCCCGTAAAAAAAAAAAGAGCCGGGGTCCACCATGTTGAGAAGCACTAGGCGTGTGTCTTGAAATATTATAGGGAACGGAGAATTGTGTTGGCAACACTTGCAGCGCAATGCGAAGCGGCGCAATGCAACCCCATTTCGGTGTCAAGACACCCCCTCTCGGCATTGCGGTCTCGATGGTTTCATTCCGCAAGACCGACATGTGAGGGCGAGACTTTTTGAGGTTGCCGCCCCTGTTGTTTCGGTTGGACACCAAAATAACACCAACCATTTTCGGAGGCTCGCGAATTTCAAGAGAAACCCATCTGCAGGGTAGTTGGTAGGGATGCTCCCATAAGAAAGAGCCAGGACCATAACTTGCGAAGGAATTTCGACCGTGCTGTGCGTGCCGTGTTGTTTTTGTTCCACGAGAGTGGGTCCACATGCATGCATGCAGGAGGAGCTTCGACCACGTGCCCCCCCTTCCGCGCAGAAACTCAGGTACCCCCTGGTTGATCAAGGGATTCCGTTAAAGGAAACGAACTTAGGGATTCCGTTAAAGGAAACCATACAGAATGGCTTATGGGGGTGATTCCCTTATTCCCTGCTTCTCGAACCAGCAAGCAAAGAATGTGTTGTTTTCCTTTGGTTTGCCTTTAGACTCTACACTTAAACCGCACAGAACGGCGGTTTCCCTCCAAATTCCCAAAAAGCAATGGCTTCCTTGCAACCAAAACTATGGTTGGCGACTTCCCCTTTGTGATGGGTAGTTTGCGGGTCCAGGTCAAAGTTATTTGACAAAGACCCAAAGTCTCTTTCTCTCTAGAAAACGGCGTGGAAGCGCCTTTTGTGAATCTCACCTGTCTTTCCTTCGCTGGTCCTTTTGAGTAATCTTTTAATACTCTGTTGATATCCTACGGGGGCGGATCCACAGATTCGCCACATCCAAACCGCTTTCTAGAAAAAAAACCACAACCACGGAACCCAGAAAACACAACCATTTGTAGAGGACACTCTTCTTGGAGGTCCCTTTCCGGGCTCCCTGGTAAAAAAATAAATAAAATGAACTAAAAAAAATATGTTCAAATGATAGTCGCTTTAACACCAACGGGGGAAACCAATGCTATTAAGCAAATGAGAGTGGAGAAGCCTCGGCTCGATGGAGTGCCCGCCTTGGCCGAATAAAAAGGGTCCTCCTCGAAGGTTCGGTTGTGATCGATGACATCCACCACCCAATGCATATCCTGCGTTCTGAAAGGCTGGAAGCCAAGTGACGCGCATCTGCTGAGGCAAAATCTACGGCTCTGAAAGTTCTTCTGGTTGCCGCCGAGTTGCCGCCGAGTTGCCGCCCCACAACAACAATCTTCGCAGGCCTAGATTGACTTTACAACCCTTGGCATGGTCGCAAAACACTTTGTTTGTTGCAGCTTACTAAAAACGGAGAGAAACAAAAAGCCTAAAAACTTGCCAACAACGGTGAAACACGGCTTTGGTCATCCTATTCCGGTACGTACCCAGCGCCGACTCATGGGGTGACACTCCTATCCTATTCTTCCTATTCCTATGGTTGTCAAGGGCCCTCAATAGTGGCGCTTCTTAGGGGCTCCTAGGGTTCCTTTTTTGGGGGGGTCCCGTTTTTTTTGGGGGGCCCCTGACAACACTGATTTAAGAGCCTATTCTATTCTGATTTTGAGCCACCGGGGAAGCCAAGCAAGCGCTAGACACCTTCCGATGCCTGCCATGGCTCTGAACCTCCCGTAGTGGAACTCGTATGTTGACCCAATCTAAGTAGAACCCGTGTTTAGGAGGGTGATCCCCTCCATAAGTGCCCGTAATGGACTGGGGTTGATTCATCCTGTGGCTCCACCCGCTAAATGGAACTCGTGTGATGTTGACCCCGAGTCGTATTATGGAACTCTTCCCCTCCATAAGTGATAATTACCCACCAAGAAACACACCCCCTGCTCCAAAAACATGGACTGGGCTTGATTCATCCGGGGTCATTTTTGTTCCTCCGGTGCAAATCGGCACTCTCTGTGCATCATGTTGCCCAAGGTTGATCTTCCGAGACCTGCCAAACTCAGATGGCTTGAAAAGGTGCCTTATCATTCGGTTGCGAAATCTGCGAAGCCCTGCTAAAAGTGACTAACTTTTATTGGTTTAATTCGGACAACACATTGGTTGGCACAAATTAGAGTCCTAACATCCAAGCAAAATGCACCAAAGATTCAGTTTAACACCTAGTGAAACCACCCGCCTAAGCCCTTAACCACCGGGCCTAAAACCACCAATTGAGAGGGAAGCTGATTTGGGGGCATTTGGGTGAGCCGATTTTTAAGGGGCCCGCTATTGGTTGGTTTTCAAGGAAAACTAAAAGGGCCGAAAGATACCACAACACAACCACGAGTGGTGGAGGTCGGTCCCTGCAAGTTCGCGTTCTCCCCAAAAAAAAGCGCAGAGCTTCTACCAGAAGAGGACCAGACGTGGCCGAGCCTTGGCCAACCATTGCTTCAGGATTGTCGGACTCCCAAAAGCGGGAGGTATGTTTCTACGTCAACTTTGGAGCATCAAAAAGACCAGTTGGGACTGCCTCGGGAAGTGCCCAATCGTGCTCCAGGCGATGGGAAGCTGATGACCCGAGACGAACTATCCTCAGCTAATCGTCACTAGTTACTAGTTGGTTGCTTTGGAGTCCAGTGCTATTGGATGGACAAACTCCTGCACCAGTTGGGATGGAAGCCCTATGAACATTGGGATGAACCACGTACCAACTGGTGCAGGATGTTGTCCATCCACAGAATGGATCCTATTGCTTTAAGTGCTTTTGCCTTGGTTGCTGTTGACCCCCCTGAAAAAGTTTGACTTTTGGGGGTCTAGCGGAAAACCTCCTTGTTTTCCAAAAAAATACAGTCTAAAGATCCAACCCAGCAGCAGTCAAGTTGCTCTGCATCAGCGTAATTGCTCGAGCCGAGTCTCGTGCGCGAGAGGTTCCCTAAAAACAAACCCGAAAAGTCAAAAAGTGCGTTGGCCAAAAAGAGTCCAAACGTTGTATTTGCCTTAAAACGCTCCAATCCCAAGTAACTGAAGTCCCAAACGGAACTCAGGGAGTGAGGCTCAGCGAGCGCACCCGAGGGCCCGAGGGCCCGAGGCCCCGAGTCCTCGTCCCCGGTGTTCTCCAGCGTCAAGGTGTCATTCACCTGGTCCAAAGGTTCTGCCTAAAATGTGGGGTTGATCCACATTACGCGCCCCCCAGTTTTGACCATAAATAACTTTTCCCCTGTGTTTGAACCATCACATACTGTTAGTCCGTTTTTTAGTGGTCCCATGTAAAGGACCTTTTGATCGACCCCTATGTCCGCACTTAGGCGCTACACTTCCGTCACCTCAACAGAGATCCTTACATTATACACCTGAACATTGCCTTGTAAATGGTGGTTTCCTTTTATTTTGGTGGAAAAAACAACATGCTTCAAATGGTTGCAACATGATTTTCTTTTAAAGAGCCCTGCTCAAATTGGCGTTTTGGAGCCGAATCGGTGGAGCTTCGAATCGGGGTGGCTTCCCATCCCCAAACCACTGGGCTCCAAACCAATTGGTTCCTGGTTCAAACAGGGAAGCCTCACGCAAGGCCTCCCATTCAACTGCAAAGTCCGCTGAAATGGCAGCCTAGGGTCAAATATTTGGGAACATGGCCAGACTCCCAAAATGGAAGACAAACACCAAGCAAGGGACCTTCAAGCAAGAGAAACCTGGTCTTTGGTCATGAGCCAAGGGTTCCATTGTGTGATTGCACGAAAGTAGACTTAAACCTCCCTTGCAACAGGATAAAAATTATAACTTTAAGTCTTTGGGGTAAATCAATAAGCCCAGGTGGTATTTTCCACAGCGGACGATCTGGAACTGAATCCGCCGGAGCTCCCCCTGATGCCCCAAACTACCCCTCGCCGATTTCTGGGCCTATCGACCAAATCCATAGCTGTCAGCCGTCAAAGGCTGAATGTGTATGCCTATATATGAACCCCTGGTGTGAACCCCTAGTTTATGGCTTAAGGAGCCGTTGCCTCAATTAACGGGTTCATATATATCATATGGACCTACACAATGAGTCTTGCATGGTGACCTATGGGGTGTTGTCAATCATATGGACCCTAGGACCCACCAGAAAAGCCGCCTGAACAAGGGGCATACCCAAAAAGGGCCCCTATACGTGGTTGCAGTTGACCCCCTACAAAAAGCTTAACTTTTTGGGGGTTTAGTGGAAACCCCCCTTGATTTCCCGAAAAGTTAAAGTCTAAAGATCCAACCCTAGTAGCAGTCAAGTGCACAATCCGCCTTTCAAGCTGGGAAAAGAAACGCAACCAAGTCTCCGTTGGTATTCAAAGAGAAAGAAGGAACCCAAGCATTAGGAGACCAATTCCTATTTGGAGAAAAGTCATAATCAAAACCTGGTACAAGAATGGTCGACCCGGAACCATGTAAAGAATTAAGAAGGCGGCCGCAGCTATTTATGGCTGGGATTCTCCCTTACTACCCTCCAATTACCAGGTTTTGATTGTGGCTCTCAAATGGGTATGCGTCTACATGGGGACCCCCGCCAAATTAAGTGGAAACAAACCGCCACCAAGGCACCTCCGAGGAGTAGGCCGGCAGATCGAACCAGACCTCCATGGGGCTCCAGCTGCATAGCACCTCGATCTCCTCGCCGCCCTCCTCGGGAGGGAAATCGGAGCCCCCGGCTTTGGTGAAGAGAGGCCCCCCGTTGTTTCACACCCAACATGTGTTTGTTTTCTACCAACACAGCAGGTGCTTGTTTGTTTTGTGTGTTGCTTTCTTGGGGCGCTGTTGTTGTTTCTACTTTTGCCCTACCAACACAGATTTGTTTGTTACTGTTGTTATTCCCCAACAGCTGCAAGCTTTGGGGTCTCAGCCCAGATAGGCTCCGGGGTGGTCCGGGGTGGCCCTGAGGTAAGGTTCCACGAGGGTTCCACCAGGGTTCCACCAGGGTTCCACCAGGGTTCCACCAGGGTCCCACGAGGTTCTGCGAGGGCTGCGGGGTGGTGCGAGCACTAACAAAAAAAGAGCACCGCATGCTGTTGGGGATATCACCTGAGCTTATCTTTGATTATTAGTTTTATTATATGTTTTCTTTTTTTTTCCGGCGCAGCTGTTTCAACACCAAAATTGTGACCTGTCAAGTAGGGAACCACCTCAAAAGTGGTTGGACGTGAATCCCCACGAAATGATGTGCACCAAAGGGTCCCTAATTAAAAATTAAGCTCATATATATATATATATATATATATGTAAGGGAGTTTCTGAAAACAACCTATAACCTCCCTTTGGCTGGAGTTTAGATGCATATCCAAAGCAAAAAACACATGTCAGAGGCCAACCATTGTGACCATTCCCGTGTTACGCCCGAAATGCAAAATGAGCTTGTAGCCTCCAAAATTCAGTCGCCATGTGCCGAACTCCCTGTCATCAATCATCGTTTTCTCCACGAAAAAAGCAACCAATTCAGGGAAACCAAAAGGCAAGGCAAAGATCAAAGTTGGGCAACTGAGATTTGCATTTTGCAGAAACCCAAAGATTCGCCACCCCAAGGGGTCTTCCCATGGCACATTTGTATTGTGGGTGATCAGCCCGCTTTTACACAGATAAATCACCAGCTGCAATAATCTGCTGAGTTTAGAGTGAGAGAACTTCATGGACTTCAGTGGACCTCTAAAGCTAAAAAAAAAAAAAAAAAAAACTGTCCAGAATGGACCATGCTTGTTGGCATGGGGGCGGTGTGTTCCGTGTTGACTGGAGCTTATGTGTTCTGTAGGTTAAATGCAATATACATGTATATCTATCTATCCTCTGGGACAGCCAAATATAGGATTAGGAGATTTGGTGGGGGTGTCGCACGTAGGGAGTCGTTTCCTTCTTTCTTTCTTTTCTCTCTCTTTCTTTCTTTCTTTCTTTCTTTTTGCGGGGAGGGGGGAGAACATCCCCCCCTAAAAACCGCGCCTCCCCTTGCTTCCGGATGGATTCGGATAGCGCCTCACCGCTCGTTCGTTCGAGGCGCCAGGCGCTGCAGAAGTTGGAGGCCCTGTGCCTTGGAGATCAAATACCCCGCGATCCTCGCAGCGGCACGTCCGTGGAGCCATCCGCTGGCAACCCCGTTTTGATCGGGGGCCACCTCCCGGGAGGCCGTCAAAATAATATGCCGATTTTGGGCATTTACCACAAAAATAATAAAGTCTTTCCAAAAAGAATAAAGTCCAGGAACTTAGGAAGTGAGTTTTAGAATCGCTTCGAACAAGGGGGCCGGACCAATTTTCTTTTGGATACTCGCATCGGCCTTTGCGCCCTACGCTGCAGAAGGAGCCCGGCCTCACCAGTGGATTGGACAAAAAAGGAACTACACTTGTGGTTGAAAAAGGAACAGCACACATGATTTGGGTTTGTTTCAAGACAAGGGAACCCCATTTCTTGTTGGTTTCTCTTTAAACCAACAAAAGGCACGAAGCGTCGGAGAAAAAAAACACTGTGCTTACCAACGAGAACCTGTGTTTTGTTCAACCTCTAACAAACAGTTCCCAATACTTCCGCTGTGAACACCACACCAAAAGAACCCCAAATTTTGATTTTGACACATCAGTTTCATATACCTTGGGATTTCCTATTTCTCAAAAGTCCGAACTTTCAGATTGCCACGAAAATGGTCACCCAAAACGTGACAATTAATCAAATTTTAAAACTATGCGGCTTTCCGATTTTGATAACACCCAGAGCCGATAGCTGCTCAAAACTCCTTGGCCAATGGCCACGGTTTCCATAAAGGATTCTTCAAATACTGATGGATGATTAAGGGTCCTTGCCAGTTGGATGAGCGACCCTGACACAGGAAAGGAACCGGTCTCTCGATCACGGCACACATGTTTCACACAAATGGAGACACCTGGCCACTAAAGGATGAATTACCGTCCAAGTATCAGCTGCCCTCTTTGGTGGTTTGCAGCCGTTGGTACCTTCCAACCAGTTGGCTTCACAAAGAACTGGGGACTTCTGCCTTCAACCTCCCCCAGGAAAAGGAACCGGTCTGTTGACCAACCTCACCCACCCGCCCCGCCCCACCCCACCCCACCCCCCCCCCTCACCCGATACCCCTCCTGGGGTTGGGGAAGGGCCCGGCAATGGCCAGCACCGCGGTGGACTGCACGTCCACAGTGTCATAGATCAGCACCGCTTCGGCCCCCGCCTTCAATCCGAGTCGCTCGCCGGGTTTTCACTTTTCGCTCCCCAGAAACGGGCGCGAAGGGGGGTGGTTTTCGTTTGGGAGTGCCGTGTTTTGGAAGTTTAAGGGAAACCACCTTTCTTTGGAGGGTGCCAGTTTTGTTGGAGCTGTTTGAGGGAAACCAGAAACTTTTGTTTGGGGGGTGATTTTTTGTAGTTGTATTTATGTTTTTGTATTTTGCATTGTTTGAAGGAAACCAAAACCACAATTTGAAAGAAAAGACACACTTTGGGGTCACGGTTATCTTTTCTGAGGGAAACCAAAACCAGCCTCTCTTGTCTTTTCTTTTTTTTGGGGGGGGGTTAAAACAGACACAACCCTTTGGTGGATATCATGTAGGCGGGGATTCATGTCCACCAACCACATTTGAGCGGGTTCTCTATGGAAAATCAGGTCATTTGGGTGTGGGCTAAAATAGTGGTTTGATCCCCGATAAAATCAGTTTCGGGTTCCCCCCATGCAAAGGAAAGGTAGCCTCCCAAACAGGACAAACCACATTCTCACTTGAACAATGCTTCAAGGTCCCTATTGTGTTCGGCCCCAAAATGACCATGCGTAACTTCTCACATGTGGTGAAAGTCATTTCCAAAATGCTCACCCCATGCAAAGAACCTTTGGATCAACCCCCAAACAAAATGAACTGGGGTGCTCAAAATGGAGGGTTGGCCAAGCCCAATCCTCAATCCCTGCGCAAAAACCACACCCAATGGCAAAGGATTACGGATTGATACGGATTGCCTCAGAATAGCCTGGATGAAGGAAATGTTTATAGGGGTAAGCCGCAGATTCTCGTCCATGCTTCCATTTACCGATCGGGCAACTTGGGGCGACCCTATTTTTGATAACCACTGCCAAAACATAAACCTGCTATCACCTGATTTAAACGGCTTCTGCCTCAGGTTTTATCGGGACACCCACTACAAATGGCACCCAGAATTAAGGATTGCCCCTGAACAGCCCAGATGAAGGACAAGTTAAACCGATGAAACCTGGGCCAAACCGGACGTTTCCGGGTTCTGTCACCCTGCCCATGGCCTCTTCGGCAAGTACCGCCTTCCAGGAGAAGTAGCAGCCTCCTCGCAAAGGCATAGGAAGCTCATGGGTTTGTGTTCTTGTATGTTTCTAGGGGTTGATTCCGATTCCGGTCTCTTCCACCACCACTATTTTCAAAAACCTGCTGTTTTTTCCAGGGTTCTGATGGTTTTCTGAAAAGAAGGATCCCTGGAAAGAATGGGGAAGTGTCCCCTAAAAACTCAAAAAAAGTAGTAGCCAAACCTGTTATTTGGCACCAAAATGCTCCAAACCTCAAAAGTGACTCAAGTCCAGAGACTCAGGAAGTGAGACACAACCGCTAACTGTTCTTTGGGGGTCGGATCCCCTATTTTCAACCCTCCCTTTTTTGACCAAAATGATCACTCTTCGCTTGTAGAAAGGGGGCTGATATTCTGCCAGTGGGGCTTGAAGGAATAGCAATTTCGAGACATAGGAAGTGTGTGTGTGTGTGTGTTTCTAGGGTTTCCCTTTCTGATTTCCATTCGAACAACCGCCAAAAGGGTACCAAGTCTTCCCCATGCGAACCCGAACCCTGGTTCATTGCTTCACTAACCGCTGAAAGACATGCAGCGATGGGTACTCGACAGGCATTTAAAACACTTTGGAGTTGGTCTCCAACGTCATCCCCTGCCTGGCCCATAATCCATTTCCGCTTCAGCAACTCCGTCAAAAGGAACTCGGGGCTGCCCCGAAACGACTGAATGAATTGGATGGCGTTGCGGGCTCTCTTTAAAACCAAACTCAGTCTTGAATGGAGGGAGTCGACTTGTAATTGTCTATTTAGCCCCTTACACTACCCATGTGTTCTGTCCTGCGAAAAACACACACTGAAACAACCGCCGGGGTTGTTTCAAGAACCAACACTGTCGCCGGCGCCTCGCTGGAGCAGCGCGATGGTGCCCGCGAAGTAGTCGGCCGGATGCTTCCCGCAGCCCTGGCCGCACGGAGTTGTGCGGGAGTCCGTGAAAAGGATCCGAAAACGGATACCCGTGTCCACGGCCAGCCGTGGAACCCACCGGCGCATCCTTTTTAAGGGAAAGTCGCGTCCAAACCAGGGTCCCGAAAAGTCAGGCTCCACGTGAGTGGACAGGAGGGTAAATCCAATGCAGGATCCATGGGTGAAACAACCCCCTGGTGCCCTTCAAAGTCGCTTCCGACAAGTGAGGGGCCGCAAACAAATAGCCGCACGTTCTGCTTGCCAAATGATCGAAACCCTAAAAGTAGAAAGTCCACACTAAAAAAAAGTGAGTCAGGGGGAACAAATAGGTGTTTCAACTGGCTTGGGAACTACCCCTGTCCAAAAGGCGTCCCCGATCTACAAAACCAAAACGGAGGTTGTTTGAACAATAGGTCTTTACACATGTGTAAATCCGCAAAAGGAAAGCCAAACGCAGGATGCCGAAAGAGGGTCAAACACTTGGCCCAACCTTAAGGTCCGATTGAAACAACTTGTTGACCCGGGTGGATTCGCCCCAAAGGCAGGAAGTTGGTTTACGCAACTTATGTCCCGAACGTCCAACTCAGCAGACTGGATGCTTGAAATCCCGGATGACAGACTCATGGTCCAAGTGCGGTAAATTAACATGAGAGAGCACACACGGTGCTGGGAAAGCGGCAGTGCAAGTGACGTACAGCCAACACGATTCAAGAAATGAGTCACAATCAATACTGATCGGTATTACGCGCGGCACCCGTCTTTCTGGTTGAGAGTATCCCTGAACCTTCATCAATCCGGAGTGTATTGCCGTTCATATGGGTGTCTGGCTTTGGGTTGCGCATCCCCCCCCCCTCCCAAAAAAACACAAAAAAACATAAACCAAAAAATAAAAACATCCCTCAACCTTCATCAATCCCCGGGTTTTGATTGTGGTTCAAATGGTTGTGTTTGCCCCCCTCACAAATTGGCTTTGGTTTCCCTTTTGGTTCTCTTTAGGCCAAGCCCAAAATCCTCCCTCCCCGCCACATGTTTGTTGCGCGCCGCGGCTCAGCTGGCGTTTTCCGATGGCTGCAGCGGCCCGGCCCGCGGCCCCCGCCTGGCGCTGGTCGTTCGGCGGCGCCTTGAGCGGCGCCGAAACCTGCCTTGGCCGCCCAGCGCCTCGCGGGTTGGTGCGGCAAGCGGTCGACAACACCCGGTTGCTACGGTGGATGGTGCACCCACGAAAGTTGAAGCCATGGGTTGAAACCACGTTTGGTTTGGTAATTATTTGCAGGGAATCAAAATTTGTAGACCGAAACTGGACAAACTAGATGGGAAGCCTACTGGTAAACGGGTGGCCTAAAAATCCATCTAAAGCAGTGGAACCCGTCTATTTCTAGCAAGCCGATCAAAAGGACACCTAGGGAAGGGCCATTTGCTCAAACGGTCTCTTACACCGTTTGGACCAGCCATGTTGTTGGGCAATCGCAAAGCCCAAACCTCACACACAAAAAAAAAAAACCTAAAAGCAGCAGCCTGGATAGCTCCCCTTTGCCGAGCCACAATGAAACCCAAACCAACCCAAGACCTGCGCTCACTAAGATCTCAGGCCCAAAACTCAGCCCAACCCGTGCCACTCGCAACTGCCGAATCCGCTCCAATAGGCGCAGGCCCAAGTGAGGCCGGAGATGCTGGGGAGGTGGCCAACCAACCAACCAACCAACCAACCAACCAACCAACCAACCAACCAGCCAGCCAGCCAGCCAGCCAGCCAGCCAGCCAGCCAGCAAACCAGTCAAAGGAACTGCCATCATTGTCATGGGGCCACAACCAACTCCCTTGTCGGGTCGCAAAAGTTTGCCCAGACCCGTACCAACTTGTTGCCAGTTGGGGTGTGGTCTTTGACGTTCCCGGGTGGTCCGAATCTAGGCCGCCGGATCTAGTCCCGGAAATGCGTGAATATTCATATATATATATATATATATATATATGCGCACATATATATATATGTATGGGCCTGTCTCCGGATAAAGAGGACCCCAAAACAAAGTGCTTTCCTTTTAATTTCCCTTTAGAGCGGCCACAAATGGGTAACCTCCCAGGCTCCCAGGTTGCTAGTATTGGTTTTGGCCACTCCACCTGCCAAAAAAAAACAAAAACGTTTACTCAGACAAACACGGACCCCCCCGTTTAGGGTTTAGGGTTTAGGGGAAAAAACAAAAAACAAGGTAGAATCTCCTTTTTGAGGGGCCGCTTGTTTTGGTTCTCCCAAGACTCGTTGGGGTACAAGTTCTCTCGCATTCATTTCAGAGGTCTTCTTGTTGGATGGACCAAGTCCTGCCCCAGTTTCCAAAAGGCTTGCTGATGTTCATGGGTATAAACCTCTTATAAAGTGGAAACCAGGGAAGCCAAGGGGTATGAACAAGGGGTATGTACTGCCCTTAGACAGTTGAGATGAATAAAGCCCAACTGAGTCGTAATCAAAGCCTGGCACAAAAAATGGTGCACCCAGAACCATGTAAAGAACTAAGAAGGCGGATATCGGCAGCTATTTATGGCTGGGATCGTCCCCTACTAACCTTCATCAATCCCCGGGATTTGAGGACGTGGCTCAACTGGTTGCGTCGCTCCCTTTTCCCCGCTCCTTCGGAGGTATCGGTGAGCAGAACCTCCCACTCAGCGGTGGCGCAGGGCGCAAAATAGCTCGGGGCCCTACCGGCGCCCGCGGTGACCTGGGCAATGGATGGACCCAACAAGGGGAACGGGGCGCCCTATGCGGTGAATGGTTTCCCCAGTGTTTTTTGCTTTTTACTTTTTACTTTTAGTGGTTTAATGGAAAACCCATGAGTTGGCAAAAACTTACAGTCCTAACATCCAAGCAACATGCACCAAAGCTGTGAGGGGTTGCAAAATCCCGCACCGCGCCACGAACTGAAACCATGGTTGAATCCATCACTTGCGTGAACCATCATTGCAGTTTCCCGTCCATCTGCAGTATGGTGTGAATGTTAAGGGGTCCTGGACCCTTTGGTACGTAGATTTGATGTGATGTCTAGTCGGTTGGCTTCCATACCACTGTTCATGTGGTTCCGCATTAAACGTCATAGCTATTTCCCCCCCCCCAAACAGCACTACCAAGCGAAAATCACTTACAGGGGCGGTGTTATGTCGAACCAAACCAAAACTAACGGACACCGGAAGGTGTGTCTTTCTTTTTGTAGGGGGCCCGCTGCAGTGTCCTTTTGATTCCCATTAACTCCACCAAATTCGAGTACCCTCAACAAACGCCACCCCCATATTCTGAAACGCAAATGGAAGCTGCTGTTTTCCCTTTAAACCCACATTCGAGCACCCTCAAAAAAAGACACACCCATATTCTGAAACGCCAATGGAAGGAACACGTAGCCTCAAAAAACAGCAACACGCCCATGGAAGGAATCACAGGAAGCAACTGGAGGTCTGAGCCCAAGGACACGGGAAGGAGTTGGGCCTAGAATGCGGCGCCCACCTTGTCACACGCGAGGGTCGCCAGAGCCGCGAGCCAACAACTCGAACTTGGCGACCAGTGGTGTTTTTTGCGGCGCCGGTTCCTTGAGGTGTCACCTTTGCAAGAAGCAACGTCAGGGAAATGCAACAATCGCTCCAGCACATGCTTGCTTGTGCTGTTGGCGAGTTTGGTCCAGTTCCCTCACTTCCTGAGAGGATGGCAAAAGGTCTGGATGTTCTGTTTTCCGATGAACAGGGCTTTAAAGGCCAAACTGGTTAGAGCTCAGAAACCGTGCTCCGTTTCCAAACGGTCTAGTTCGGCGGACGAGTTCCGACATGAAAACCTTTTGGTGGGGAACTTCGCCAAAGCTCTTTCAGCCATCGTTCTTCTCAAAAACCAGATCCGTTTCCCCAGTGGTTGTTTTCTAGAAAGAAAGATCCGTTTCCACAAGGGGTTGTTTTCTAGAAAGATTCGGATCCCTGGATTCAGAATGGAAATGGAAGTTACCCCTAGAAAAGCATGCACGACTCACTCAGTTGTCCAGTCACAGTTGGTCCAAAGTCGCACCAAATCGCTAATTTGTGCTTGAGACTGTGTCTCTGTTTCTCCTCGTTCCTCCGTTTGTGTTTCTACTTCTGGTTGGGGTACAGTATGTGTGTGTGTGGGTGTGTTTGTTTTGAGGGTACCCTTTCCAGTTTTGCTCAAAGGAAAAACCCAAAGCGAAACCCACTATAAAGTGTGAGGGCCCCCTATTTGGACACCCCGTTGGGGTGTTCCCGCATCTTCTGGCAGAGCCACCTCACCGCAACCACTCCACTTGTCCGTGGACAGTTCTGGCTCCGCCAGAACGAAAGCAACCAGAAGCCATGGCCACAGTCGCATTCCTAGTCCTAAAATGGTGTCCGCAAAAATCAAGCTGGCTTGATTTGACTACATGAACAAGCCGAAAACCCGTATGAAGAACTTGAGATGTTGAAACACGAAGGAGCCCGGGTTCCTATCTTGCTTGCAAAATGCTGCAAATACAACCAGCCGTATGCGGGAGATTTGGGCACCTGTGGATTCATTTGGCACCGTGACCGCTGCGCTGGCGGGTCCTTCTACATCCAAAAAAAATAGCTTCGGACGCACTCTTGTAATTTGTCCCAGTGCAACTCACGCGCAACATTGAAGCTCCCGAAACGAAAGGTGTCCCTGTGGCTTGCCTATAAACCCTGGATTAACAAAATGGGGTCTCACTTGACCGGATTGGTAAAAAACAAAAGCCCCTTGGACAAAGTTTGAGCGGATTTATCAAACAAAAAGCCCCGTGGACGTGTAGTTTGCCACTCGAATGATCTTCCCGAAAGTGAGTTCAGGTTTTCAGGTAAATGAGCGGCAAAGGAAACATATTCCATGGGACTCTCTGATTCGACCCCAACAAATTCACCAACGCCAACCACACCAAGTCACCGTCCATGCGCCGAAGTGTACCGGAGCTGGACACCAATAGTTAGAGACAAGGGGATGCCCCAACACTCATCCAGTTGGATGGACCCCCAGAAGTTAGATAAGGGGACCCAAAACTCATCCAGGATGATCCCAAGCGGTTGGGTGATTTCTTATTTCTGATTTTTCAATTGGCCCAAGAACCAGATCCGGTCATATGCTCTGACAAAGAAGCCCGTTGAATGCCGAAGGCCGACCAGCGACGGGTTTTTGGAGAGACGCGTTCGCCCCGCGTTTCACCCAGGCGGTTCAAACAAAACCCGCCGGAAACCGAACAAGATCCCCTTCTTGGGGGTCCTCATAGGTGGACAAAACGGAAAACAAAAATGGCCCTGGTAAATGAAACAAGCCATCTCAACCAGTGCCTTCTAATATTTGTTTTTACTTTTTAACCAGGCTCGCCTAAAAAGCACACCTCTGGTCCTCATTTTGACCAGATCCACTTAAGAGAAGCTCTGCCACACGTGTTTTTTGCCGAAGCCACTTGGTCTGTGCGTGGCCCAAGGACTGTCAACCTGGACCTTGAAGTGGCCCCTTGTTGTGGCCTTTGTACCCCTTGTTTGTGGTCAAAGGGTTTACGGTTTAGGGTTTAGGGGTAAGGATGTTAAGGCACAGCACATTGGCTCTTGGGTCCAGGAAGTTGGTCTTTTGGCCTTTCGCCAGAAGCAAAAAAGGCCCCAATCCGAATTGCCAGCATGGTACGGACCAAATAATGTCCGTATAGGACACTTTTGCAAGAGTTCCACGTTTGGGCTTTCCTCTTTGCCAGGCATTGGTCAGAAAACACAAAGACTGTTTTGAGGAGCCACTGAATTGATCCAAACCCAAACAATTGAAAAGTCCAGGAACATAGGGAGTGAGTGGGCCTGTTAGTTAACTCCACAAACATGAACACAAGGGCGTGTGCCCTTCATGACGTTGATCTCGGATTAATCAACCTGGCAAATCAAAAAAGGCGGCTCCCCAAAAAAGTGATCCGACTCCCAATAGAGGGAAGTGAGCAAACCTTGACCCCAGACCCTAATCCAAGACGGTAGGATGGGCATTCCTTGGAACCTTGATATACCGCCAGGCGCGCAAAAACGAACACCCACCTGGCAGCGAAGGCAGCCAGCCCACACAAGGCTCCTTGGCTCGAATCGTCGCGAGCGCCCAATGCCCATTTCAGGTGCTGACGAGCCAACGATACCAAAGTGAATGATCCCCCTTGACACAATATCACTGGCACCAGGTTTGACAAGCGGTTCGTACAATGGGAAACCCAAGGAGATTTGGTCATCGTTTCAAGGCTAGGACAGGCAATATAAGTTTACAGTCGTTTACAGCTCGGCTGCCACCGCGTACGTTTGCCTCGGAGCAACCCTGGTGGCTTAAACAGGAGTTCCCCACCAATTTCGGGTCGTCTAGACTTGGTTGAGGCAATGACCCCCATGGACCATTGCCTCCTTTCTGAGAACCTTCAACTTGCATAGGTGACCTGTTGGACAAAATAGATGGCCCCGGAATAAAGCCAATTTAAAGCAGTAGAACCCATCTATATCCTCCATTCGCGTAGGCCCTCTGGAAAACAACATAATATGTTCAATAGTGATAAATTCCCTTTGAAGCCAACTGGGACGAAATCCTGAACCACTTGGGACTCAATGAAGAACAAACCACCTACAACTAGGCCAACCGGATTTCGTCCCATCCACTTGGAAACCATGATTGATGAATTGATACCCCTGTTTGTTGGTATTTACAGGGTAATCATCAGAAACCAGGGTTTCTGGACGGTGGTGCGAAACGGATTTCCCATTTCCATCCACACCACGGACACCCCGACTGTCCCAGCCGCTCCGCTCCTCTGGCTGACCCCTCATCGCGGCTCCGCGTCCGCCTCCCTTCGCGCGACGCCGCGGCTCGCAGCGGCTCCCTTAAGGCGCTTCTTACGGGAAGCGAAGGCTCAAGCGGCAGAAGGGAAGGCTCCATGGCAGAGACGCGCAGGAAACCTCTGGATCTAGTTCCAAACTGTCCAATGGAACACGTCAACTATCATCCAACTGATACGAGGTACCATTCATGCAGGTGAGGCAACATAGGAGTTCCAAACGACGAACCCTAAGCCACTTCAACAACAAACTACATAGTTCTCGATCACTTGGGTGTCCTTTAACAGCATCCGACCAAGGGTACCATTACCATTAGAAACATGCTGCTCTGCGAATGGACGGCTTTTGTGCAGGCTGCAGGCATTCGCCTTCGATGGAAGCGAAGCTTGACGCCTGCAAAAAATTGGCTAGGGTCAAGTGGGTGAGAGAGGGTGAGAGCCTGACAACCAAATGGCTTTGGTCTTCCTTTTGGTTAGAGCCTGACAATGGCGTTGGTCTTCCTTTTGTGTTTTTTCTCTTTGCAGTGCTCAAAAACAAAAGAAAAAGAGGCTAGAAACAAGGTTCCAAGCTACGCGCATGTTCAGGATCCCATCCAGCCGCGTAGATCGGAGCTTACCAAAACCTGGAGGCGACTAACCTGCGCAACACGCAAACTGCCGCTTTTCGAAAAGTGGCGTGTGCCATGGTCACAACATCCCCGCCGTTCAACCGCGCACGGGACAAAAAAAGCGCGGCCGTTCTGTTGGTTGAGGTTAACGGGAAACCCTTCAGAAGAAGGATCATGGATGCCTCAGGGCAACTGGGACGATTACACGCAGTACTTGAGTCATAATCAAAATCGATCGGTACTAGAATCATATGGCTGTGGGTCAAAACCAATGGTACCATCTTGGGGTAGCTGCACCACCCATGTTAGTCTATTTTTGTGGGGATTGGGATGTTCACTGGGGGTGCGGGATTTTGACCCATGGCCATATGCAGTACTTGATCCTCTGGTTGATGGCCATGTTTATTGCCCGACACTATGATAAGAGTGTTGCTGCTTGACTCGACCCGTGCTATCAAGGGCACTCGCTCTTCCTGAATCGTGGAAGCAAACTCATGCTGCTCAGGATATAGGATAATGCGTCATCGACCAAGAGCTTGTCATAGTGTTCATGCTTGTTGGCCAGAGTTGCTTTAATACAAACACACACACTCACAGCCTTCATAGTGTTCCCTATACCAACACAATAAAAATCCCTTGTTTCACAATTATGCAAGCAACACTAATATGGAACTTGGAAACCTTTCATGCGCACAAGGGCCGTTGTTTTCTTACAAGAAGCTGCCATGGACAGGTACACCTGACCCCCTACCTCACTCTCGAATGTGCTACATGAACCAAGAACCGAGCATGGCAAAACATGAAAACACCCAGGTTCCTCAACTACAGCCTGCCAAAAACTCGCAGGGAAACCTCATGAAACGTGGTGTTCCAAGATCCGCGGGTGGTTCGGTTCAATGGAGAATCCAAATGGGTGTGATTTGAGGCTGAGTACCCTGTTCACCTGTGAATGAAACCACAAGGACAAACACAATGTCTTGCTGGCTCTCAGGGAATGAGTTGGAATGACGCCTATAAGCCATCCATTTCCTTTTTTGGGAATCCCCAAACGGTTCATTGCCCGGACTCGGTCATTCACCCATCGCAGCAAGATTTTTCTTGGGCCGCTTTTGACATACTTAACCATCTCTACTCTTAGGTTGCTAAAAACTGACTGTTTTTTGCAGACCCCCAGTAAAAATGAACAGAACCAAACAACTAAAAAACCAAAACATATGGCAAGAACAGTGAAGCTAAATAGCTTAAAACAAACTCCCAGCCGGGCGTTCGGATCGAACACCAGCCGAAAACGCAGTTAATATCGCAAACCAAAATGAACATCGCCGCCCTTCCCGGCGGAGGTGAGAGAGATTTCTGGTTTCTTTGGGGTTCCTGAGTTTCTGAAGGTACTTCTTGAACAGTTGCAAACAACACAGCTGGTGGCTTTATGGGCCCAATCCACTCAGCGACTCAGGAAGTGAGTAGTCGGGTGCCCTCTGAACAATGAAATACTAAAATCGCACCAAAAGTCAATCAGGATACCACAACAAACAACCACAAAGCATACCAAGCACCTTGAAGTTACTTCTGGAGCATTGTGCTAGCATGAACGCCTCATCCAAAAGACGTCCTGGTCTCTTTGTAGTTGTGTTTTCTGATACGTGACCCTGCACCTAACCCCTGCCGTGGCAATCTTGGTATCCCCCACGCCCCCTTCTTGTGCTAGGTACTTTCAGGGGCCGCAAGAAAGGAAACGAGGGCAGCTCTTCAGGCAGTGCCGTGTCTCAGGCCATTCTGGACCTTGGAACTTTGAGAAAAACGGCCAAGGCTTGGTCGACGCAAAGAACGCCGGTTTCACAACAGACCCTGCCCGTCGCTCTCTTTTTTTTGAGAAACTTGCTGGCGCGATGGGTAGGGAGTGACCCAGGTTGGGAAAGAACCTAGACGGGGCTGTGGGAAATGATTACTTCTGTGATTCAACTAAAAGGGTCTCCCAAAGACTAAACCCCCCATATAAAGAGGGGAATCCCTTGTATCGCAGAAGTGGGGGATAAACCCCTTGATCCCACAACCCTGAACCTAGGGATTCCCGGAAAGGAAACCACAAGGGTTAAAAGGGGTCCTTCCCTCATTCCCTGAGCACCGGCTTGGAAACTCCCCGTAAACTCGGTTGGCCTCACCATGCTCCACGGTTTGCCAGCGATTGAACAAAGTCTGACATGGTCAGGCTTCCTTATATGTCCGCTTTGACCAAGAGAGAGACGCATTTCAACTTGGCCCAAAAAGGGAAGAATACATCCAACATGGACAAGTAAGGCCCCCTGATTTTCCAACAGGTGCAAGGCCTGCTTCGGTGAAACAGTCACCAAGAAGTAGGGGGATCTGAAAACAAGTTCACATTGCATCTGCGTGTAGTTTCTTTGAGGGACAGTCGACAATCTCAAGAAGGGTACCATCATGCAAACATACACAGGTTGGCTTATATGGAGGGAAAAAAGATAGGGCATTCCAGCTCTCACTGTCACAGAGAAGTCTCTCCAAGAGCTGTCCATCCCTCTCCACCTCTTCACCGGGTACCCTCATACAAAAGCAAACAGCTTTGGCTTTCTTTGGCCATCAAAGTCGACGAGAAAACCTGGCAACCCCCCTGCGCACATCGCAGCTTTCTCGTGAAACCGTTCATCTTTGCCCCGGCTGCGCAGCCGGGTAGCGGCCTGTCCCTAACTTAAGCCGGCTGTACAACGACAGAGGGCCTGCGCAAGGGAAGCTCTACTTGCGAAGCTGCAAGATGGAGGGGTGGAGAGGTTGGAGGGGTGGGGTGGTGGGGTTGGTGGGGTTAGTCTGGCTGGCGAATGAGCCAGTGCAAACAAACACGAATCGAGCCATCCAGCCTTGAACGTTTTCCAAGTAAGATGCCGCAATGAAGCCTGCAACCAACTGTCAGCAATCTCTTGAGGAGTTGGGATGAATCTGAAAGGAAATCAGCTTCTGAGATGGTTTCGTCAGTTCCTTGAAAACACCCAAAATGAAATCTTAAAGGAACAAAGCCGACTTTGCCACCATTCATGCAGTGGCGAAGAAAGGCAGGTGTATCAAACTCACGGACATCTGTTGGAAAAGGATTTTCTTCGTGACTTTTCTGAGGTGGTAACCCCCTCCTCAGGCTGGCTCTTAGGAAGTGCTTCTCGGGAGCTGTTAGGGAGAGAGGCTCAAGCGATAAAGTGGTCTTAATTACTATGGATGGACGAAATCCTGCACCACCCAAGAAACCCAAGGATTCGATTCCCGGTAAATACCAACAAAAAAATGGTATTCAATGGTTTGCACGTGGTGCGAGAAGCGGATTTTGCAACCATCCGCAGTAGGAAACGCTGGCGAGGAAGACACTTCCGGAACCCTGGGGAGCTTATATAGGAGTCACAAAGGGGACGGGGACGGGGTGGAGGGGGTGGACGGGGGGGGGGGTTACCAATTCATGCAATTTCTAGAGCGACGAATTCCAAAAGGGCACTTCCTGGACTGGCGACAAGTGCTTCCCAACACCGACGATCAAGTCCGAAACGGAACTCAGGGAGCGAGATTCTCCATGTTCTAAACAAGCGAAGACTGGAAACGCGCCGTTTCGCCCTCTGCCGGACCGGCAGTCTGCCCAAATGCCCGAACGCCGAATGCCCGGACCTCACTTGAGCCAATTGGCCTCAGAAGGACCTTGGCACAAGGAGCTGGTTTTTCAGCACTTTCAGTGGCAAAGCCCACTTCCATACCTCGTGTGTCCAGGAATTGTTGTTTGATTGAAGCATATGACTTGTTTCCTTTGGTTGATTTTCAAGGGACAGGTTGATGTGGAAGGAACACCCACCCCAAAACAGGAAAGCCAGGCTCCTCTCACAGACCTGTACTCTCCCTATATAGTTATTCCTCTAGCATCACTCCAAAGAAAGCTCCCTTTCTTCCTCGGCCCGAAAATAATGATGTTTGACACACCCTCCAAAGACTTCTATGGCGTCCGAAGCCAAGGGGCCGATGACGAAGTGCTGGTTGTGTTTCATCTCGAAGGTCTTGCCGTTGAAGCTCACCTGCGCTCAAAATCAAGTACCTGGAGTCTCCATGACCCTTTAAACCTGGGGTCATTACCCAAAATAATAGGGTCATGGGCCCATTCTCTTAAAGGGTCATGGAGAGTCTAGGTAGCCGAGTCCTCGCGCCTCACTCCCCTCCGACCGACATTGGCTCCCAGCGCATTTTAACCGAACATGCACTTCCAGATCTGGAAGCTAAACTGAAGGCGGAGGACGCGTTGATACCGGACACAACGAGCGAGGAACAACGACGCTTTCGATCAGCCCTGAGGTTTCGAGCTCACACCCGAGGTGCGGTCCATCACAACGGCAACCTTTGCGCGGGTAGCGTTTGTTTGCGGCAAGCACATTCTTGGGGTGCACCGGGCTTGACGCTAGCCCGGTGTACTGGTCGCCAGCGGCAAAAGAGGTGAACTACTTGCGCAGGGTTTGCTGGCTGTTGTGATGTTTAAAACCATGTGTTCAAACATGGTGAAGCAGGTATCCCCATGAAGCGCTGCCAACTTGGTCTCAGGCCTCCTGTTGGCCCTTTCAAGGTGGCATGGTTTCAAAGGGTTTGGCTACAGGAAGATCTTACGGAAATGGCCCCAAACGCCCAAAGTAAGCTGTTTTCCTGTAGAATTTCCTGTAACCCAAGCCTTTGATGGCTCTTTGAGGCAAGCCCTGCCTTAACCCCGCTGCCGTTGAAGCGGGTGAGGCCCTGCAAGTCGTAGGTCTGCAAGTACCTGCATCCCTTCCCTCGCGAACGAGTGGATGGGCCGAACGCAAAAAACACACTTTGGTTTGCATGATCCAAACCAAGTTACTAACTCGGGAAGCCGGGTCTTCCAATGGAACTACGCAGAGCTCTAAGAGGTCGCAATCGGGAAAGAGGCACTCCATTTGTAGGACTTGCGAAGGGTCAAGGAGGAGGACTTCACATTTGCATAAGCCCCTTTAGTTGATGAAACGCAGCTTCTCAATTGAGCTTGGAAACGAAATGTACACATACCCGAGCTTAGCACCACGTAAAAAATGCTTCACCACACCGAGTTTGTTCCACCCACATTCGGGCACTTCGCCATTCAAGAAAACCAGAAAGCTGCGTCTCCATTTCATTTGTAGGAACCGCCCCACAAGGCACGTGTCCCCTCAAATTAACTCCGGCAGGACAAACCCGTGAACAACTGGCAATGAAAGGGTCATGCTGACCCCGTATTGCTGATTCCCCACTAAACCCAGGGACACCCCCCATGAATAAACTGGGGTTGATTGATATGGGGTCAACCTTAACCAGTGCAGCATATCCTCTCGCCGTGGAAGCTGCCAGGTCCTAATAGCAGATGGAGGGGGCAACGGGATGGAGGGCCTGGCTTCCAAGAAGCCCCCAACGAGTCCAAGCTTTCTGGTCGTCACTAAGCCGGTCCCACCCAAAAAGTGACCAAAGTCCGCAACGCAGGAAGCGAGTATAATGGAGGGTGTGAAAAACCCAAAAGTGACCTATACACCCTGTCTTTACCACCAATGCTTCGCAACAACTGGGGAAGTCCAGAGAAGGGAGCAAGTTCAGCCGCATGTCTCTAATCGAAGGGTGCTGGCATCTGGTTTCCTTTCGGAACCCAAGCGAGGTACCCGGCCATTGGGCTTCCGGACTCTCTGCAAGCGGCCTCCGCCGCGGGATCCGCGTTGGTGAGCTCCTGGCGGAAGCAGATCGCGCCCAGGTCGCCAAGCGTTCAAAACAGCTCGGCCGTTCTGTTGGTTGAGGTGAACGGGGAACCCTGCCCAAGGAACATGAATGCCCAGAGGGGCAACTGGGATGACTACAGCACTTGAGTCATAAACAAAATCGGTGCTAGAATCATATGACCATGGGTCGAAATTCCGGTTACCCCCCAGTGAACATCCCAATCCAACCACTAAAATCTCGACTAATTTGGGTGGTGAATTCACCTACCCCAAAATGGGATCCCATTGGTTTTGACCCACAGCCATATGTACAAATACCCTAAGTAACAAGCACATACCGCAAGAGGGAAACCCTCTGCTTTACTGTCATTTATCAGGCTGCTGTGGGATCGGCTGTACCTCTTTACATACAGCTTCGGGAAAGTATAGCTTCCATTTGAAGGGAATCTGTCACTGGAAGATGTGTATTTGTTCCCGGGCACTTGAACAAATGGAGATATTCGAATGGTGGAACTACCAACCCACCTAGGGGTACCCCCCGAACACATTCTTCAGACAACCCGAGGGGTCGGGGTGGCTTGTTAAGCCCGGAGCCAGGCGGTAGCTTGGAATACTTGCAGCCTCGACCATTTTACCATCTCACCTTGTGAAATCAAGCCTCTGGGCCATATTGAGCGAACCTGAAGACGCAAACATACTTTAGAAGAGATCACAGTGGCACTCATAGGCTCGTTTCCATCACTTCCTGAGCGGATTGCTCACAAACAAGTAGCCAGCCGTTCAATCAATGTCCACTAAAACTGTCTTCCCAACACCCTCCAAGAATGGTCCATTTGTAGTGCTCGTTCCTCCCAAAATAACGAAGTCCAGTAACTCAGGCAGTGAGTCAGCCGGTCGGTGCTTTCACCCCTCAGAACGGCCAATATATCCCCCCCCCCCCCCCTGGGCCACCTGTTGGTGGACATCATTTGCGCTGACCTTAGTCTACTGGACCAACAAAGCTGTTGTTAAGCTTGTTGGGCCTTGGCGGGCCTTGACTAAACTCGAATAGATTTCATCACTGGAAGGTATGAATGCCGTGGAATCGATGTTTTGACCTATGCAAAAAGGTGACTCAACGGGAGTTTATAGCTACCTGGACCCTCAAACTACCGATAACAAGAGAATTCACCAAGCGTACACTTCGAGGCCGCCCATGTATCTTGAGGGTTTAGGGAATCCAGTCGGATTTGCGAGAAAAACACATACTTATGACGCAACTGGAGTTTAAGACTAAAACAACTACTAAACTGGATCTTGCATTTAAATTAAGCCCCCTGGAAAAAACAAGAAGTGATCGATTCCCTTAGAGGACTTCTTTTTTTTAAAGACAGTTTTCACCAAGTGGAAGGGATGTCTTTTTTCCTGTTTTCGTCGGCATCGCCGAAAAGCTGCCTTGAGCTCAAGGCGGCCCCGCCTTCATGGCCTTGGGATTGAAGAAGGGCCCCCGCACCTGGCAGCAGGCTGGTTGGAAGGGAGCCTTTCGGAGCCGATCAGAGTCCTGACATGGCAGAAATAGGAATCGGTCCCTCAATATGGCCGGCTTGGTTGCTTTAACCCCAGGGCGAAAGCAACTGGAAGAACATGGGTGGGTTTCCTGGTGGGTTTGGCCCACCCAAATTCTCAGAAACAACCAAATGTGGTCCCACCCTGGGCGCTAAATAGGGGGTCTGGAAAGATGATTCTAAAAATACCAATCCCCTTCTTGGTTTCCGGGAATCCCGGAATGGGTAAGAATTTAGCACCCAGAACCTACTCCAGGCACCGTCAGGGTTGTGGGGCACCGTGGGAATTGTGGGTGCTCAGCTTTATGTTTGAGGCGAATGGCGCCCTTTTCAGGTTGGAAAAGGGAAACCAAAAGCAACACGTTGCTCCAAATCCCGAATTTTGACGCGTACACAAGATAAGCCCCCTGCCCTCAGTGATGGTCTTTGGGTTTGTTAGACGCTAAGGGAACCATGAACCATGACTACATTTTGAGAGTGTTGATGGCACACGGGTCCAGCAGGTTTGCAAGGTGGGCGTCGGTTTTGGGTGGTCCCCCCCTCTGGGTTATGATGGTGATATGGTCAGGTAGGCATGTGGTGATTCAACATCTGATGTTATGATACTGTTGAGGCCATAGTCCAGGGTTGGGCCAACCTTTTTAAGAACCTTGGAAGACCTGGATTGCTCACAAGAAGAAGAAATCAAAGCAACTGGCATAAAAACAAGCAACTTATTTGGCGAGTCCAACACTTCCACGAACGATCGACCTGAGAAAAAAAGGCGAGACACCTGCCAAGGAACCTTCATGGAGCTCCTGTTGACTTGTTTCCGATGGATGGTGGGCAATAAGCCGTCGGAAGAGCATGGCCGAGGTCCACTTCCAGGATTCAGCCCGCCGAATCAATTTAAGCAGATCATGCTTTAAGCAAGCGCCAGGCAGCACGCGTCGACTCATGTGGCCTTGGAAGACTACAACCCACTTGTCTTGGGGCTATAATGTCAACCCCTGACTAAAAAGGGATCGTACAAGTTGAACGGCGAAAATAAGTCCAAGTGTGTCTTTTTTGGAGGGACCATTTTTGGCCGGTTTTAAAGCACAACCAAAAGGAAAGCCGAAGACACGCTTGGTGGTTCCCCAAACAACGAGACACACCTACATCATGGTGGCTTTAGCCCTGCAGATCTCGACCCCGGCCGTCAAAGAGACCACCAGCTCGGCATCGTCGATCACAAAGCTCTCGCGATTGATCAGCACCTCCGAAGTGAACCCCCCAAGTTGAACTTGCTTGAGTGGAATCGCCAAGGACAAACTACCAGCACCCTCCAAGGGTGGTCCATTTGTAGCCGCAGTGCTCTTGTGTGAGCCATGTTGGGTACAAATAGACCACCCTTGGAGGGTTGCCTTTACCACGAATGGTCTTCCCAACAGGTATTGAAACGGATGTCTCTCAGAAGGGCCCCTCACCAGAATCAAACATTGACCAGGTATTCATGAATAGGCTCGAACACTTCCCCACATTTCCCTTCTGAAACAGACTCGTGGTGCCACTGGACAGCTGGGGGTTGTGTGGCTTAGTTATGCAGCGATGTGCAGCAACATGCAAAATGCTGACATCAACTTGGCATGATCATCATCAATAGCATTGCTACTTCACAAAGCACCACACTTGCCCATTCGAGCACAGGTATTCACACACACACACCTCCATTTGAAGGAGGCATTAAAAACATATGTAGTTCATCAGAGTCACATAGGCTGGCAATCAACAAAAATATATAAGTCTGAGATAACTTGAGGTTCCAAGATTGCCATGGCGGCCAACACACACACAACAAACCTGTTTCCGACAAACCTCCGGGTTGCTCTGAAGCATGTCCATGAGGAAAACTCCCGCACGAATCTGGGATGTGTTCTGGTCCGTCCCAAACGGGTCATATAGAACTTGGGTGAGCAGCCTTGATTAAAAAAGGGGACATCTTATCAAATCAAACGGTCCTCAGATCCACTGCTAAAAGTTTGACTTTTAGTGGGTAAAATGGAAACTGCCACCAAACCAACTACAAAGCTGAAAAGCTAAACAGCTAAGGAACCGGATGGCTGGGAACCACCAAGGAACATTAACAAGGTCACGATATTTCTCGCGGCCCGAATCTCAGTGTGTCTTGTGGGTAAGCTTTGGAGGACCTCTATGGACCTCTTCTCAACTTCCAATTCTTTAAACTTGGGGACCAAACAAATCTTTCTCTTTTCAATCCAATTCTCTCACTTTTGCTTCAACCCTAAGATCGTGGGTCCTCAAACAATACAAAAAACAGATGTGTGTGGCAAGCTTGTCGAGAGGTCCCTTTCCCTGTCAACGGAGGGTCCGATGATGCTTGGGGAACCACGGATTTGAGTGGATTGGCCGAAGCAAGTTCGGACCGTTGTTTGCCATCCGCTGAAACTGTCTTCCCAACAAGTGACCAACAACCAAAGTTCACAAACCCCCAATTCTGTATGGGCGCTGCACAAACTCCGAACTTGGGTCGGGTGCTTCTGCCACTGACGCAGCTTCCCTCCAACTGGTGCATTGGCGATTTGGTGCTTTAGGGTAGTTTCCCCTTTCCCGCGACAAGAACCAGGGGAATCCAAACCGAAACCACCCTATCCAACCAAGTCAGAGCTATCTCAAGACACCTAAGCCCTCAAAATTCCAACTCAAGGGTGGGTTACTGCCCAAAAAAAAGCATAGGCTTGGCGACTTCCCTTGTTCTATGGGTGGCTGGACCCTCCAAATTCCAAAAATTGGGTTGTCACACCAAACATATGCTGGGGAAGCCCATTTTATGGGTAGCTCTTTTGGGTCACTTCGCCCCAGGCGCCCACCAAACCACAACTGAGCGAGCGATGCACCTCGTGGCCCTGCAGCAGGCTGGCATCCCAAAGGCCCCTGGACTAAAGATCCGCCGGGAGCCGCTGGGGAGCCGCACAAACCGGGGCAAGAAGACTTGGTGGCTGCAACGACCCCCCTGCAAAAAGATTTGTTCACTTCTTGGGGGTTTAACGTGGAAAACCCCCCCTTTTAATTTCAAACCAAAAGTTGAAGTCTAAAGATCCGTTTCCCGATAGCAGTCAAGAAAGTTGCCGGGGAAGGCTTTTCCAAAGCCCGGCAATTTCTCTCGGTTGTCCTTCTTTATCGTTTCCGGTTTGACTAAAGTACAAAGGATATCCTCATATTAGAGTGAACACACACACACACACGGCCTTTGGGTTCTCTTTGGGGAAGGTTCAAACACATGTGCTAAGTTGGGATGGCATATCCTTGGATTATTGGGAAATGCGTGGGATTGAGATCAATCCTTCTCCACATACATATACATATATATATATATATATTGTATGTGGCTGTGAAGTTAAATGAGGGACCGTGTGGTGGACACTGTCCACTAACCACTTTGGAGGTGGTTCCTAATTAAAATTCATGGCCATATTATGCAAATACATGACTTCCTTTGTACCCTCTTTGTAGGAAAATGTATGGGGAAGGTCCTTTGTGGGTATGCGGGCCCTCCATGCATCACTGGGCAAATCCATCGGACTGCTCCTTTAAAGTGTTACCCTCAAATAACTAATTTGCCCCAAAAATCTTGGTTGCTGCAACGACCCCCCTGCAAAAAGTTGGTCACTTTTGGGGGGGTTTAGTGGAAAACACAACTTTATTTCAACCAAAAAGTTCAAGTCTAAAGATCCGCTGCCCAATAGCAGTCAAGAAATGGTGGCTGACGGGAAGCCTGAAGCAATGTTGAGAAGCCCAAGTCATCCTTTGAGGCCAAATGGAAGCCTATGAGATGCCATGTGTGGTGAAACACGTGAGAACACTCCATCATTGGGAGAATCACGAGGAAAGTTGGGGGAATGTCATATCCGCCGACATTGCTCGGCGTGTCGGATACTTACCAGAGGATAGAGGATAACCCCCCCCAACGTCTATTACGTAGGTTTTTGGGGGGGGGGGGGGGGGGGGGGGGGGGGGGGGGGGGGGGGGTCCCCCACGTACCGCGCGGCAATTTGATGACGTTCCACTAAACGTAGTCTTCGGGGAGCCGGTGTCGCAAAACAGGGGTCCCAGGCTCGATTCCCCCTGCCGGCTTTTTTGCTGGCTTGGGCTTCCTGCATCCTTTTGCCGAAAATCTGGAAAAACTCAATGTTTTTGGACGTCCTCTTTGCGAAAACGCTGGAAAAACCGTGCTTTTTTTGCGGGAAATACATACATACATGCATGAATGCATGCATGCATACATACATACATACATACATGTCATACATACATTACACACAAACATACATACATACATACATGCATGCATACATACATACATACATACATGCATACATGCATTACATACATACCTACCTACCTACCGACATACATACATACATACATACATACATACATACATACATACATACATACATACATACATACATACATACATACATACATACATACATACACATACATACATACATACATACATACATACATACATACATACATACATACATACATACATACATACATACATACATACATACATACATACATACATACATACATACATACATACATACATACATACATACATACATACATACATACATACATACATACATACATACATACATACATACATACATTACATTACATTACATTACATTACATTACATTACATTACATTACATTACATACATACATACATACATACATACATTACATTACATTACATTACATTACATTACATACATACATACATTACATTACATTACATACATTACATTACATTACATACATACATACATACATACATTACATACATACATACATACATACATACATACATACATACATACATACATACATACATACATACATACATACATACATACATACATACATACATACATACATACATACATACATACATACATAAATACATTACATACATACATATACATACATACATACATACATACATACATACATACATACATACATACATACATACATACATACATACATACATACATACATACATACATACATACATACATACATACATACATACATACATACATACATACATACATACATACATTACATTACATACATACATTACATTACATTACATTACATTACATTACATTACATTACATTACATACATACATACATACATACATTACATACATACATACATACATACATTACATACATACATACATACATACATACATACATACATACATACATACATACATACATACATACATACATACACATACATACATACATACATACATACATACATACATACATACATACATACATACATACATACATACATACATACATACATACATACATACATACATACATACATACATACATACATACATACATACATACATACATACATACATACATACATACATACATACATACATACATACATACATACATACATACATACATACATACATACATACATACATACATACATACATACATACATACATACATACATACATACATACATACATACATACACACATACATACATACATACATACATTACATTACATGTCATTACATTACATTACATTACATTACATTACATACATACATTGCACATTGCACATTACATTACATTACATACATACATACATACGTACATCCATCCATACATACATACATACAGTACATACATACATACATTACATACATACATACATTACATTACATTCATACATACATACATACATAAATACATTACGTACATACATACTTACTTAGGTACTTACTTACTTACTTACTTACTTGCTTACATTACATACATACATACATACATACATACATACATGCATACATACATACTTATGTACATGCATGCATACATACGAGAGAGGGAGATTGGGAAGAGAGAGGCTTGGGGGGATGGGGAGGATGGGAGCAGAGGGAGGGAGAGCACACAAGGGAGACAAGGAAGAGAGGAAGAAGGAGAAAAGGGAGAGGACAATGTCGGCGGACTGAGCCGGAGGCTCTAAAGTTTTGATGGGTAATATACGCCTATGCGGCCAAGGAGACGTGGTGAGACATGGCGAGACTTGCAGCGATGGTCGACAAGGAGTCGATCTATCATCGTGCAGCAGGTCAGGCTCCAAGCATTGCAACAACGGATGGAACTAATATACAGAAAGGTCCAAGTAAGACACCCAGAGTTCCGGATGTTGCCGTCGATGCTGGTGATTCAATCACCTCAAAGGAGTAGACGTTGGTTCCCTGCATAGTCTCTGGTGTAGGATCAATAGTGCAGCATCTACAGTTGAAATCACCTTGCGTGCCATCGGACTTTAAACCATTGGCATGTTGGAAGCCAGGATATCCCTGACACGACGCCGCACACCCACTGATGCTCGTGTATTCAATCAGATATAGTCTGTTGCACCAGCACAATGTACACTCTTTCCAGTAATGAGCTACCACATCTGTGCGCCTGTACACATCTACTCCCATTCCATCGTCCCCAGGCGTAGTGCTAATCTGTGGGCAGCAAGCGCAGTTGTTATCACCCTTGCCACCAGACGCAGTGCCGCTGGCATGCTGAAAATATGAACCCGACAGCTCGCAAGTCCGAGCACAGCTGTCCAAGGATTGAGGGCCCTCCCAAGAAGGTTGTGCGGCACATCCACAGTTCCTGCAAACGAGCTCGACCGTGATGTTCGTAGATCTGAGGGCTCCAGATTCGTTCGGTGCACTGCTAGTGCTTGTAGTGCCATCCCCCAGCGCAGGCGAAAGCAAGCTGCAGAAAATCAATAAAACCCATCGCTGCTGCTGGAGTCTCATGAGTGGCATGGCCCAGGAAGCATAACATGGACAAAAAAAAGAAACGAGGCACAATGCACAACATGGCGCTCTGAGACATGGCCTTGACTCCTTAGGTTTGGACCATTGTCAAGACATGACGACCATGGCACATGGCCCCTTCAAAGCCTTCCAGGTTTGGGAGAGCAGTGCAGCCGGCAAGCTAGGGCTACCGCTGGTATCGCTTTATCATTTAACGACAGCTCAAAATATTATCCCATCGTGGAACATCCTCATATGCCCACCATCCTCCACCCTCACCAAATCCACCCTGACGTACCCTGAAAAGGTACAGTGGACAAAATAAATCCTGCGCTGCCTCAGAGTGTGACCCACATAAAGGGTCGCGAGCCCCGTGCTCCTAGTTCAATGTCGAAGAGCGACGCAGAGTGGTGAGTTGCGCGGTCGGGCGTGCTTTTCCTTTGGAAGAAATGACTTCAAACGGGACCCATGTGTGCCAGGTTGCCCAAGGGTGCATTGAACACCTCGCGCTCATTCGGTGACCCTCACAAGCGATGGGAAACCACCTCACATCTCTGAGTGGATTGGCCAAAAACAAAGCCAAACGTGTCAGTTGCCACTAAACCTCAGTTGTTCAGCGACCCTGGAAAAAAAGGGAACCCTTTTTGGGAAAGACCTTTTTCAGTGGGGCAGCCACAAAAAAAAAAGGGAAAAAGAATTGGTGCCACTGAACAACTGAGGAACCGGTCTTCCCAAAAGGTGTAAAGTCCAGGAACTCAGGGAAGTGAGCCTTTAAACAAGCCCAGCTGCAAACCCCTGCGGAATTTTCGGGAACCCTTCGCATCCCTCCGTCTGAAAGCCAGAGCCTGTCTGGGCGACCCCATAGCAACCCGGAAAAACCTTTCTCGGGTTGCTTGCAGGAAAGCAACCTTTGACTCATAAAGGCACTGGAGGCCAGGTTCAACTTGTTCCTTGGCTTTCGGAGCTAGAAAATACAAGTCAACGTGTCGTATTCCACAGTTGAAGCTTGTTCTTCAAGTCAACGTCCATCTGGGCCCGAAATGGGTTCAGAGGGGTTGTCTCAAAGTACGGGATCCCAGAATTTCAGAATGGTGGGGGTTTCTGTTTCCTGTTGGTAGACCGCCCAAAAAGGGTGGCAACAGAACGACAGACTCATTTCGTGTTGGTTGATTCTATAGTGAACCTCCAACAACGCAAACATGACCCACATCTGGGATACACTGAAAAGCATAGCTGCTCTGACCCTGTTTCACATGTCTACCCTAAAATCCAAAAAATGTGTGGAGTGTGTTTGGACATCAGCCAAATGCCCCCTCCCCCCAATTTGGGCCGAAACAAAAAGAAACAAAAAACAACAAAAACAAAAAAGAATCGCTTCGCGCGTCGCGTTGCCTCCGCAGCAGCTTGACGATGTAGTCTCGCTTCTTCGTCATGGACTTCTGCAGCAGGCCCTTGCCTGAGGTCTTCTTCACCTGAATTCAGCGACCGTGGACACCCAAAAAGAACACGCGACGAAGCGACAAAGCGGATAGCTCTCGCCTCCTTAAGGGAAAAAAGACCCCGTGCAAAATGCTGGTTTTCCTTTTGCTTTCCCTTGAAAACCCCCGCGGAAAACCTGGACCCTCAAAAAGGCAGCGCCTTAACTTGTTGCTGTCGTGTGGGGAAACACACTGGTTCAACCCAAAAGCGAAAGGTCAACGATTCAACCCCATAGCTTGCCCCGCGCAAAAAAAATGCTTCTCAATGGTCCCCTTAGAATGGCTGGGTTTCTTGGCTTGGAAAAGGGCGTCCACCATTGATATGGAAAAAAAACAACCTGTTTGGTTGTATTATGCCGAATGTTCTCAAATTGGTTCAGGTACCAGCACCCGGCGACAGTTTTGGACAGACCTTGGTTTTGGACAGTTTTGGACATGGGAACACATAGTACGAGGGGCAACACAAAGTACACGCGGGATTCTAGTATGATATGGGGGTCTTTT